GTAGTAGTAGTAGTAGTAGTAGTAGTAGTAGTAGTAGTAGTAGTAGTAGTAGTAGTAGTAGTAGTAGGCAGCCACGTCTCGTTTAGTGCTTGGAATGTCTGCTGGATAGCGGTATTTCTATATGATGGACACATGATCAAAAGATGCGAGATGTCGGTATTTGGAGTGTTCAGTAGATGAACGGACGGACTAATGAATGGACGGACAGACAGATAGATGCATGGATGGACGCATGGACAGATGGACAGACGCATAGACAGACGCGTGGACGGATGCATGGACGGATGGATGTACGCACGGATGGACGCACGGACGGGTGGATGTACGGAAGCGCGGACGGACTGTCGGACGCTTCGCCCTATCTCACCATCATCAAGTCCGTGGATATGCTGTGATTTTTCCCCTCTTCGCTTTAGAAACGACGGGTTTATTATTGTTGTATTATTATTATTGTACATATTAAAAAGCCACAATTCATACTTATTTCAAATATTCTCCAATAAAAAAACGTTATTAAAGTTATATCCATATCCGCTCTATTTTCCGCCAATCCCACTAGATTGACAAGTATCAATACTGTTAGTGTTGTCATCATCACCATTATGGTTGTATCACTCAGAATCTTGGCCTCCGTTTTCGCATGCAATGATTTGCTCGGTGTGCTATATTCATCCGTTTCCTTGTTATTCTGCGTGTGCTTGATCTAAATGCTTCATGAAATGCAATAGCACTGCGACATATGCAGAATTTCTAATGTTTCGCATTCAAATGGCTTTCTGTCTCCTATTTGCAAAGGTGGTGTTGTACACTACTAGCTGCGTCAGTTGAGACAAGCATCTTAAATGTCCCTCCACTAATAGTTTCACCTCTATTGCTCATGACCTTCACTTTAATTTATCACGAAATATACGTGCTGCTTTCCTAGAATCATAATATAACGCGTCTTCATGTTGACAGGGACAAAGAAAGGACGTAGGCTCACCGCGTAAAACAGTCAACAACACTTTTCGCTGTTAACTGTGAGTACATCGAAAATGCGGTACTTATGACTGAAGATACATTTGCTGCAAAATGCCACAAAATGGTCACGGAATATCAGCTTTTAGGAAGAGCGCGAACAAACGATAATGCACTCTAAAGCGACTGACAAAGCCTGCCAACCTTCTCAGACTTATAGGCTTGACTGAAACTTCTTCCTCTTCTTCTTTCTTTTTTGAACTAAGGACAACTCAGATACAGCACACGCGTGGCATTATATCACAGTACTTCCCAGGTTAATGTGACTAGAAAGCAATATTCTACGTGTCATATGATCGAATCCCAACCGCAGCGACCACATATTGATAGAGGCTATACGCTAAAGATGTGTGCGCTTGGCTTAAGCTACACGTTAAAGATTATCAGGTGGCTGAAATATCCGGAGACCCCCGCAATGGCCCCGCAATATTGTAATTTTAGGAAGTGAAACTTCGAATTATTATTATTATTATTATTATTATTATTATTATTATTATTATTATTATTATTATTATTATTATTATTATTATTATTATTATTATTATTATTATTATTATTATTATTATTATTATTATTATTATTATTATGTAGTCCCGAAGTTGGCCACATCATCGGGAAACCTGCTGCAGTTCATGGTGGCACCTCAGCCTACTTTGTCTGTGGACCTTTGAAATAATACAGCGGTGTTAAACCTTTGCTGCGAACGTGTAGTCATACGTGTGCGTTTCCTCGGGACTTCGGGAGCACTTTTATTGCGCCTGTGATCAAGCCATTCAAGCACGACGCCTATAGATGAGAATTTGCAACAGGACATCAGCGTCCCCCTGAAAAGCTACGTATAAGATATTCTACATAGAGTCTGCCCTCACTATAAATCAAAATTAATTTGTAAATATACAGCCTACACATCTCCTCCACTATACACACGGACACTTATTTGCTCATAATGTGTTGTCATCTGCCTCTAGTGTGCACGGCAATATCCATCTGGCTACTTCTTTCAAGGATAGGCAATCTTAACGTGAATATTTAGGCTAACGAGCAGATATCATCAACGCATTCATAAACAAATACAGTTTAGCAACTATTAACATCAGGCTACACATAAATAAATTGATTTGTCTCTGTAACGGTAAACCTCTGATCTTGGCAACCTGTGATCTTGGCCGCCATTTTTAAGACAAAATGAGCGCAAGATTTTGCTTTACGAAGACAGTTCTTTTCGGGACCGCGCTGCCTCCTTCCAACATGATGAGAATGACAATACCAGAAAATTTAGGCAGTGAAAATCACCAGGGAAGAACAGACGAAAGTAAATAGCATCAGCTCGCAACTAACTTTGTATTTGCAAAACCAGCGCAATACATCCGCCGTGTGTGTGTCATGGTGGATATATCGCGATGGTTATATTGCCTCGCCAGCTACTCCAAGAACAAGCTTTCCTAGAGAATTACATGATGATGACACTATGAATACCGGCCCCGAATACTAAAATAAATCGACCTAAAATCAAGCGGGTGTAATTATATTGTTATAACTTCAATTCAGTTTACGACTATTAAGATTCAAAAATTTTATGGCAGCCCCATTTAACGACGAGAACAACACTTATATTACAACATGCATTATTACCGCATTACTACTGTCAACACGCATTATTACCGTCAACACCATCTCTACAACAACAACGAAATACTTCTATTACAACAAACTTTACCAATAAACAAGTTTGTTATTACTACATTTATTCATATACTGTCTTGTCTGATCTTACGTTTTTTTGTAGTTTGCCTTTTTTCTTTTCAATCAATTGGGTGAGGAAGAGTAGACGCCCGTTCGGTTTGCTACTCTATACACCAGAACACAGCGAGCTCAGTGCTCGCTGCCCTATTGAAAAGCGTGTTGCGCCATCTGTTGCAAGTGCGGCGAAGCAACACTCAACTGCCACGTGAGCAGACGCTCTGCAAATCAAACGCGAAACATACAACGCGAAAGCGGCTGTAATCATGTTTTGCGCTGTTCCTGTACTGGAATTTTATGCTGATTTCGCGTAAAACGTCAAGGAGACCTTTCTAGACAGTCCGGAATGTCTGCAGCACGTGCATTGCAGACAGCGGCAGCCACTTTATCAGGTACGTATTATCCGACTGAACGAAACGCGAATAGCGTTAACTGCGGCATGCCTTGGCTGTGACAAGGCAGAATTCGTGTTGTAAGCCGGTGTCAACGTAGCGCTAGAATCTGGCTCCAACTTGCGCTTATGCACCGCATGTGTATCAATTACCAGTCCTGCCTGGAACTCGGAACACACACGGGGTGCAAAAGTGCCAGCCAGAACCATATCTTAAAATGCTATGGTGACGCCGGCCGAAAACACACGTAGATACGCATGACGCAGTTCGGCTGAGTCGAAAGCCACGCTTCCCGCGCCGTTTCCATCTCTTTTCATCGCGATAGTAGGCCTTTACAGTTGTACTAAACATGCGCGGTGCATGCATCCACGCGTCAGTCGTAATAATTATATCATAACACTGACATGCGGCCTGCGAAAGAGCACGCCAATAGTTTTGTGCCACATACAGGCATAATGCACGCAAATCGCTGCTGTAATATGGAACAGCTGGAGTCGCACTTGAATAAACGCAATAAGTATACTTACTCGTACACTTCACTGGGCTCGTAATTTTTCTTTCTGATTGTAATTACATCTTACAGCACGGCCGAGCTCAGAGTTTTTCATTGTGGACGGAAATCTGTGCAATCGCAAAACACCGCACCGGCACAATTCCCGCGAGTCGCTGTGAACTTCACAAGCAGTGCTCAGCCATTTCTTTCTCTTGCGCTGGTTGTTGTCGCATCAGATGACAGCGCAGTGGTACCCAGATGATATTTTATAAGCGGGCGCAGTGTGAACAGGCGCTTTTTTTCGCCTTTTAAACTCCCAGAGCCACTGCATGCCATGCTAGCGAGGCGCGCCTTGGCAGTTCCAAACAGATTATGGCGTCTCTGGGAGCGAGGGTATACCGCCGAAGGCGCCTGGATACGAGATAGGCGTGCTCTCGTCTATATACTAAAAGGAAAAGACGCGAACGCTGATACTTTTGATAAAATCGACCGGCTTAAGTGACCGCTTGAATGGACAGACGTACATGTACCCTAAAGGCGCGTGCACTCTTGCTTCCACCTTTCTTTTAGAGAAGATAGTCATTCTTGTGGACCTTCGACAGAAAAATTTTAGCCTGTCTGTCTGTCTGTCTGTCTGTCTGTCTGTCTGTCTGTCTGTCTGTCTGTCTGTCTGTCTGTCTGTCTGTCTGTCTGTCTGTCTGTCTGTCTGTCTGTCTGTACATTTGTCTGTTTGTCCGCCCTAACGATACCTCAAACGGCATCAAACAACCAACCCCATTCGCAGTGCCCACCAATATTGCTCAGCGTTTAGCGTTCATGAATGTGCGATTGTCAACTAAAAAGCAATTATTGCGCATATCTGAGGTGCCATAACAGCACTTTGAAATTTTGTATGTCTGCCTTTAAAATAGAAGAGGCACCGACAAGTAACTAAGGAACTTAGCCTTTATCGCGCTGCGCTGACAGTGCAACGCGATGCTCAAAAAGGTGTTTCCAACGCTTTGCTACGATGTTACGGTGGTGGCACCTGCCCGTCGCTTTGCGTTCTACACCTTATCACCTATGAGACTGGCACGCATCTTTCTCCGCGGGCTGCACGCCTTCGTTTTCGAAGATAACTGCCAGATGGCGCTTGTGTCTAACGTGCCTCGATGCGCTCGTTCGCCTCCGCTGCACGCTCGAGGCACTCTAACGCAGCACCTCCAGAATACCATTCACCGATTTTTTTGCGCAGAACATCAAATAAACGTTTTGTTCAGTCTCTCCAGACGCTAGATCTTCTGGCTACACTTGCGGTGTAACATGCAGATTTGGAACGAATTTTTTTCTTTCTTTTTTTTGTGTGTGTGTAACCCTCCATGAACTCCTGTGTGGCCAGTCGACCTCATGCGTATCGGGCCACAGATACAACAACACCGAAGAAGACGACAACAACAAAGCCACCCCAAATCTTCTTCTTCTGCTTCGACCATTCTACCATAGTGGGTAGCCGCCATTGCTTCGAGCACGAGGACAAGAACGCGAGCCCACGAATCGTTCCCAACCTCTCAAGGTAAGCCAGGCTACGCATTGCCACTGTTAAGTCGTACAAAACCAGTAACTAGTGCGTAAATACTATCCCATACTGCGTCCTCAAGAGCAACGGTATGCTCGAGCATTTACCAGTGAGCCGTTCAATGCAGCGACGTTAACAAGCGTCATAACGTGAAAATCATATCGGCTAAGCCTATAGCCAAATTATTCAGCGCTCTATGCGTCGTTGTCGAAGTCGCGTGACGCTTATAGGCAGTTAGACAGCTTTAGTATTCGTGCCTTTTGGGAACTAAGACAGCATCTGGCGAAAATTTCGTGATAATAATATCTGGCGTTTTACGTCCCAAAGCCATAGAGGATTATCAGGGACACCGCAGTGTAGGGCCCCCGTGAATTTCGACTGTAGGCGTTCTTTTATGTGCACTGACATTGCACAGTAGATGGGCCCCTAGTATTTCACATGCACTGAAAAAACGACCGCCGTTGCGAGATCGAACCCAAGACCTTAAACCGAGAACCGTAACCGTTACACTAGCGCGGTGTACGAAAATTTTAGCATGTTTTATCGTACTAATGCAAGCTAATATGCGCGATATCCCGCAAGATGAAGTAAAGATTATGACGGAAAAAAACTACACCCACCCTTTTGAGGCACAACTGATGTGATAACCCCCTGGTTAGCTTACTTGGTAAAGCAACCGTTCCTGACAGGCGTTGCTTTTGGATTTTATTTCCAAACCAGAAGGAATATTTTTGTCAATCAGAAGTGATTTCATTGAAAGCTTTGTGCTACAAACGGGTGGATGCCAGTTTTTTTTTTTTCGTGTTTTAATGTCGTAACTTTCATTTTCCATTGTCTGGCCGTGTTTGCTAAATCACTGATAAATCCAGTTTGATTGATTGATATATGGGGTTTAGCGTCCCGAAACCACCATATGATCATGAGAGACACCGTAGTGGAGGGCTCCGGAAATTTCGACCCCGATTCTTTAACGTGCACGCAAATCTGAGTACACGGGCCTACAACATTTCCGCCTCCATCGGAAATGCAGCCACCACAGAAATGTAGTTTGACTGGACCCTAGTCTTGTGAAGAGCAGTAGAATGTATCGTTTTTCGTCAATGTGAGGCTAGTATTGGGCTTCACGTTAAGTTAGTTAGGGACCTGCGCATACACTTGCACCCCGTGTGTTTGTGAATCGCCGAACATATACACATTATTCATCAAAGGCAAAAAAAAATGAAAACCTAGGTATTCTAAATAGCCTATACATTTATAAAATAAAATGCATTCCACAAAGCGCAAGAATCAATTCCTCAAGTAGCATTTGCGTAGCTACGAATTGATTTTTTATCAATAAAGTTATACATAATTTTCCTTTTGCCCACGGTACATTTAGCAAAAACTCACAGGGTCCCTTTGGCGTTCACATAAGACAACTCGAAGGCGAAAGCCGCGTTGTTCGTTTTCTTCTCATTCAATTTATTGAAACTACCCGCCTCCCTTCAAATCATTTCTTCATCTAAAGCTGTAATCACGCAACGGACGAAATCACGATTTGACCCCCGGGGATCGGGGACTACGTCACCCGTTTTCGCGTCCCCGCAACGGTCCGCGCGTAGCATTTCGTGAAACGACGGAAGCCCAAATCACAGTAGGGATCCTCGGGGATCAATCATGGTCAAATTATATGGGTCACTAAACTGAGAACGAAAAGTGTCGAAAACCTGTCGCCACGGCCTTCAACGCCCACCGACGTTTCAAGCACGGTGAGAAAGGAACAAATAACCAAGACTAAAAGGTCAATCTATTTTTTTTTTCAAGTAGTCGTAATTTTATGTATGTCAAAGCTAACTATACACTTCAGTGTTTACGTGACTCTTGTCTAAATGTTTGATTGCCTCAATTTTTGGTCGAGTGCCATAACAGGGGAAGAGGCGTAACCAGGCTGAGCTATACATAGAGTTTCCAAATATACACTCGAGGGAACTCTGGCGCTAGTGTCTATGGGAGCTGCAACGCACGGCGCTTCAGCGAGCATGGGAATGATGGGTAGTACACACATTTGTCTAATATTCGTACTTCTGGCCTGCTTTTGGCACCATGTGTGTTCGTGTGGCTTGAAGCTGTTTTCTTACGAAACAAATATTAGCAAATGTTCAGCAGTTGCGCTTCGCCATCTTATCTTTTAAAACTTTCCTTTCCAAATCAGGTCACGAAGTTCAAAAGGGTTGCATCTTTCTTTCAAAACAAAACCGAAACACAGCAATAAACGAAGTCGCAGGTACGATTCGCTGCCTAAAAGTACGAAGACTAGACAAATGTGTGTACTACCCATCATTCCCATGGTCGCCGAACGATCGCAGCGCCAAAGTGTCCTCTAGTTAATTTTAGGAAGCTCTATGGAGCTATAGTGTTTAGTTGAGCGTATATTGCCGGTTCAACGAGGCATCCCTCTCTTTGGCGTGGTGGTTTCGTGCGTACCTTGTGTACTTTATTTATTTATTTATTTATTTAGTGAACTGCCGACTTCTATGCGAAGTCGTAGGCAGGAGTGGGTGACAGACACACTTGATTGGACATTTTCCAGGGCAAGAAAACAACAGAAGCTTAAAACAAAAAAATATGTCGGGGGGAAATATAGAAGAAAAACAAGGATTTAAAAACATTGAAGTCAATGCAGCGCTTCAGAATGAGCAAGTTTTGTTGACAAAAAAAAAGGCGAGAAAAACACATATCGACAAAATCGACGAAGCGTGATACGATTGAGCTAGCGCTGAACATAGGAAAGTAATACAACTCAGACACACACGGGAGAGATTAAATGCGGTGACAATGAAATAAAAAGAAAGAAAAAAAGTTCAAAGGATAGCTGGCAGATTTGCTGTCGCACTCATGAATAAAGCGACAGTTGTGGATGAAACAGCTTCATCGGGCAGGGCATTCCAACTACATTGCACATTCCGCATTTATTTGCGGATTTGCTGTTTACTGGTGTGGCATTTCAGAGCTGAACTAGCTCACAGAATGCGTAGATAGGCGTTCCTGTGACTTCCGACTGCCTTTGCTTGCCCACGGCTGGCGTGTCCTCGCCTTTGGTGACGGTGAATGCGACACGCTAAGCAACAAGACTATGGTTGCCAAAGCGATATTCTCAAGGCTCCTGTCTCACTGCAGTAGTTTTGGACGATTGGGCAAAGTTAATGTGTTTTCGAACTATTATGCTATTGCACTCGTGAACAGTTGTGTCAATTTTTTCTGCAAAGTTTGCGGTGTGTATTGCAAGTACACCATTTGGCTAATTAAACAACTTTGCTTCCTCAACTTTGCTTGTTCGCCTTTCCTTGCCCTCGCCACGTCGTTATCGAGGCATAGGGCGCAATTTATTATTATCCCTTATTTTTAACAGCATCTAGAAGGTCAGAAATTTAAAAAAAAAGCCGATTTCGCGTTATGTATAAGGGCAACTGCACTACGTCGTTACCACTTCTGGTTGTGACGTCATATCTTTTTTGTTAGCTGTTGTCTCCTCCATACGTAAGTGGCGACGTTGCCAATAACCGCCAACTAATGAATACGTGGGCTTCTATGGAAATTACGCGACCAGTTTACATATACTTTGGAGCAATTCAAAAATCCTCTCTAGTAGCGTGAATTCTCCCCCGTCGTGCGAATGCTGGTTGCGGAGGAATCCGAATCACGTCACACGTCACGTGATTGGTCCGTTCGCGATCACGTCCGTCGTCTGAATACGGCTTTACAGGGTTTTCACACTGCGTCCAAGATCGGAGGCACTGCAAGCTTTCTACACTTCACCTGATTCTGCACGGTTTCCATTATGGGCGCCCACGTTTTTCCAACGACGATGCCATGCGATGGCGTCATCGCACGGTGTCACGGCATGTATGCCACGTCATAATGACGTCCCAATTTTTGGCGATCTGTGACGTCATGCGGTGAGGTATTCACGTGATATTCCGCATTACTCGAGTAAACACCCGAGTCCTCGGAACGCCGCCAACGCCGGCGGTCAATTTTCGTGAATAATTAGCGATCTAATGGCTAATCTTCGCAAACCATCGCAGCCCTTTGGCAGGCCCCATCCGCATCGCCATGGTATCGTTGACCAGATTGTGTCTGTTCGTCTGGAGAAGGCTGCTCTTGCAGACCTTTTGGCGCCACTACGCCTCGCTCGCCGTCGAGCTGGTCTTCGTGGCGGCCACCTTCATGTACATGCTGTACCACGACCGCGTGGACAAAGCCCAAGTGAAGAAACTCAACCGCAGCTACATTGACCTCGCCGATCTCAAGTCGATGAACGTTGAGCACCTTCGGCTGAGGTTGCCGCGAGAACTCACTGTCATCTATGGCCCCGGAAACGAGCACACGGACCAGCTGGTGAACATGATCTTCAAACTGATCGGTGAGTGCAACGCCTGTGCGTTCAGAAAAGGTGATTAGCAATATTCAGTAGAGCACGCTCTGGTGCCGGTGGGTCGTCACCCGCAGCTTTCATGTTTTCTTCTCGCCTTCTTTTAGCCCAGGACGCACACACGTGTAATCACCATGTACCCACTGAAATGTTCAAATGTTTTGATCGAGGTGTCATGGGTGCGTTCATCGCCACAGTTCTCGTCAGGAGATTAAGCTGTGGGTGCAGGCTCAAGTCATGTGAACCGGGACCTCACTTTGATAACATTGAAATGGATTTAAGCTTTTATACTTAGACTTAGGTGCACGTATACACGTCATGGCAGCTACAATTGATTGATTGATTGATATGTGAGGTTTAACGTCCCGAAACCACTATATGATTATGAGAGACGCCGTAGTGGAGGGCTCCAGAAATTTCGACCACCTGGTGTTCTTTAACGTGCACCCAGATCTGAGCACACGGGCCTACAACATTTCCGCCTCCATATGAAATGCAGCCGGGATTCGATCCCGCGACCTGCGGGTCAGCAGCCGAGTACCTTAGCCACTAGACCACCGCGACGGGGCACGGCTGCTACACGTTAAAGAACCCCAGACTGAACAAACTTGTTTCTATGCTGCAACCACTTTGGTGGTTGGAGCATAGAACAAAAAAGCTTAGAACAAGCGAAATTATGTTTTTTTTTTCGTAAAAAGAGCTTTATCTTTGTGAACAATAAGACAATTATAATATCTGGACTTTTACGTCCCAAAACACGATGTGATTATGAGGAACGACTGAGTGGAAGGCTCCGGAACCATCAGCTGTTTTTTTTGTTTTTTTACGTACAGTGACATCGTACAGTACACAGCCCTCTAGCATATCGCCTCCCTTGAAATGCAACCGCCACGGCAGGGATCGAACCCACGACCTTTGGGTCTACAGCCGAGCACCGTGACGCAGAAGGACTCGACAACATCGTGTAGCCATTTGCTTGCAAGAAATTGACTATGCACTAGCAAGGTTTCTTGAAGGCGTCTCTCTTAGTGCTTGTATTTCTACGTAGATGTGAAAGTGCACAAAGATAGGCTCCGTTCTACAGGCGAATATTTAGAAGAAAGCTACCGCACTTCAAATGAATGTTATTGATTGATGCATTATTTCATCAATGCCCAATCTAAGAACCGACCAGAAAAAGGGATAAATCAGATTACTGCACGCACAAGCACTGCATGCAGTTCTTGTGAAACGAACACCAGATGGTGAAAATTTTGAAGTCCTCCATTACGGTGTCTCTGATAATCACATGTTGGTCTTGGGACGTAAAACCTTAGATATTATCAATAGACTAGGCTGTATCCTCTGACTGGCATCACTCCTCTATTCTTCCCAAATCTGAGTTCTGAAATCTGTGTGCCTGAATATAAGCACTTGAGTTCTTTTTTTTTTGTCTTTTCTTTTTCGCATTTCTCACCTGTCGTATTGCGACCACTGTGGCCGGGAATAATCTAATTCACGCTTGTGAGCCGATATTTTCGATTCCGTGTGCTAGAACCATACTTATCGGTTAATACAAATGAGGCTAAAAAAATGCTGGAGTGGAAGCTCTTACAACTCCTTGCCAGCAACAATAAAGCCAGCACTTTTTAAGTGTGAATACACTTTATAAGCGACCCCAAACCATCCACCGCCGTCGGGGGCGTCCGCAGTCTTCTCTCTATCTTTAAAAGAAAGAGGACTTGGCGGGCCGCAGCGCGACGCTCTACCGAATAGCCACGGACGAAACGCTGATATCGGTGTCAGTAACGCGCCTTATACCCCCTTGCCTTCGCTAAACCCTCCGCTCTCCTCGCTCGCTGCAGCTGCGCGCGCACCCCTCTCTCTCGCGCGCCCGCCTTCTCTCCCAGTCTCCCGTCGAGAGCGGGTCGTGAGGCGGAGTAAAGTTAAAATCCGTTGGCATTCGCCAGTGAGTTAACGTAAACTCCCCCGTGTGATCAAATTGCGATTCCCAGGAACCATTACACCATAAAGGCACCATAGTGTGATTAATAAATATAATAGTGCGAATTAATAAATACCCTTCAGAGCATCACCCCGTGTATTCGCACTTAACCATGTTCACCCTCGGGGAAATGCTTCGGAATTTTTTTTTTGTTTAGCAGTGTTAAAATTGTTTCACTGCGGTAATTTAAACACCAAGTTAGTTCTCAAATAGGAGCATGTTGTTCCCCATGAAAGTAACTCGTCGAAATGAGTATTGATGACTTGACGTCCAGTAAAACTTGCCATGATCTTGGTTTTATTTTACAAAAACTAGCAACTCAGAGAAGAGGCATGAAAGGCATCACTGGTGAGGCATAGTTCATGTCGATACTTGCTGAAGTCATTCAGTCAATTGGAGCCTAAAACTCCTTGGGCGTGCCAGGAAAACGCTCCTTTCTCAACGCCCACGGGACGGCTTCATGCTCTCCCATAGTAGAGTACCAAGTGCGTTAAATTGTCACCCACTTTTTAGGGGCGAAGCTCCTTAAAGCGGCACCTGTTCGTCCCTCGTCGTAGTACGCAACATGTCTTATGCTTTCAGCTTCAAGGTGGTGCCGATTGGAGGTTTATCCTGTGCGTTGTTGAACAATAAAAAAAACGCAGCGCGCGCGTTAACTGAAAGCCGAATGCTCCTGTCTCTTATTCCTCATTAGCAGCCATTGGCATGTACATTGAGCACTATCTGACAGGAAAAGGTTGCTACGTTATACTCGCTGGGCGTAACCTCCTTGGTTTTAGAACGGTTTAGCGAGCGTTGGGCCGCAGTGTCATGAATACAGTGAAATAGCATATACCATAAACTCAAGGTGGTTAAAGGTGGAAAGTAGACCCGAAGCGCAAGCCGTAAGAAAGCGTGCGTGTGCCACCTCTCGTTTAGTCTTTGAAATGTCCGCTGGATGGCGGTGCTTCTATATGGGGAATATATGATGAAAAGATGCGAGATGGTGGTACTTGGAGTGTTGAATAGGTGGACGAACGGACACACAGACAGATGCATGGATGGACGCATGAGCGGACGCAGGGGCGGATGCATGGACGAACGCAGGGACGGACGCACGAAGAGACGACGCACGCACGGACAGGCGGATGGACGCATCGACGGTCACACAGACGGACGCATGGACGGACGGAAGAAAGGACGAATGGACGGACGGATGCTTCGCCCCACTCTCCATCATTCACTCCATGGATATGCTGCCATTTTTTTCGTTTCTCCCAGCCATATACAGCTTTCGCTGTGAGAATCCTGGGTCAGAGTGGGCATCGAACCCAGGCCGTTCGGGTCTGAGTGGGGTTTTAACCAAGGTCGTTTTCGTGGCAAGCGGGTGTTTTACCACGCGGCAACTTTTCTGCTTGATAATACAATGAAACTAACTTTTTCTCTCGGAAATGCAGTGTAAGTAACACTTGCTTTACAAACAAATGCGTCCCGTATACATGCTTCACAATGCAACATGAAATATTGCGGTGCTTCGTACGAGCGCCCATTGTCATTGTGCGTAAGAACATGTGATTATCATAATTTGTGATTTAAAGCCGGTAACCTACTACAAAAGGCACACACTCTGCTGCACCCTTAAGAGCACGTAATGGGTGCATACCAAGTTCAAAATGTTTTCATGTAACTAAGTGTTTGAAGTACGCACTGCGAACAGAATATCGCTGTCGTGTTCAGCTCTTAAAAGCGAAGCTTTAGGGTGCCGTAATTTTGTTTTGGCTAAGGCAAAAGCCTCATATATGGCTCATTAGTCAAGCCTACCGCGGTATAGTGTAGTGTGTTGGTATTTGACTACTGACTCGAAGGTATAACAGAGATGAATTCCGGTCGCAACAACCGCATTTCGATGGTGGCCCCGTGTACTTAGGTTTAGGTGCACGTTAAAAATCCCGGATGGTCGAAATTTCTGAAGCCCTCCACTGAGGCGTCCTTCATACTTTACCCCTTACGTGAGACCTCCTAGAGGGGTCTTTAGGGTAATAAAATAAAATGAAACGAAATAATACTGTCATGAATTTAGAATGCAAAAACCTTCACACTTATTACTTTCTTGTGTCCACACTTGCACTCCTCCTCGTATCTTATGATCACCACGAGATCCCCCTTGAGTCCGTACGCAGCTAGCAGACAACCTCGCTCGGGCAGCCAGACTTCACATAGTGTACAATCCCTCGCACTTCGTGATTAGTTCCTGGCTTGAGAATCTGCATATTTGTTTCTCGTGCTTCGTAGGTGCTTCTAACGGTAAGATTGCGAATGCCAGGATACGAGCGTCGATAAAGATACAGCATGTGAAGGCTCCAGCCCAAATAACCAGTCTTTAAACAGTGAGAAGACGAGGTAAACTAGATGGGGGGGGGGGGGTTGGAGGGGCACGTCATTCTTCCTACCTCCAGCCCCTGTTTGCACGCCTATTATATAGCGTTTGCAGCGCCGACCAGCAGCAAAGTCATTTCCAGGGACTTCAACAACCAGGACCACTGATAGTCCCAGGAAAGTCACTTCGTCGGGCGCCCGCGCACACTTTTGAAACAACCAGCAGAGTGCGCGCAGCTATACTAATTGCAAAAGCGGTTGTTCAGTATTCGAAAAGTATAGAGTATACGGTCTCCGCTTCCGGCGGCATGTGGTTTGTACCGGAATCACAATTTCACAAATTTATAATCGTAGCACCTCAAGTCATAATAATCTCTCTAATGCATGCGCGACGTTGATTTTTCTTTGCACATGACTATTCACACTAATCATTAATCTGTCTGGTTGATTTTTTTTTTCCTGCAGGACGGGTGCCCACCAGAAGCGAAGACGTCCAGCCGAAGCCGACGCCGGACGACGTGATGGTGACGCCGACGGACTACGTCCAGCGACACGAAGACGGCGCCTCCGTGCCGGGCAGCTGTCGCGAAGCCTCGAGCAAACTGCTTCGCCGCAACACGTTCGTGCACACGGTGGGACGCACGATGTGCATCCAATTCGAGACGGCCGACACGGCCAAGGGCCTCGACTACAGCCTGGTCATACTCGTGCCTCCGGAGATCGTCATACCGGATGGAATACTCTACGACGTGCACGAGCTGTTCGCCGACCCTTCGATAACAGCCGCAAGCGACGTGGTGGCGATGATTTCGGGTGAGTGTTTTCGTACGTTCCTAATCCACATCCCGTCGTGTTGTGTCAATGAGAAGACTCATGCTTGAAGTAGGTAACCACTGGCGCCACCAGGATGGAGGAGGATGGGAGTCCTCTTTCTTTCATAAACACAACAATGATTGATTGATATGTGGGGTTTAACGTGCCAAAACCACCATATGATTATGAGAGACGCCGTAGTGGAGGGCTCCGGAAATTTAGACCACCTGGGGTTCTTTAACGTGCGCCCAAATCTGAGCACACAGGCCTACAACATTTCCGTCTCCATCGGAAATGCAGCAGCCGCAGCCGGGATTCGATCCCGCGACATAAATACAACAGGGCATCCAATTATGCCCGTATATACATAACACGGGAGGCCTGGGGTGCGGCCTCACCGGCAAACACCGCCGAGAACGCACTCCCTCACCAGAGAAGGATTGGCCACCCTGGTGCAGTATCTGGCCACTACCTCCCACATGCTTACGTCAAATAACTCACGGCCCTCAGTCCCCAGCAGCTGCGAAGCAACTGACCACGGCGGCGGTCAGATCTGCAACGCAGCAGAGGGTGCTAAGAATCTCTGGATCCGGACAGGCCGCCATTGGAACCTGAACTTGGCAACGTTTAACGCTAGAACATTATCTAGTGAGGGAAGTCTAGCTGTACTATTCGAGGAGCTAGAGGGTGTTAAATGGAATATAATAGGGCTCAGTGAGGTTAGGAGGACAGATGAGGCCTATACGGTGCTACAGAATGGGCACGTCCTTTGCTACAGGGGCTTGGCAGACAGAAGAGAACTGGGAGTGGGGTTCCTAATTCACAGGAACATAGCTGGCAACATAGAGGAATACTATAGCATTAATGAAAGGGTGGCAGGTATCGTAATTAAACTTAATAAAAGATACAAAACGAAGGCAGTACAGGCTTACGCGCCTACATCCAGCCATGATGACGCTTCAGTTGAAAGCTTCTATGAAGACGTGGAATCGGCAATGAGTAAGGTAAAAACACAGTATACTGTAGTGATGGGCGACTTTAATGCAAAGGTAGGGAAGAAGCAGGCTGGAGACCAGGCAGTAGGAGATTATGGCATCGGTACTAGAAACGCCAGAGGAGAGCTACTAGTAGAATTCGCAGAACGCAATAATTTACGGATTTTGAATACCTTCTACCGAAAACGAGAAAACCGCAAGTGGACATGGAGGAGCCCTAATGGCGAAAATAAGAACGAAATAGACTTTATAATGAGTGCACATCCAGGAATCGTTAAGGATGTGGAAGTGATTGGCAAGGTACGATGCAGTGACCATAGAATGGTACGGTCTCGAATTCGCCTAGACTTGAAGAAGGAACGACAGAAACTGATACACAAGAAGCCAATCAATCAGCTAGCACTGAGAGGGAAAGTACAGGAATTCAGAGTGTCGCTGCAGAACAGGTACTCGGCTCTTAGTGAGGAAACCAACCTTAGCGTAGATACAATGAATGATAATCTGACGAGTATCATTACGGAGTGTGCAGTGGAAGTTGGAGGCCGGGTAGTTAGACTGGACACTGGCAAGCTTTCCCAAGAAACGAAGAACCTAATTAAGAAGCGTCAAATCATGAAAGTGTCATGTACAACAGATAAAATAGAACTGGCAGAGCTTTCGAAGTTGATTAATAGACGTAAGGTATGCGATGTAAGAAGGTATAACATGGAGAGAATTGAACACGCTCTGAAAAACGGAGGCAGCGTCAAAGCATTGAAGAGGAAACTTGGGATAGGCAAAAGTCGGATGTATGCACTAAGGGACAAAGAAGGCAAAATAACTACCAATATAGATAGGATAGTTAAAATAGCGGAGGAGTTTTACAGAGATCTGTACAGTAGCCGAGACAACCACGACCTTAATACTATAAGAACTAGCAGTAACCCAGATTACACCCCACCAGTAATGATAGAAGAAGTCAGAAAAGCTTTGGAGGGCATGCAAAGGGGCAAAGCTGCTGGTGAGGATCAGGTAACATCAGATTTGCTGAAAGATGGAGGACAGATTGTGTTAGAAAAACTAGCCACCCTGTTTACGAGGTGTCTCCTGACGGGAAGAGTACCAGAGTCTTGGAAGAACGCTAACATCATCTTAATACATAAGAAAGGAGATGACAAGGACTTGAAGAATTACAGGCCGATCAGCTTGCTCTCTGTAGTATACAAGCTATTTACAAAGGTAATTGCTAACAGAGTAAAGAAAACATTAGAATTCAATCAACCAAAGGAACAAGCAGGATTTCGAACAGGCTACTCAACAATTGACCACATTCATACTATCAATCAGGTAATAGAGAAATGCTCAGAGTATAACCAATCACTATACATAGCCTTCATAGATTACGAGAAGGCGTTTGATTCAGTAGAAATATCAGCCGTCATGCAAACACTGCGGAATCAGGGCGTAGATGAAGTATATATAAACATTCTGGAAGAAATCTACAGGGGATCAACTGCTACCATAGTGCTTCATAAAGAAAGCAACAGAATACCAATCAAGAAGGGTGTAAGGCAGGGGGACACAATTTCCCCAATGCTATTTACCGCGTGCTTACAGGTGGTTTTCAGAAGCCTAGAATGGGAGCAGTTAGGGATAAGAGTCAATGGAGAATACCTTAGTAACCTGCGCTTCGCCGATGACATTGCATTGCTGAGTAACTCAGGGGACGAATTGCAACTCATGATTACGGAGTTAGACAAGGAGAGCAGAAAGGTGGGTCTTAAAATTAATCTGCAGAAAACGAAAGTAATGTACAACAACCTCGGCAAGGAGCAGCGCTTCGAGATAGGTAATAGTGCACTTGAAGTTGTAAAAGACTATGTCTACTTAGGGCAGGTAATAACCGCAGAGCCGAACCACGAGATTGAAGTAACTAGAAGAATAAGAATGGGGTGGAGCACATTCGGCAAGCACTCTCAAATTATGACAGGTAGATTGCCACTATCCCTCAAGAGAAAAGTATATAACAGCTGTATCTTGCCGGTACTTAGCTACGGAGCAGAAACCTGGAGACGACGCAGCGAGCAATGGAAAGAAAAATGGTAGGTGTAACCTTAAGAGACAAGAAGAGAGCAGAGTGGATTAGGGAACAAACGGGGGTTAAGGATATCATAGCTGAAATCAAGATGAAGAAATGGACATGGGCAGGGCATGTAGCGCGTAGACACCGCTGGTCATTAAGGGTAACTGACTGGATTCCCAGAGAAGGGAAGCGGGTTAGGGAGAGACAGAAGGTTAGGTGGGCAGATGAGATTAAGAAGTTTGCGGGTTTAAATTGGCAGCAGCAAGCACAGGACCGGGTTTACTGGCGGAACATGGGAGAGGCCTTTGTCCTGCAGTGGACGTAGTCAGGCTGATGATGATGATGATGATACATAACACGCACACATAAAACACATGAACGTTTATACATAGTGTCGCAGGATGCACATTCAGGCTGATTGGTGTTCGCTGGTATACATGAAGCGTCATTTAACGCCTCCTCACCCCCCTTGCCCCGTCGCCTCGTCGAACGAAAATTCTAGCAACGCCCGTGTAGATAATCAACGTAGTAATGTGACAGTTATATCTAATCCTAAAGAATGAAAAAGCGAAACCGCATGCCCTTACCAGCCACTGTTTTAATTACCCCTTTACCGTGAGGCTATCTGCTATTCACTCGTTGCTGCGCTACCCCCGCGATTGATTCATCTTTCAACTATCGATGGTGTCGTGTGAAATTGCCATGTAACGTCATAACATGACGCCATGAAGACGTATCAGATTGTGAGGAGATAACGACGCCACAGATCACGGGTGACGTCGTTGTGAGCGCCATCAGCGATCAAGTGACATTTCTTGGACTATTATTTTTTGTATTGCGGCTTCAGGAGGCCTCGTAATATATCCTGACGTCTCAACGAACCTCACCAGGTCTGTTGAATCGTGAGACATACCTAAATAATAATTTCCATTTCAAATCATGAATTGACTTCTTCGATCATACAAAATTGCTTACGTGAAGACACGCAAATTATGTATTACACACACTATATATATATATATATATATATATATATGGATAGGCCATATCCCATACCTATATATATATATATATATATATATATATATATATATATATATAGGTATGGGATATGGCACAACGGGAGCGTTGTCAACAAGGATAAATATATTTATTTCCCAACAGTTTCGGGAGGGGACCTCCCTTCATCAGGGGATGAGTTATATATATATATATATATATATATATATATATATATATATATATATATATATATATATATATATATATATATATATATATATATATATATATATATATATATATATATATATATAGTGTGTGTGTGTGTAATACATAATTTGCGTGTCTTCACGTAAGCAATTTTGTATGATAGAAGAAGTCAAATCATGATTTGAAATGGAAATTATTATTTAGGTATTATTTAGGTATTGTCTAACACGATGTCTTGTGTTTTGTAAATTTTATTACTTTCATGTGACTGTTTTGCTTTTTTATATTTTATTTAATGCACTCTAGGGATATGTGTGAAAAATAAATTAATTATATCAAATAAAATAATGATTTATCGGGTTTCACGCGGCTGCCGCTACTATGTAAATATCTCACGATGCATCTCGTTCTGTCAGACCCAGGGGTGCTGAGCAAGACAAATGTTTAATTATCGAAAATACTTCAATTCTTATCGGTAAGATCTTGTCGGAAAAATGATAAAAATATGGAAGCGCCGACGTTAACAAAGTACGACAAAGGATGTGTGCGAATATTTGATAGCATAAGGACTCTTCCTTCTGTGATTGTGACTAACATCCTTTTTTTTTAAGTCGGACTGTATAACAAACTTTGTTGCAGATACAATACACACCCAGCAAACTCTGATCGACCATGCTCACATGGCACTTCAAGAAGGATCTACCAATACTATTCAGGTGAGCTTGCACAGCGTTGTGAAATGGTACCTTTTCTGTTCGAAGAGAAACGCCAGCTAATGGTAATATGAGGGGTTTCGTCTGCCAAAATCACGATATCATATTTCGAACAACGCCGTAGGGATGGCTCCCGGAAATGTAGGCCATATCGTGTCTTATATATAAGGTGCACTCACTCTGCACAGTACACCTCTATCATTTCACTTCGAACGAAATACAGACGCCACTGCCGGAATCTAACCTCAGACCTTCCGGTCAGCGCACATGAACACCGTAGCCACTGATCAACCACGGCGGTCGTATAACGTCGGTTGCACACAACAAAAACAAAAAATGGGGAGTTTTTGAATAGCGTACGCCTGAGCTAGCGGGCTTTGCGGTCACCCGCTATTTCCATCGTTTATCGCGAGCCCGCACGTGGTTAGCGTATACGAACGCATGCGAAGTGGCGCGAAACGCTAACGCAAAGTTTTGTGTACGCTATTCGAAAACTCTCTAATGAATTTAGAAATTTTTATGAACAACAGAAAAATCCTTACAGGATATCAAGGATAGGCCACGTCAGAACGTACTTTGTGTTGATGTTCACGGCACGTGATGAAAGCGTGCGAATGAGACGAGTTTATAAGATTTACAATGTAATGCCTACTTCCGTGAAGGATCTAGTGACGAGTGTATAACGACACCGAAGACGGTGCTATTGCATTTCTTAAGTGTGACGATCTGCGGGATCCAATATCGGCTGCGGCGCCTCCATTTTCGATGGCGGCGACAATGCTGTAGGCCCATGTGCTAAAATTGGGGTGCATGTTGAAGAACCCCACGTGGTAGAAATTTCCGGAGCCCTCCATTACGACCTCTGTCATAATAATATTGTGCTTTTGGGACGGCAAACTCCACATATCAAATAAGTGTGACGACCCGCAACAGTTGAATAAAAGCCAAAAAAATGTTAATATTGTATGATAAAATGTCACCAATCAAAGGTTCATAGGTTCGCCAGAATTATCAATGAAGTGCGTTGTTCGTTTTCGGCAGCGAACTTGGAACACATATATAAACTGTATAATATATATATATATATATATATATATATATATATATATATATATATATATATATATATATATATATCTTGCATACCAGTGACGCAGCCAAAATTCTTATTTCTGGGGGAGGGGGTCGACAATACTTCATGTTCTTGCGTGCGTTTGTGTGCGTGCAGGTATACGCAAGCAAAATTGAAAATTTTCGGTGAGTAGGGAGGAGGTCGAAGTTCTCCCCTCCCCTGGCTATGCCTATGGCCCACACTGCACCCGTTCAGCGTGGTCAGAAAACGCTGTCAGTCGTTAGTCGGGACTTTTGACCAACATGTGAGCCTATTAGTATAGCGCAACGTGCGGCTTGTAATTTATACTTAATTATCAAAGTAAGCTCGAAATCGGTTCCTCTTCTCTCGACAAATGATGCCATAAGCCCAAATGCTAATTATGGCATTAGTTGTTTAGATTTCACTGTTTCTAGAAGCACAGGTCGGTATTCATTGGCGGAAATGAGAGAGACTGTTTCTCTGCGGTTGATGTTGTCAGGCTGCTGATGATGATGATGATGATGATGATGATGATGATGATGATGATGACGACTATGATGCATTTATAGAGAAAGTGGTCTCTTCCTTGCAGCAGGACGTATCAGTGTAACTGGTACCATTCTATGTTAAATACGCCAGCTAGTGCCACCCTACCTGATATTTACCATTTACGTGAAGCTCACCACAATGCTCTTGTGATCGCTGGATTGGTATGAAAGAGCGCTCCAGACAGAACAACGTCCAGTCTATACCATAAGAGAAGCCGTGTCTGTGAGGCAGGTCATGTCTGTCATTCTCACATCATCCTGTCTAAAGCACTCTTTGATTTAGTTCAATATTAACAGCGTACCAAAAAGCATTACATTTGTCCGTGTTGTTTTTGAGCACTTATTTCTTTCGTCCAGTGCATATTAGAGTGTAATATATGCGTTTTGTTTTTTGATGTTTTGTTATGGAGGCGCGACTTTCTCATTTTCCAGCTCCAAGCCGGACATTTCCCCCTCGAGGCCCCGTTCGCAGACATCAAGGATTACCGGAACGGATTCTTCGCCGCTGTGTCGATTGCGTTCTGCCTGCCGCTCGTGTACCGTGTACGGGACATCACTACGGAGATAGAGTTAGGCCTGAAGGTGAGAAAAGCTTTAAAGCACACAGCTGCAAAGAAAGAGGATAGGCGAATTTTCGACAAACCTATATTTAAATGTCACATCTTTTATTCGTGCTTAGTCCCCGTAATGAAAGCTAACAGATGCTCATTGGTTATCGTAACACGAACTGCATCCGGGTGGAGACTAAGAATAAATATATTCTCCACTCATTAAGCCTCCATTTTTCTGTCAACGTATAGATGTCACGCACTTCGGAAAATAACATTTCAACGTTTGCGAACAATGTATCCATTTTTGGCCAAGAGTTAATGTAAGAATATTACTTGAAGTTTGTTGGGACGCTAAGGTTTTCTGTCTAAAACCGGCGACACTCATATTATTGATGCCTCTATACGGGATAATTCGACTGTCTTGACGCGATAATAGCGAACACCCATGCTGCTTCTACTGCAATCAAGAGAGCGCATAATTCTGAGTGCCAATCCAGTGTACTAAGTATTCTAAATCGTTGACCACTACTTTTAAACACACAGTACCTAGTACTGTCACGAGTGCATCAGTGCTCTTGTCCAGTGTGATTCTCTGGGACGTCTTTCACCTATCTCATAGTAGAGTACAAAGTACTTTAAATCGTTTATCACGTTTTCTAAACACACTCTAAATCGTCATCTCCTTTTTCTAAACACAGGATAGCTTAGCGTTCTCTCATAGTAAAACACATAGTGCTCAAAATCGTCAACCATTTTTTCTATACACAACACCCATTTAATTGGCGACTTTTGCTACATCATAGGGACGGCTAATTGGTCTCCCGTAGTTAATTACGAAATACTCGTGATCGTTAAACACTTTTGCTAAACATTTGCTAGGGACGGCTTTATGCTCCCCCACAGTAGAGTACCAAGTACTCTAAATTATTAAACACTTTTATAAGCACATAAATTTATCTATACACACACATTGGTTGTCTTTTTGGTCAAATCCTCGTGTACTTTGGTGTACACAGCGTAATTTTTGCAACACGGCCTCAACAAGTATAGGGCCCACGAGACCACTTTATGTTCTTCTATAATAGAGTACCAAGTACTCTAAATCATTAACCACATTTTCCAAACACGTCACTGAATTGTCCTTTTGCAGTAGCTGGGACAGTCTTTTACACTCCGTAGTAGAATACCTCGCACTCTAAATCGTCGTGAATTTGTTCTAAACACCACTGCAAAAAAGAGTTCCTCGAGCTGGGTATTTAGAGACGGCTTACTGCTCTCCCGTAGTAAAGTATGTGAGGTACTCTGAATTATCCAATATCTTTTTTCCAAACGAACTGTCTGTGATAACAAATTTATTAAAACACGCATTTCATGCCACATTCATCGCTGTACGTGATCACAGTACTCTGAATCATTCGTTTGCAGTGCCTATACAATATATTCTAGGCGATGTAGTTCGACTTTGTTCAGAGCACTACAAAAATGGAGCATTTGAGCCCTGCAACGTTTGTACAGGACCAGATTACTGCTTTAATCAGAACACTTAGGGGTCGAAACTGCTTTTTCTTTTGTTGTAATAATTGCTAAGGCTTTACATGCCAAAACTACAATATGATTTTCAAAGACGCCGTAGAGGAGGGCTCTGGAAACTTCGACCATCCGGCGTTTTTTAACGCGCACCTAAGTCAAAGTACATCACACAGGTTCACTTACTCTTAAAAAAAAAAGTATTCACAAAGCGAACACAAATTTTTTATGCGTGAGATGGTGGTGCTCGTGGGCGGAGCTTATACTGATGCTTAGGTTGAAATATGCTATAAGTAATAACCATCGATCGGTAACTACTAATCCAGTCTTGACAGTAAACGATCAAACTTCGGCAAAATCGTTCGCTGCTGTGATACCTCAACAATACACGGGGCGTTTGCGCTTTCATTTTAGTTTCGCCACAGTGCGACAAATGCGACTATAAAGCAAAGGCACATGAACGACGCCAAGACACACTTAACCGTCGTGTTTTTTTTTTTTTTGCTTTTTTCGTATTCATGACGCTGTAGCGAACGAGTACTAACAAGGTGATTTACGCTACTTGCATTTCGTTTGAAGTTTTGCTCTCAGAACGTTATATTGGCACACGCTATTCTGTGTACGGCACATTGCTTCCACGAACTTTGAAAACACCGACAGGGGTGAGCACGATATGCATGCACACAGCGTAACTTACAAGTTCAAAGGTGAACAGGCATGGCGAACATTCCACAGGATACTGACTGGTTGAGAAGAAACTTGTTAAAACAGAATGATACCAACCAAAATACTGATCAAAAGTATTTTTTTTTACTTTACAGAAACGAAAAGACCCACACGCTAAAGCAAAAAAAACAAAAGCAAAAAAGCTTTCTTCTGCTTAGGTTGCTCTGTTTCAACTGTAACTTTCAACTTGTTTTTTGCGCACGGCAAGCTAAAACATTAAAAAACACGTGTTCTGTTGATACGGTAAACGCAAGCCGGTATTCTGGTAACAGGGTACCGTTAAAGAAGTATGCGTTCAAGCTAAAGCCCCTATTTTCCGACCCGCGAAAATTGTCGAGAGTGTGCAAGTTGACACAGCCTTGCTCCAGCATATAGGCCTTCCGCCTGCGACCTAAACCGCAAACAAATATTCGTTCGGTGTAACAGGGTGTAGTTTACGACATTCCACTTTCCATATTATACAAGACAAGAGTCGGTGACCTGTGGCCGCCGGTTCAGAAACAAAGGTGGCTTCAGAAGGCATGTTCTCCCATCTTCAAACTTAGCCAGAAGAGTCTGGTACTTGGCCTGATGGTACATAGTTTAAAAAATCGACGAAGCCAGCCTTCGAAAACACGGACACAAGAAGATAACTATTTGTCTTGAGTTTTCTTTTCGAGTAGATATTTCTTCAATGAACTGTTGCTAGTTCCCATCGTGTGGTGTCATCGATGATTCTTTCTTAGTGCATGTGTCTTTGAAGACTCATGTCATCGATTTTCAATTTTAGTCACGACATAGCGAGTTTTGTGCATTGTTGTCCATTCACCGAAATTGTTTTCTCCTTGGCGACTCCATTTATTCGGGGTAACACTTGTCTCCTATGTGTGTCAAGAAAAAGTATTTAACAATTTCGAGTAGTTTTTTCTCAACTGCGGGAGCGCATTGGGCCCTCTTTATTACAGGTAAACTGTAATTGGCTTCAAAATACTGAAAAAAAAATTAAGTGTTCTGTGTGTGCTTAGAAAAGTGCTTGTCAATTTTGGCGTTTTTGTACTCTACTGTGGTATAGCATGAAGCCGTCCCATGGGCCTCATACTTGATGAGGCCGTTTTGACAAAAGTTACACCGTGAATGAGTTCACAACGCTGTATGAACAGCTCAAATTGTCCATGACGTCACTACAACGTTTGTTGTGTTTAGAAAAAGTAGTTAACAATTTAGGGTACGGGGTACTCTACTATGGGAGAGACCATAAAAGCCAACCGGGGGCCTCACACTTGATGAGGCGGACTTGTTATGACGTGAACGAGTTCACGGCGTTGTAAGCACAAGCACCAGGAGCAGCACTATAGAAACCCCTAGAAAAGAAGTTCCGTGCGTTTAGAAAAAGTGGGTAACGATTCTGAGTACTAGGTACTTTACTATGGGAGAGCATAAAGCCGTCCCGTAGTCTGCAACTGGCAACCCAGAAATTACTGCTTGGAAAAATTGGGTAACAATTTAGAGTACGAGATACTCTACTATGGAATAGCAAACAGCCGTCCAGTTGGCCTAACTCAAGGCGCACGTGTGTCGAGAGGGATGTGTTTAGAAAAAGTATTCAACGATTTAGAGTACGAGGTACTCTACTATGGGAGAGCATAAAGCCGTCCCTAAACACTGTCTTGGGAGGGCACCAACAGCCTCTTGTTTAGAAAACTTTATTGTCACAAACGTCAATGACACTCAACATAACATTTTCTTTTTAGACATCCAATAACGATGATTACAAAACAGGCGTCATTTACATGAACATGGATATGAGATGACGTTGAAAGAACATGTACGTTCGATGGTTCACACAAACACAACCACAACAGCTTGTGTGTGTTTAGAAAAAAATGTTTAACAATTTCGAGTACTTCGTACTCAACTATGGGAGAGCTCAAAGCCATCCCGTGGCTTTTTGTCTTTCTTTGCGAAAGGCTCACAGATTCAGTGTGTTTAGAAAAAGTGATTAACGATTTAGAGTACTCGGTACTCTACTATGGGAGAGCCGAAAGCCGTCCCGTAGACGTCTAGAACTACTGAGTGGTAACTAACAGGCCAACAATTCCACGGCCTACCGATTTGTTGTTTTCCTTGTGTTTAGAAAATTGTTTAACGATTTCGAGTGCCCCGCCGCGGTCGTCTATTGTGGCTAAGGTACTCGGCTGCTGACCCGCAAGTGGCGGGTTCGAATCCCGGCTGTGGCGGCTGCATTTCCGATGGAGGCGGAAATGCTGTAGGCCCGTGTGCTCAGATTTGGGTGCACGGTAAAGAACCCCAAACGGTTGAAATTTCCGGAGCCCTCCACTACGGCGTCTCCTATAATCATATGGTGGTTTTGGGACGTTAAACCTCACATATCTTATATGTATGTATGTATGTATGTATGTATGTATGTATGTATGTATGTATGTGTGTATGTGTGTGCGTGTGCGTGTGTGTGCGTGTGCGTGTGCGTGTGCGTGTGTGTGTGTGTGTGTGTGTGTGTGTGTGTGTGTGTGTGTGTGTGTGAAAAGGCAAGAAATAAAAATAATCACTAAAGAGACTCCGGCGCGCGGAATCGAACGGGCAACCTCTGATTCCTGAATGCGAGGCGTTAACCTACTGAACTACAGAAGAACACCTCCTTGAACGTTCAAACAGCAAGCTATTTATATCTACCTCTTACCGCTGTTGACTGGCAACTCGGGAACAACTATCGTGTTTTCAGCATTACCAGCATGATGGCGCAACGAGCACGTGCCGTCGCATCATGAGAATGTGGCGACGCGCACTCTCATCCCACGCGTATCTTGCCGCGCGGATTGGATGGGCGTGGACGCTCAATCGCGCGCCCTTATCTCGCGGTGGGAAGGATTGTACGTCTTGGCTGGCCTTCGGCTTTCACTGGAACAATTTTGTTGCAGTTGCTTGGCGCATAAAGGTCACTGTAATCGTTGCACAGCCTCCGTTTGCGAAAATGGTGCGCTTTTCAGACAGTGAATTAACAACTGAGGCGCTCATTCGCGTTCATCTGTACTAGTGAGTACATTTCATGCGCCATTTGTGCGTGAGAAACGCGGGGCACGTTTCGATCTGCTTGCCATTCGGCCCGTGACTTTGCAAATTGTTGCTATCGCGTTCATTGCTTCACCTTTGCGGCAAAGCTGGGACTTCTTTTATTTACTTCAAATTATCGATCCTATTATAAAGTTTGTGTTGTTCCATCTCTCTGCATCTTCAGGCAGAATGATCTCATTTTCCCACTATTTCTGTCTTTTATCTCTACTTTTCTGCCACCAATTATCTAACCATCTCTTCCTTGCTTCTATCGCGGGCGTGTACAGCTTTACATGTTTGTCCCAGAAACCCAACACCTCATGTAGGCTTGTACCCACACGTATACCTGAGTGTATATCGCCGCAATCAATCAGAACATGTTCCATCGTTTCCTTAACTCCCCCACAGCATGTACATTGTTGTTCTTTACTGAATCTCGCTTTATGACTACGCGTTCTAAGGCAACCCTACCTCGCTTCGAACAGTAAGGCACTTCCCCTTGAATAATCGTAAAACCTCTCTCTCCTTATTTATTTTTTGCCCTTTCAGTAGTTACTGACAACCTGCTTCTTTTCTATCGCTGTCATCCAACACATCATATCCGCCTCTCTCCTTTTTCGCTTAAGGTTTCTTGTTGCTGTATCGCCCACACTGCCAGCCGTATATTTACTGGTGAGCCTCCTAGTTCTTTGTCTCCGCTATATGTCTTCGCTCTTCGTATACAAATACCTGAACACCTCCCTGCCCATCTACTTTCCTTCATTTTAGATGCGGAAGCATCTTATACTCGCGCCTTGTAGTGCGCCGTCCGCGCCGTCCGCACCGCTTTTCGAACATTCGACAGCTGACGCGCGCGCATGCGCCGTCGCGCCGTCGCACACTCTTCCACGATCTGTGCATCCCTTCCTCCTCTACACACCGCGCGCGCTTCACTCCTCCACCATCTGTGCACCCTTCCTCCTCTACACACCGCGTTCGACATCTACAATTCTCCTGATTCTCCAGTGGACGCGCATGTGGCGTCGCGCTTCGAGAACATTCAACAGCTGACAGTGCATGCGCCGTCGTGCTGTATATATACTCAAGGTCGGCGCTCGCTCGCTCAGTTGCCGCTCGTCGGTTGGTTTGTACGGCGCGTCGACGCCCATCTATTTCTTCTTTCTAAGCCTCTCTTCGTCATATACAAGTACCGCCATCTAGCGGACATTCCAAGAACCAAACGACAGGTTGCTACCTACAACTACATACATCGAGGACACATTACCGGCGGCTTAAGGAGCTTCGCCCCTAAAAACTTACCACAAATATCAGATGTCACGAATCTTTTGCACAGATGAATGGCAAGGGCGGCGCAGCTCCGGTGAATGAGATTGTGCATTTTAAGGCGAACGCCTTTGATAGGCATCTGTCTCTCCATTCGTGCCCAGATGATTTAAAAGGACGCGTGGCGTGGGCAAGAAGTGCCCAGATGATGATACAGACCTGCGTTTCTGTCACTGGTTTAATTTTGGAAACTTGAACGTTCTGGTAAATTTCGCTCAATCTTCTGGCATTACTGCTCAGCCTAACATAATATTATCAACAGTAACGAAGAACCTTTAAATTATAACATGCTTAACGCTCACATTTGTCGAGAAGCAGTAGTAGTGCGTGGTTAGAGCAAAAAGCAGCTAGCGCGACTAGCGATCACAGAAGAATGGCAGGCGCGCCGGCATGCGGTTTCATGACAAGCGGTTCGGAGAAGCATCCCCTTTCCCTGTTCACTAACACGGGCCCTTGATAAAATTCGGCTTTGACCACTGATGTGCCTTGATAGCATCGGTAAGCAAGAAGAGCTTTAGAAAATAGCCCGCTGATTTCTACACTTTTCTTCCTTTATTTGGCAACTATATTCAAATAAACGTTTTTTGAGCTACATAAAAATGATAAGATTCCCTTGAACTCTACGCACGTTCCTTTTATCTGAAAAATTAAAGAGAAACTTTTCTTACCTTTGAGAAAAACTTGATAACGTGCTGTCAGTTTCGATGTTAGGAGCTGGTTGATGATGATGTAATGGTGTTTTGTGGCACAAGAGCCAAGGCTGGCCAAAGAGCGTCGTGTCAATTTATGTTAGGATGTCGATGAATCATAAGTAACAAAGTGGTAATGATATCCTGGTTGTAAAAAGGCCTAAAGAGATAAGTACAACATATGGAAGCTCGGTTCGTTTGCCTGGTAGGCAATGAGCTATATTTCGAAGTGGTAGGAGGTTAGAATAGATTAAAAGTAGTTGACAAAAGATTAAAAATTGCAATGGTGTTTCGTGGAAATGGCACCATTGCCTCAAAAGGTCCCTTGCTTGACCTCAAGATGTTAGGAGCTGGTAAATGAAGTGAACGGAAGCTTTTTTTTTTTTTTTTGGGGGGGGGGGGGTACAACGCTTGCAATCTTGAAATTATCCACACACAAAAAAAAGCATGGCATATATTGACCACAGGTATTCGCCAAACAAACTCTGGAATTTGCGAAGTGCCCTTCATTTCTCCTCTTTTTTTACGTTGCGATCAATTAGGACCGGATAGAGTGCATTTGCTTTCACGATATGCCAGGGTTGCATGTTTGACACAGCCTGACGGCTGTCGACTGCGCGCTCAGGAATTCCAGGAGGTCATGGGTCTCTCGACGGCCGAGTTCTGGCTGGGCCACTTCTTCGCGGCGCTGCCAATCTCCGTGATCGAAGCGGCGCTTGCGACGGCCGTGGTCCTCTTCCAAGAAAAGGAGTACACGCCGACGAGGAACGTCACCGTGTACAAGAGCGAGAACCTCGACTTCACGCTGATCCCGGCCGCCGACGACGAGGACACCTCGCCATCCTCCAACGCCAGCACTCTCGCGTCCAACAAGTTCGTGCGCGTCTACCCCGTCGTGCGCCAGGAGACGCGCTACCTCGAGAACGCGGACGGCTCCCTGGTGGCGGCCTGTTTCTTGTTCTTCTGTCTCTGTCACGCCATCTTGGCTCTGCTGGTCGCGTGCGTGTTTCCTCACGGTGAGCAAACTTTCTAGCAGCTCCCACGCGTGCGCAGGCTTCTACTATAAGAGCACCGGAGGGGGGGGGGGGGGGGGAGGGGTCGACATGTTTTTGGGCTGCGCCACCTCTCCTATCCCACCCAATGAGTTGAAAGTAATCTTCAATGCAAAAAAAATTAAAATGGAGCGATCACAAGCTCCTCATAGCTACCTGCCTTTGCTCCTCAGCCTTAATTACGGGGGTAAAAGTGGGAAGCAAGCCGCTACTGGAATTCAGCATCGGGGCATAATCCACAGCCGTCCTTAGCATTAAAAACGTGCATCGTCATAATCTGCATGCCCATCAAACAGCAATGAGAGGGTCTGAGTGAAACCAGTATGTACTACTTGTATGTTCTTTAAACAGCCATGTAAGCGGCCTTATTGTTAAACTTGCCATTTTTGTATGCACTTATTTTGTTTATTGAGTTGTGTATATACTGCGAATGTACAAAGTGTAGACTGATGTTTCTTTTATTTTCTGTATTACAGTTTTTTTTTTTGCTATGATGAGCAATCATAGCATCTTTACAGAGTGCCCACCTGCTATGGTCTCAGTAGAGACTAGCAGTATCGCAAATAAATAAACAAATAAGCATAAAGCTGTTTAGCACCCTCCCCCTATTGATGATTCGGGGAAGGGAAGCGGCCACGGGAAAGTTTGGTGACTTCGGCGGGGGTGCAACCTTTAGCTCGTTATATGCAATATTCATTGTAACAGTAGATATAGGAATCAGTTCTAAGATGTTGGCGGCAATCTGGGGAGCTATCTATTCCCGCGGCGTCCATCTAGTCGACATGTCACTTTGGCGGCGTGCATTCACTTACTCCAAAAAGTGACGAGCTTTGACGTCACGCAGCACTCTTGGCCATGTCCACGCACCGAACCCGCCAGCACATTCCCAGCGTAAGGAGGACGGAAGTGGTAGAAATGTGCAGAATCACAAGTCTGAGCTTACGCACGAACGTGTAAAGATGTGGACAGTCCACTAGGTGGAAACCGCAATAAAATTGCGCCCTTGGCTTTATACAAAAACGCGCTACTTGAACTTTAAACTACCTATAAAAGACGTAATCATTTCCTTGATGGTGCAACCAGTTATTGTCTCCTCTTTTTTTTTCGCACTTTTCTAACCACCCTTTGTTAACGAAATGTTTAATTTCACAACTGCATTGAAAATTGTTGTGAGATTAAACATTACAAAGGACGTATACTTTCACATTCGTCGAAGATGAAAAATAATAATGATTTATTAATTATTCTGATTTTTTTATTGTAATCTTCGAGTTTCAAGCCTCGCATGGACTAAATATTTCTTTGTTACAGCCGGTATCACGGACGCTCCCGAGTTTTCGGTTTGTTATAAAACATAATTTTCACTGAAATAAAGTGTGACAAACCAAAGATTTGATTTTTTTCATGTTAACCCACAATTCGCTATATAGGTGTTCGTTTTAACGAAGTTGAGCTGTGTAAGTCTACGTTCAAATGTAAAAATAAAGTTACTTTACAACACATACAGAACATTTCGCAATATGTCGGCGAATATTATACTTCTAAAAGAAAAACGCAACTAGTTCTTATATAATGCAGTACAAATCTAAAAAAACACTGAGAGCTATCAATGTCCGCTTTCCGCAAACATTCTTACAATTTTCGACCACACACCAAAATCCTACGACAGAGTCTCGTCGTTATGACAAGACATAGCCGATGCTACAGCGCACGACTAGAAAAACAGGGAGCGTTGAAGACAGAACTACGACCGCTTTAATAACGACAGAGAATCAGAAGACAGGTGCGTAGCCGATCATCTATTTCGCTTCTTTTTGGTATTATTTCTTAAGGTCGAACAAGAGTAATACGTCATCGAGAACCTTCGCTGATACCATCGCATCAATTTACACTCCGAAATGCTTCTCTTTCAGGCCGGTGGGCCATGCTGATTGCCTTCGCAATCTTCTTCATGTTTCCGTGCCTGGACGGCGACAAACTGGGCTTCATTTTCGGCACCAGTCTGTTCACGTATCTGAGCACGTCGAGGGTACACAAACTGCGCACCGCCTTCTATCCCAGCGTGGCGCTCAGCACAGCGATGAAGATCATTGGCATCTTCGACGACTTTGAAAGTACGCCGTTCTTGAAAGACGCGCGCTACTTCTATTACTGCCACTGCAATGCACACGAGTTCTCTCAGTAATGTCGCACCCCGCCGCGGTAGTCCAGTGGCTAAGGTACTCGGCCGCTGACCCGCAGGTCGCGGGATCGAATCCCGGCTGCGGCGGCTGCATTTCCGATGGAGGCGGAAATGTTGTAGGCCCGTGTGCTCAGGTTTGGGTGCACTTTAAAGAACACCAGGTGGTCGAAATTTCTGGAGCCCCCACTACGGCGTCTCTCACAAGCATATGGTGGTTTTGGGACGTTAAACACCCCATATCAATCAATCAGTAATGTCGCGGCAATACTTGATTTTACTGTTGCAGTGATTATATTGATAAAAGTCGTGTGTGTTGCAGTTGCTGCAGTCATTGTATTGCAGCGTAGTGATAGTGGAATGACATGCATTGCGAGTCACAACAAGCCACTACAATGCGTACGTATTATGCTATTAGACTGTCATAAGAACGCATTGTAAATAGTATACGCCTATACCTTAGCTAGTGCTAACCATTATTAACCAGTGCGGCCCGGATACACTCCTAAGGCATTATGCAGTGAACCTCTTGCCGCAGTGGTGTACCTGTAAGCCACGTGTCAGACTGTAGTTGGCATAACAGAAGTTACGTGCAACACGCGGCGGAAGTGGAAGGTATAACGTCAAGTGCGAGAAGGGAATCCCAACCGAAGATGGGCTTAGTACGTTCCAAAAGTGTAAACCAGAAGTGAACTGAATACCGAAATGGCGTAACCGTAAATCACATGACGTACTAGAAGTGACGTAATGGAAGTTATTCTTGACCGGTAAGTTCCGTGACGGAAGTGGGAACTGATGTTAAGGGTCATGATGGAGGCACGACGTAAATCCGACGTTATCTACATTCAATCGAATCCAATCATTGACTTTACTGCGTCCTAATCATCACTAAAGTACTTTCTTTTCTTTACTCGTGCAAATGCAGAAGCGGCTCATTGGAAAATTGTCACGAAGGCGGCTCTGAACCTGGACAACGTGACGGTCAGAGACATGATGGCTGTCATGTTGGCTACTTTCTTAGTAACCGCCCTAATGGTTGGCTACCTGTCTCAGGTGCTTCCAGGGACGACGTCCAGGCCACAAGGGCTTCTGTTTCCGATATCCGTGAGTTTCACGGATCACTGCAAAACCATTGACATTCAGAGTGCCAAACATTTATGTTTCTTTCTTTCTTTCTTTCTTTCTTTCTTTCTTTCTTTCTTTCTTTCTTTCTTTCTTTCTTTCTTTCTTTCTTTCTTTCTTTCTTTCTTTGTAAGACGTTTAGCAAGAAAGGTTGAATTAAACAAGCGTAAACCGTGTGCACGTGAAGCTAATTACACTTCTACATACAAGGTTTCGCCGTAAAGTAATGATATTGAATCTCGTAAAAGAATTTATTCGTCCAATCAGTACTCGCTATTTAAATTCGTCCACATAGTCAACTTGGGCGTCAATGCAGCGACTGCAACGTGATTCTCCCACCACACAGGATCTTTGAAAGTAAGGTGTCGAGATCTCACCCAAAAACTCAGTGACAGTCCGCTGCATGGCAAGAACACTGTCGAAGAAGTTACCTTTCTGGCATCTCTTGAACCTCGGGAACTGCTAAATGTGTTATACGCTCCAATCAGGGCTGTACCAGCCTCGATTCATTTCGCTCGTCACTCTTTAAACAAAATAGTCCTCCAAATTGCAAAGCTAAGCGATTATGCTTGCAACCATATAATTTAACAATGCAATAAGGGCTCACAGTTTTACGCGACTAACCTTATCACCTATGTTAAACGAAAAAAAAATCTGCAAAGGTAACCACGCTGAAACATGCCACTGATTCGTGAGCACGGTAACTTCTGCAGAGATTTCCTCATCCATAGTTAGCTATCGAAGAGTGCGGGCCATTTGATCGTTCTTTCAGAAATCGTACTGGTACCCACCGAAACCGTCAGCGGAAGAACTCGAAGCAGAACAGCCCAGTCCGGTCATCGAAGAACACTTCGAAGCTGCGCCGAGCTTGAAAGCCGCCATCGAGTGCAAGAATATTCATAAGGTATGCTCATATACGTCGAATATTGCGCAGAATAGACGCTGATGCCCGATTACCAAAGCTTATAAACAGTTTCTGTGTGATCTTTGGCACTCGTTAGTTTGGTCCGTTACTGGTATGTACAACATGGTATGTACAACGGCTAATGGTATGTACGACTGTTCGAAAACTTTGCTTACGAAGAATTATACAGGTAAAGTACGGAGATCAAGCAACCGTCGTGTGCGCGTAGAAAAAACGTGCCAAGATGGTGAATGATTGGTTGGTTGGTATGTGGGGTTTAACGTCCCAAAACCACCACACGATTATGAGAGACGCCGTAGTGAAGGGCTCCGGAGATTTCGACAACCTGGGGTTCTTTAACGTGCGCCCAAATCGGAGCACACTGGCCTACAACAATTCCGCCTCCATCGAAAATGCAGCCGCCGCAGCCGGGATTCGATCCCGCGACCTGCGGGTCAGCAGCCGAGTAACTCAGCTACTAGACCACCGCGGTGGGGCAAGATGGTGAATGACGCTGATCCGTTTACAATTATCATTGCTTTGAGTGTTTTCATGTCTCTGTTCGAATATGTGGGTGTATATATATACACACACACACACACACACACACACACACACACACACACACACACACACACACACACACACACACACACACACACACACACACACACACACACACACACACACACACACACACACACACACACACACACACACACACACACACACACACACACACACACACACACACACACACACACACACACACACACACACACACACACACACACACACACACACACACACACACACACACACACACACACACACACACACACACACACACACACACACACACACACACACACACACACACACACACACACACACACACACACACACACACACACACACACACACACACACACACACACACACACACACACACACACACACACACACACACACACGCACACACGCACACACACACACACGTGCAAAACAAAAATACTGGGACCGGGCACTGGGACCGGCCCCAGTATTGTTTGTCCCAAAACAAAAATACTGGGACCGGGCAAACGAATCCCCCGGACCGGGGGATTCGTTTTGTGCATCCTCCATCTCTGTCTTCAGTTCTTTTGTTGTAAATCTTGCGCAAGAAACGTTATTCATGCCTGTCCTACTTGCCAATTGTCAAGTTTGTTTTCTTTTTATCACAGCGCGAAATCGCTGCCAAAAACGTGCAACCCCCACCCGGCATACCTCCGTTCGCATTTCGCGAGACGAAGACGGACGGTGCGCTTGATAACGACGCTGCTTGAGCTGCGACTATCGGCAGCGTTCGTGCGTTTTCACTCGAACACAGAACGTATACGGAGGTAAATTTATCAAGTTGGACTTTATATGAAGTATGATGACGTCGACGGCAACGACGCCAAAAATGCGCCTGAAATGTGTTGCCCTGTCGTATGGCACATGTAATTTGCATACGACGGTACATAAATACTTTGACTATTTTGTTCCCGTAGATGCAGCTGCTTGCGTCAATCAATCTGCGAATGTACTGAAAGATATGCAGCGAAAGTTGGGTTCTCCTCTGAAAGAGCGCAACCAGTCTCTGTATTTATTTATTTTTTTTTTATTTATTGCATACTGCCAGCCACCTCTTGGTGGCCAAGGCAGGAGTGATACAAACTTTCATACTTGCAGCCACATATAACACTACACTTCACGGCGCAAAAATGAAATTACCACATTACAGGTTTGCGTGGAACATGAATACTCGGGTTACAGGAGCAACACAAGAGCGGTATCGAAAATACAATCCAAATATTTGTTCCTAACACGAAGTGTAAAAACATCATTAGAAGAATTGAAATCTGCACATACGACCAGACAGCTTTTACTACAAACAGGCAGTGGCAGCTGATAAGAATGCGCCGGGCGCTGCGATGCTGGTGACGTCATGAGGTAGTTCATTCCAGTCGGAAATTGTTCGTGGAAAGAATGAATATCGCCGAGAATTTGTTTTTGTAAGCGGTACCACTATGGTGTTATCATGCTTGTTCCGAGTTTTTCGCGATGTATTGTACTGCATGTAAGTGTTAAAGGCGAGTCCTGAGTGTCCGTTGACTATGTTATAAAGGAATTTTAAGCGATGTAGCTTTCTACGGGACTCCAATGTGGGAAGAGCGGATCTATTACGGAGTTCAGTGACTGAACAGTGTCTACTGTACGCGTGGTAAATAAACCGAAGGGATTTATTTTGGACTCGTTCTAGTAAGTATATTTCTGTTTGCGTGTGAGGATCCCATACAACGTCAGCATATTCCAACAATGGGCGTACCAATGTAGTGTAAGCGACTAGTTTTGTTTTGCTGGTGCAGTGCCTCATGCGATGCTTTAACAACCACAATCGCCGCAGTGCTGCTGATGTTATACCTTCGATATGAGTTTTCCAGCTCAAATTAGAAGTGATTGTCAGACCAAGATTGTACTGGTTAACGGTTGTTATAGCAGTGTTGTTTAACATGTAAGTGAATTCCGATGGATTTTTTTTACGTGTTATGGTCATCTTGACGCACTTTGCTATGTTGAGGCTCATTTTCCAGGAGTTACACTATGCTGTAATAACCGATAAGTATTCATTTAGGGTGGCGTGATCTGTTCTTGATTGAATGGGCAGGTACACAACGCAGTCATCCGCGAAAAAACGACACTGCACAGTAGATTCGGATGACATGTCATTTAGATAAACTAAAAATAAAAGTGGTCCTAGGACAGAGCCCTGCGGTACCCCAGAATGCACGGGAGCGGAAGAAGAATTTTTATCTGCTATCCGAACGTGTTGGTGTCGGTGGGATAGATAACAATCAAGCCATCGAAGAATTCTTGCATTGGTTAGGATTCGGCGAATTTTAAACATCAAATGGGAATGGGAAACTCGGTCGAAAGCTTTTTCGAAGTCTAAAAAAATCGCATCAATTTGTCCGCCTTTGTCAAGTGTTTTTAGAAAGTCATCAGTAGTGTGAATTAACTGTGTGGTGGTTGAAAAGCCTTGCCGGAAACCGTGTTGATTTGGGGAAAAAAATGGTTACTCTCCAGAAATGAACTTAAGTGTTTGAAAAGGAAGTGTTAATTCCATAACCTTGCCGGCTGTACATAACAACGAAATAGGGCGGTAGTTTTTCACGTCATATTTATCACCTGATTTATGAATGGGTACCGATTTACCCTTCTTCCAATCTACTGGAACTTCGCCTTGTAGCAGGCTTTCCCTAAATATTAAGCCTAAGTATTTGGAACACCACTCGGCGTACCGATAAAGAAAAGCATTAGGTATTTCATCCGGCCCAGCCGATTTTTTTGTGTCAAGATGAAGTAGAGCTGACAAGATGCCTTCATCTGTTATAATCAAGTCTGGCAGTTCGAGATTGTTTGCGTGGAAATCAGGAGGGGTGTCACCCGTACGCAAAAAAAAAAAAACAGAAGAGAAGTAGTCGTTAAATGCTGTCGCTATGCAGCTGGCATCAGTCACGTCCACGTCCTTGGTTTTAATTTTTGTCACTTTCACTTTTTTGTCCGAGAGGTGCATCCAAAATTTTCTTGGATTGGTTGTGAGAAAGTTGTGCATTTTTACGTTGAAGAAATGAAATTTGGAGCTTTTAATCTCGTTGCGCAGTTCGGCGCGGAGGCTCGTCAGAGCAGCACTACGTGGTTGTGTTTTTGAGCATGACAGGCGTTTTATCTTGCGTTTTAGATGGAGTATTTCGCGCGTAATCCAAGGACTACGGCCATGTACTTTTTTCACTTTCTCCGGAACGAACGAACTTATACATTTGTGAACGGTTATCTTAAAGTGCGACCATAGCTGGTTAACGTCACAGCGATTATGAAGATGTTTGTTAGTAATTTTGTCATACTCCTCCTCTAGGAGGTCCAAAATACTTTCGTCCGAAGCAGTATTAAAATTGAGGAATCTACATACTTGGGTAGCCGAGGGGGAGTACACAACATGTTGGTTTTAAATATTACTAGTTCGTGGTCCGATATACCTGGTACAACTTCAATTGTGTTGTTAAACTTGCAAATAGACTCAGAAACAAAAATAAGGTCCAGAATCGAACTCGTGCCTGCAGTGACACGCGTAGGAGTCTTTACAAGTTGCGTCATGCTACAGGAAAACGCTATATCAAGTAGCAATTCGGAGTGCTGGCAGGGTGTTGTAACGCAAAAGTGATCCCAGTTTATTTTTGGCAGATTTAAATCACCTCCTACAAGAATGTGGGTATAACGTTTGCTTTGTTCGAGCAAAAAATTTTGCAAAGCTTCGAGTACCGCTATATCGGAATTGGGCGGCCTGTAGACAGCGCCAATGAGCATGCTCAAATTTTTATGCCGAAGAACTATCCAAGTCATTTCGACGCACGTCCCGTGCGACAAAACCTTAAAATCCATGCCTTTTTTCAGCACTATCGCTACACCGCCCCCCTTTGCACCTCGGTCGTGACGAACGATTTCATGAGAGCTAGGAATTACTGCCGAGTCGGGAATGTCATTTGGAAGCCATGTTTCAGTAAGGATTGTGACGTCGGGATCATAAGCAATGAGGACGCTTTCTAGATCGACCGATTTGTTGACGACACTTCGAGCATTTATGTTTATTACAGAAAATGTTGACGGGACCGCGTGAAAAAGTGGAGCCGGTAGCGTTCGTTGATGCTCCAGATTGCTGCTGTGTTACTGTCACTGCACAGCTACCGGGACCCTTGAATTCAGTGAGTCATCCCACCGATAAAGCTTGCCGTTAACTTTGATCTTGTCAAAGATCAAAGCAACTTTTGCTCCACTACTCCGTTCTTCTCGTGCGCTCGCCCATAGCTTTTTTCGTATTTGTTGAACTCGAGGCGAAAAATCCTCCGAAATGCAGAACTCTATGCCTTTTAGATTACCGCAGTTCTTTAGAATCCTAGTTTTGTCTTTTCCGTCAACTAGCTTCAGAATGACTGGCCGGCACTTGTTTGCCACTGGCTCGCCAATCCTGTGAATGCGCTCGATGGCGACATTTGGCACCTGAATTATGTCTTCCAAGATGCCCTTTGCCACTTGTTCACCAAGAGGCTGATCAGCATCGTTCTCTTCTGTCACGCCAAAAAATAAGCAAGTTATTTCGTCGACTGCGGTTTTCAAGGTCGTCAATTTTTTTTGTCAGCCCGTCTACTTGTTTTTGTAGGTCATCTACCTTGGTTGTGTTAGAAGCGACAGCTTGAGAAAGGTCGTCCAGTTTTTTTTTCGATACTGGTCAGCGTATCAACCGTTTTACTTAATTGTTGGTTGACTGCGCTCGAACTGTCTTTCAGCTCGCGAATATCATTGATAATCGTTTTCAGCATTGCTTCTGTTGTGGGGCCCGGATTAGGCTCAACATCACCACACGACGACAATAAGTCAACCAGTCATTCATAAACGGCACAGTACGCAAGAAGCAATGACTGTGGGCACGGCAGAAGCACAAGGCAAACATTGTCGTCTCGATAACATGAAAGATTGCGATCGTCTCTCACCTGTACGAAAAACAGGAACGGATTCCTGAGCAACATATTCGCAGAGCTTCCGCCGTGCCCACTTAGTGCACTCCATTAGTGCACTCCATTTTTTTATATTTTTTTTGGGGGGGGGGAATAAAAATATCACCATTACCACTAATTGGTCTAAGATCATGTTTGAACGGCGCAAAAGACGAGAGAAAGAGACTGTGTGTTCCTGTCTTTCACTGTGCTGATGCACTTTCCATCCTGTTTGCTTGCGCTTGAAAGTTGAAAGTGCTTGTGTTTGCGGTCGGTTGTGCCTCTATACTACTATCCGTTTTCTTGTAGGTGTTCGATAACACCGTGGCTCTGAACAAGGTGGCCATGACGATCTACGCGAATCAGGTTACGGTGCTGCTTGGCCATAACGGCGCTGGCAAGACGACTCTGATGAGCATTTTAACTGGTAATTTCTTTTGAAAAAAAAAATCCTCAGCATACTTACGCAGTGAATGATGATGAGTGGGTTGAAACGTCTGTCTGTCCGTCCGTCCCTCCGCTCCTATCTCAATAGAGCACGAATCAGATGGATGGACATACGGACGGACGGACGCTTCACGCCACTCATCATCATTCACTCCGTGGATATGCTGTGCACCTATTATAACAGCGCCATCTACCTCTTTGATCGTCAACTATGCTAGAACCATCAACGCCATTTAGTGATATTTCCAAGGATATGCACACGCAACGTCATCTAGTCAGCATTTCATAAACTAGAGGTAGCTACATACACACTACATTCAAAAGGAGAAGGGAACGAACGCGCGAAATCTATAAATACATGTGACAGGATACGCTCTGGCGGTCTTGAAGAGGACGAAACCACTTGTATAAGAACACGTTGTATAGAGACACCCCGCGTTCAAAGATCTTTCGTCTACCTAATTAGGCGTTAGTATTGCCCTGAACTTCAGCCTTCTCTGCAGTTTCTTTGCTTCCCTCTTTTATTAACAACATACTTATTTGGCAATACTCGAACTAGTACCACGCTCATTGACTCTTGTCTGATTATTTTTGTGTAAGCATGTGCACTTCAAACAACTTTTAAATGAGTTGGACATATATCTCGTCGTACTTCATGACGAATGTGGTATCTTTGTTAGGCATATTAGTATAAACGCATATTAAGTGTATTCGTATATTAGGTACATATACAGGCGATCAGGCGCAAACGTCGTAGGCACTCTGCAGCCACCTAATTACATCCCTGCTCCCTTGCAGGTATGCTCGATGCCGACAGCGGAGTTATACTTGTTCGTGGACGAGAGGTAACCAGTTACACCATCCGAGGAGTCATGGGATTCTGTCCCCAGACGGATGAATTCTTCCCGGACCTTACCGTGCTCGATCATCTGCAATATTTCGGCATAGTAAGATCCTGTTCTAGACTTCTGACTAAGTTGTGTCATGTAATTAAAAAGCACACTCGCCGTTAAGAAAGAATTATAATGAAATAAAAACGAGTTGTAATGTTATACAAATTAAGGCTAGAAGCTAACTTTTTTAGGATCTGGTCTCGCGTACTTCTACAGAATGCTGGCGTGCGAGAGCAAGCGAATCAGTTTTCTCACAGTCTGTTGTCTCAACATATAGTGTGGGAATTGCATACGTAAATTAAACCCTGCCTGAACCCGAGGTTACTTGTGAGAGCGTACAAGGGCAAGAGCGTGCCTACAAGGGCATACGTGCGTACAAGGACAAGAGCCCTACTAACGTATGACAAGAGGGCACGCGCGACCGCGCCCTTTTAATCCAAGTTAGCATTTTTTTGCCGGAGCAACGCTGCCTCCCACCAGCACCCCTGCTAGCTCCTTTGCTTGACGAAGTCAGCCAGCCAGCATGCTTTAACTCTGCTTGAGCCACGTCTGTTAGCATCCTTAGCAAGCTTTCGCTTATACTCATAGAATAAACAACGTGCGGGCTGACGTTATCGGTTTGTTATTTATAGGAAACATGACGGCGACAACGACGGCGAAAATAGACGTCAAGTGTCCGTTTACTTGCGATAACAATAAAATTGCGGTGGCATCAGGCAAGGGTCAATTCAAAACGCGTAGCGGTAAGCTTTCGCCGGTCTGAACAGCTTACAACTGCCGCTACTGAAGGTAGGCGACATCGTGACGTTGCCTACAGGCTCAAAACCTACACACACCATTCTAAATTACGTATTTCATTACTCTGACGTAAACAAAGAGACGACATTTAAATAGTTTTTTTTTAACTGGAAAGAAAAGCAAAAAAAAGAAAACTCGGGAACCCGCACACAAAATGGTGTTACTCGTCGTCTTATTTACGCTGCATTGGTTTGAAGTTATCTTTCGGCTTCCGAAGCTTATAAGGACTATAATTGTCGACATTAGCAGTTATTTTTTTTTCTGGAGATGACGTATCTGAGTAACGAGAAATAAAGACTTCAGCATACATGTAATATCTGACAAGCTGTACGTACACCAGCAATCGTATTTTTGTTGCTGCGTGAATGATTTCCTTCACTTCCGAAGTTTACGTGTCTATAGATGTGTGAGAAGCCAGGCTTCTAGAGATTTGAGGGCTGACATACCAGCATGGCCGTGGTATACAAGAAAGCGACCTCTTAGACGAGAGTTCAGGTTTAAGTTTTACAATATGCGCATTTCCAATCTGTCCTTGCAGCTTAAGGGACTGCGCAGTTCGGAGATCAACCGAAACGTGAAAGTCCTGCTCTACACGGTGCAACTGGCTGACAAGCTGTACGCCTACCCCGATGAGCTCTCTGGAGGAATGAGACGGCAGCTGAGCATCGCCATCGCTCTTATCACGCGTCCGAGGGTACTACTGATCCCTTATTTCTTAATGCTCTCTGATGGTTAAGGTTCGATTTAAAGATTATCTTACACAGCTGAAATGAAAACGAAATGAAAGCTGGAAGTCTAGAACATCAATAACGTCTAAATCATGCATAGGTTATGCGAAAGCTGTCGTTTTCACTCGCAAAGTAAAAGTGCTGAAAAATATTGGTCTGTATTGGCTAATATGGCCGGCCATCAGTTTTAACAGCACTGTAATGACACATCATACGTTTACTACTTTTTCACTGTTGAACTTGAACATGCTTCACTCGCTTTGACACTTCCAGTCAGGGAACTTCATTGTAAACTTCCATGTACCACCTCGCGCGAGCTTCGAGCTCACGCAGTATTCAGCGTCTTACAACAGCAATATATTCTTGGAAAACGGCAGTAGTACCTTACAACGCCGCATACACTGCCGTATACAAGGTAGCGATACCTTAATATGTGAAACGAGCCGAGAGCGACGATATAGTTGAAAATGCTGGAGGTTGTACAGTCGTGAGCAATGTGAGAGGGAACACCAAATCCATGGTTAATCGACGATTCTTTGTAATGTACCGATACGAGCGTGACGAGTTGAATTCCAAGGCATAGCTTGCCGCTAGGGCATTTAGTGCTGCGGACACTTTTGCGCTTGCGCACTGAATTCGAAGCTTAGCCACTATGACCTATTGTATGTCTTACGTAATATGCACCTATGAAATGATATTTGTTGAAGCGGCAAACGAAGGACAGTCACGCACACATAAAAATTACGCAAGCACAACATGTGGTATTCGCGTCCTTTTGTGTGCGCTTGATTGTGTTCTTTGTGCACTGCTTCGTCAAATAAAACGTAATTTGTGTTCTTTGATGTTACGATTGTGCATCGCGAGCCATATGCGTCACGGTTGAAACGAGCTGGGACTATAGCGTTACTTTATGATGCTCCCTAGCCATCAAAAACTCGCAAGGCCCAATATGCAATCACCTTAGACGACAAGAAGGCTAAAGCCAGTTCCTTTGCTTTTCTCAGCCAACATATTAACCCAACGGAAGCTTTGTGCACCTAACGTAGTATTACACTGCTTCGAGGATCAGAGGAATCCACCTTTTCCACGATGCCGCGGCACATGCTCCCTTCCCTAGCGGAAAAGTCGCGAAATGCCTCTTGATATCGGAGGATATCGTTCTAGTGGTGCCAGTTCTCCTAGCCCCAACAAAACCCTACCGAAATGCCAGAGGGCAGCATGCTTGAAAATGGAACTGGTGGATTGCAAGTGCTTCACGCTTCACCCGGTTTCGCACAGTCTCCGCGATCGGTCTACCTTTGGCCGAGTGTCGATGCAGTGTGATGACGTCAACACGTGACTTCGCAGACTCGGTGATCTGTCACGTCATAACATTATATGCATGTGAAGTTATCACGAGATTTTTTTAGGGGCGAAGCTCCTTAGGGCGTGGGCTGTGCGTCCCCTGTAGCCTGTATGTAGCCACCTCTAGTTTAGTTCTTGCAGTGTTCACTAGATGGCGGTACCATCCCCTGTATGTAGCCACCTCTAGTTTAGTTCTTGCAGTGTTCACTAGATGGCGGTACCGTCCCCTGTATGTAGCCACCTCTCGTTTAGTTCTTGTAGTGTTTACTAGATGGTGGTACTTGTAGCTGATGATGAAAAGATGCAAGATGTTATAAACTAGAAAGCGGTACTTGTAGTTGATGAAAGACGCGAGATCTTATAAAATAGGAATGATGTCACATATGGCGCGTGTCATTGGTTGAAGGCAATCGTTCGATTTAGTGCGGCGACGTACGCTAGGGGGAGCGATGTAATAAAATCGAGTGGGCAAAATGTACAGAGGATTCATGGTTTACCAGGTTTACCTCCGGAGCTTCGCCCACTCATCATCATTCACTTCGTGGATATGGCAGAATTTTTTAACCTGTCGAGTTGGCGCTCTCGGTCAACATTCGCGTTTAATGAGGCACCTAAGTCTCAATAGTATTGATAAATCACAACTTCGATTCCCGGCGTGGTTGCAATGGCACAGGTGTTGATCCTGGACGAACCGACCGTGGGCATGGACCCCGAGACGCGACGTGTCGTCTGGACGCTGGTGCAAGGTTTGCGCGGAAGAACAACGTTGCTTCTCTCGACGCACGACATGGAGGAGGCCGAAATATTGGCCGACCGCATCGTCGTAATGTACAAGGGCAACGTTATCTGCAGTGGATCACCGAGCTTCCTCAAAAGCGCTAGCGGTGAGCAACCGTGAAGTGTCAGAAAGCGCATAGGCGAGAAAGATTGGTATACAGGAAGTTAGACTGTTGATATGGCGATTGCAGTAATAACCAACGGTCGTGACGATCCTCTAGCACAAACACCTTGACAGGACAAGTTAGAGCCAAACGGTTGAACTGGGTTTTCCAGAATTTTCTGCGCACGCTCGCTTGGCACGCGACGGAAACTGAAGCACGCTCTGCTATGTATACTTTGACCATTTTCAGAAAGCTTACAGTCAAACTATCACGCGAGAAGACAGTCGCCAAGTTATCCCTAAAGTTCCGCTGTACATGAAGTATCGGTTATTAAGTTTTCGGCTCTCAACGTTGCCTTCCGTTCACCGTATTTTTCACTGCGAGTTTACTCGCGTCTGTATGTGGAACACTTTCTTAATTTCATGGCGTCTCTGCCTACATGCAATGTGCACTTGAAACATTGAACTGACAAAGCCTATAGGGGCCCGCTAGGAAGCGGTGGAAGAAATGATGTATTGTTTTAATTCGCAACATCAGTCGAGTCGAGGCTCTGCGTTGTCACGATCGTCCGTGGCAAGTATAATTGCCACGGACAAGCGAGTATACGGGTAAGACGCACATTGTGAGAACACCCAAGGGCAATCGCTATTATGAATACCGGCGATGAGAGCAGAGATATAGGAGTGCGCCTGTCAGCACAGCTCGTCACCAAAAGTATCGGAGAGGAATGGTTATTGCTTCCTCATTTGTTATGTTAAGGGTCATTCAAGGGTCAAGTATATTGTTTCTCAATTGGGCATCCATATGTTAACATGTATATCATTGCATGCCGGCATTGCACGTTAACTTATAAATCTCGACGCCGACATCTTTTGGCAATGGCCATCTTTCTTCCTGGACGTTACCCAGGATATGAGTTCATCATTAAACCGAAGTTCACAGGCCCGTGCTGGTGAATTAGCATTTACAAGAAAACTGCGGCCTCTTCGCTTCTTGCCGCAGGCGTCGGATACAAGGTGCGCTTCTGGAAGGTTCCCGGTGCCTTCAAGACGAACGAGGTGCTTGCGGTGGCGCGCAAGGCTTCTCGCGCTGCCGCCATCGAAGAGGACAAGGAGAACGAAGTGGTCATCGCGATGAACACGCTCAAGAGGGACGGCTTCCCTGCCATGTTTCACGAGCTGGAAACGAAGAGTTCCAAGTTCGGCATCCGCAGCCTGGGAGTGTCCGTGGCGACAGTGAAGGACGCCTACCTGAAGTGAGCCCCTTACTACAGCTTACTTCGAAACTGAATATTGGATTCGATGATTTGAATGCTAATACATCTTCGTGGGAAGCGCAAAATTAAGCGAGTACGAAGGCACGAGACACGAGGTCTCCGTGTGTAGCTTAATTTTGCGCTTTCTAAGAAGATGAATCTCTACCAAATAGGCCAATCTACATGTTTATTAAGTTGAATAATGAGTTCTGGCGTCGTACGTCTTGCAGAAAAGCGAGAGGCAAGGAGAGAAGCATTTACAGAAAAATTAGAAGTGCAGTAGATCAGGAGTGCCACCAGTGCATAGGCGTGAGCCCAATTCCCTATTAAAGGAGAGAAAAATGATCGCAGGACCTATACCCGCTCTTCACGACAACCTCTTTCTCAGACCCCCACGATTAGAACGCAGTGCGAAGACAAAGTACTCTGGAAGAGAGGGGGAGGGGGCTGTTGCCTTGTGATGATCACACCTATGCACCAGTGTACACTGTCGTTCTTTATGAAAGGGAACATGCGAGCGCGGGGCCTGCGCTTTGCGGCGGCTGTCTACTGCAGCACCATACAGCGACTGCTGAGAAAAACACGTCCGCTAGCTGGTATTATCTACATTGGCGAAGAACATGACGAGTCATGGCCGGTAAACAAGCGCTGCTAAATTAGGCTTTCTTACCGCTGGCGCTACGGGTGATGCGTGGTAATCCAGCAGCGCTTGTCTACCGGCCATGACTCGTCATCGTTTTTGCGAGAGCGTACGTGTTTTATTCTGGTGTCAGTTTAAGGAGCTAGAAGCAGCCGCTACAGAGCGCAGGCCTTGCACTCTGGAGTTCCCTTTCATAAAGGAAGACAGCGCACGGCAAAACATCACGCGGTCACCATACTGGGCATGAAATAATATGTGGGACAGTATGGACAATTAAATCGACGAAATGGACACCAACGAGTGACAGATTCAGCTGAAGATGGATGATGATAGTAAGAAATCAGCAGGTATACAATAAATCCAGGCTACGCAAGACGTCGTAAATTGCAAATCGGGAAGAGGAGACTTCGTGCTGCAGTGATAATATAGATCGACCGATATTGGTGAACTTGCGCAGATACATTGTGGTGGTACCTCTGTTACTGCAACACGTTCAGCCTAATAACCTTTTTTTTTTTCTCTCTGAACCAGAATATACAATCTGTGGGCTGAAGGCGCCAAGGTTCAAGGCGTCGCAACTGCAAGTAAGCTCATTTCCACGGCGTATACAGTAGTGATTTCTTATTTTTACGGGGGCATCCATCCTTTGTTAAAACAGCGCCATCTCCAAGCTTCGTCATTTACGAGTTATTCTTCGTATACAACGTACCACCTTCATCCCATTTTTGTCTTAAGCTCTCTCTCGTCTACCGCGCGCGCTGATTCAGCTGCCGATTGAAATTCGCGGTTTCGATCTAATCCGCGGGAGTCGTATTTCGATAGAGGCTATAAATGCAAGAAGCCGGTGTACTGAGCGATTTCAGTGCTCGTTGAAGAACACCAGATCGTCAAATTTTCCGCAGTTCTCCACTACGACGTGCGTTGTAAAAATGTACGGGTTCTCAAGGATAACCTTGGATATTAATCTCCGTCTAGCCTTTTTTCAACACCGCTTTTTCGACGTACTCAGTTTGTTTCCTCAGAAGTGCAAAATAAGTGCGAGTTTAGAACATCCTATTCATCGGCTTAATGGTATCGTTCAACCAAAACAGTGCTTTTATTTAAGGCATATGAACTGGGAAGCTAATGCGAGAAATTAGCGCGAGCATGGAGACATTAAGAAGACAGACGAAAGCGATTGATTGATTGATTGATTGATTGATTGATTGATTGATTGATTGATTGATTGATTGATTGATTGATTGATTGATATGTGGGGTTTAATGTCCCAAAACCACCATATGATTATGAGAGACGCCGTAGTGGAGGGCTCCGGAAATTTCGACCACCTGGGGTTCTTTAACGTGACAGACGAAAGCGAATACCAGGAAGCAATTCTTAGCTGTTTGTCATTTTTACTAGATGCATCCCCACATAAGCTAACTGCAAGACTAACTAAATTACCTATGCTTATCTCAGTAGGACTGAAAGGCACGTTGTGTAGTGCACAAACGGACTAACAAGGGCGTTTCGCACGCTTTAAGCTCTGTCTCTTGTACCCGTATAGTCGCCACGAGCGCACTGGAAGGCACGGGAGACTAAAGTGTTCGTTTTTATGCTGTTTCTTTACGCTGGCACTCTCAAACGTGGTCAGCCTCGTGCCACGGCCCCTCCTTCTATTAGCGACCGTAGTGTGCTAAACTTCTGCTGTAAGATCTGGGTCTTAAAAGGCTCACTGAAGAATAAGCATAGTGATAGTAACTATAGAGAGTCATGTAAGCGGTGCATATCGGTGATAATTAAATCACTGCTCCGCGATCATTCTGGCGGAAATTTTAAGCCCTGTTTGCCGCAACGAGTACCGCGAAAAGCGCTGCTATCGCAACAGCATAGTTCTTACGGACGTTTTCTGGCAGGTCATGCTCGCTTAACGAGTACGAAAGCACGTGTACATCGTCCGTTTAATTAATTACGCACTGAAAAGCCGCGAGTTATGCATGGCCGTCAACGTGAATCGAAATATCTCCCGCCCGCATTTGCACCGTCCACGCTAAAACCAGAAATAGGAGCGCGCCTTCAGGCAAACTTACTACTAGAGATGTGTGAATACTAGTTAAGTTTAGTAGGTAAATCACGTGGTAGCTCACCGTATACTCGTGTGGCCACTTCACATCCGTCACTGACAGTGTCACGTGCACGCACACCTTCTTGCACGATAGTGGGCGAGGCGGCGACGTCTCTTGTTGCTCTCTAAAAACCTTAGCTGCAGCCTTGCCGCGGTGGTCTAGTGGCTAAGGTACTCGGCTGCTGACGCGCAGGTCGCGGGATCAAATCCCGGCTGCGGCGGCTGCATTTCCGATGGAGGCGGAAATGTTGTAGGCCCGTGTGCTCAGATTTGGGTGCACGTTAAAGAACCCCAGGTGGTCGAAATTTCCGGAGCCCTCCACTACGGCGTCTCTCATAATCATGCGGTGGTTTTGGGACGTTAAACCCCACATGTCAATCAATCAAACCTTAGCTGCAGGCGTGCGTATCACGTTGTCCAGAAAAAGCTGAGGCACACATGTACTATCGGCATCAAATGAAACGCGAACGGCGGAGCGCGTGGCTCAAGCCTTAACAATGGCATAGTGCGCGCCGTCCACCAGTCATTGACACGGACAGGCCCGCACATCCGGTGTGGCAGCACTGCGCGATACCCCCATAGTGCGGTATTTCTGCTCTTGTACCAGGTGTGGTAATGTTATTTGAAAGGAACAAAATAAAAAACATAGGTAAACTACTGGAGCCGAAGGCGAGTATTGTAACACGGTTTGTCATCATGGAGCCCATAATCACGGAATGCCTGGCAAATTCTATTTATAGTAGACAAAACTCTGTTCACTATGCTGGCCATTTCACACTGTTTTACTTCGTGCCGGTAAAAGCAAAACAATTTGCGGTCTCTGTTCTGAAGAAGCGCTCGGCATTTCCAGTTAATGTGAAGCCTTTTCCGGTCGGTCTCTGAGAGAAGGGTGCAGGTGAATTAGCGCTGGCGAACGAGATACGACGATTGTTTTAAAATCAACCGCCGACCGATTATATTTCTCTTTTTGTTTTACCTTGCCAAGACACTGATTGCACTGCGACGCTGAAGTAAAAGCTAGGAATTGCGAGTGATACAACCAAATACGCCCACGATGGCCATACGAAAACTGGGGCAGAAACAGAGATAACGCACTCTATAGGGGGATCGCGCAGTGCTGCCAAACCGGATGTGCACGCCTGTCAATGGCGATGACTGAACGGCCAGCACTATACTGTTTCTAATGCTTGAAACACGCGCTCCACTGTTCGGGTTTCATTTGATGCCGATAGTACATAGTACAACGCTCGCAACACGAAAATACCTCGAGAGATGAACGCGCTACACCGCAGGGGACGTCGAACACGTCGCAGCCAGAGTCACGTGATATCGCTGTCACTGTGCCTTTCCGGCAGTTGTCACCACGGTGTACGTCCCCGAGGCCGTTGTACAGTTCAACACTCGCACAACGGTTTAGCGCAACACACAGGAAGCGCAGGTCAAGACGGGAATAAGCTTATCTTTATCAGCGAGGGCACCTGAAGGCGTGCTGGCAGTTTCTCCGTAACCAGGTAAAGCGAACCATGTCTTCTCTACTGCCATCTCGCGCCGATAACAATCCGTAATCGATTGCTAAAGAGTTCGTGCGCGTGATATTAAATGTTTAGACGTTCCCGCGCATCGACCTTTCACTCTGACATAAAATGTTATTTGCATTTATTGCCCCTTACATAGCATTGTACGCTGCGTGTGCTCTGCAAATGTTAGCAGAGGCCCCGACCACCACGTTTGTGGACCGACACCACACGGAACCGCGCGTGTGCCAGCGCTTTCGGGCGCTTATTCACAAGAGGATGCTGTACCTGTTGCGCACGCCGTTCCTCTTCTTCACCGGCTGGATCCTCCCAATCGTCATCGCGCACATCGGCATCGGCATCGTCAAGCTCAACGCCTTCCGACTGCCGTTCGAATACAGGTAATCGTCTATATACATTTTTCATGAGCCAGAACGCATAAACATAGGGAATAGCTCATTATTTGCTACTGCAATACAAGGAATACCCTTGTTTAGTATAGCATAGTATAATATTGTGTAGCAAGGAATGGGAAAAAGAAGTTTGATTGAGATGGAGAGATAAAGGAAACAGAGGAAAAGAAAGACAGGCAGAGAAATAGAAGCAGAGTGAAAGAAACTGACAACAAATATAGAAGAAAAAGTCGCACACATCTCCCCGTAAAGAGAACCCCGAGTAGTACGCTAAGCAGCCATGGGTCGACATGAAGCTCTCTAAAAAGGAGCCCTTTGTCCATCACCATAGAAGTTCATGGTTGCGCACACAGCCGGTTTGCGAGCCTTCACCTCCGCCACACCCATGCTCATGTCTTCATTCATACGACTATATATGCTGGGTGTGTGAAAGCGCTTTTATTGCAGAGCCGCGCAGCGTCGCTAGCGGTCTCCACTCGCACCAGATAAAACAGAGCACGCGGCGCCGTAGAGGAGCGAGTGTTCTATACCGCAGGGCCATCTCGTGGGCGCTCCGAGTACTAGCGTGGCTACGACGACGAACAAGGGACAAGCACCGACCGTTAGTTGCTTATAATCTAAAAGGTCGTAAAGTAAAGCCTTGTGTAGTATATTATAGAAAGAGGTCTGAGTGTAAAGTGCAGCCAAGCCAGGAACCTGTCCACCAGCAATGCGGTGACCAAGCCATGTTTGCGCGACTTTGTGTAAGCTGCGCTAATTCTTTATTAGTATTGCCGATATTCCATTGCCAACGGCATGTTCCTCCTGTCGCTCGTTGCATGCATCGCCCAATCGCAGGTACATCGATCTCGACGCCGATGCTTACGTCGGAAGCAAAAAATACAACCTGCGAACCTTTATCGAGGAAGAGAAGCGAACCGACGAGTCCCTGGGCTACAAGGTCCTCCTGGAGAGCTTGAACGTGCCGTACATGCAGATCTTGAGCGTCCTGTTCTCGCTGTTCACCATGTACGACAAGATATTCTTCAAGTACGCCTCGTACTACTCCTTCGGCACCGTCTTCGATAATAAGTCGTAAGTGGCTCGAAATGCTTACATGAAAGAAGAGAACGCTGCGGGCTTGTGCCTTTGTTTAAAACAACCTTGATGAGAACCAGCAGATAATGAAGCCAAGGAAAGTATAGGGGACTAACTGTGCTGTTTGAAGTGTATTGTAGTAATAGCTTTAGATTGTGCAAATACTAATGGTAACTAACAATAATACCAGTGAAATTATAAGCAGTGTATTAGAAGTAATTGTAATGTAAATTTGAAAAAAAGGACGAAAAGATAACTAGACCAACGTTACCCGAACCTGCGACCTTCAATTAACGCGGCCACTGAGATCCGGTGTTGGTCATCCCCCTGTCCACACTATGGGGCACATATGTGCATTTAAACATGGGAGTGTCAGTCAGCGCCGCCTGTTACCATCACAGCGAGTGTAGAACACTCGCCGTAATGCAACAATTACGTCTAATAGCATCCCCTGTACTATTCCTGGCATTAGTGTCTGTTGTTTCCATTTATATTGTGTCTAAATCCCTTAAATTTACAGTTTTCTTCATATTGTACACATAGTTTTTATATACTCTTGATATATACTCTATATAGCTCTTGATACATGTTTTCATTGTGACAAAGACGAAAACTCAACTTCCCACCGACAGGCACCGAACTTGGTTGCAGGACCCGAAGGTTGCCCAACTGGGAGGGTTACAGATTTGTTTTAGCGGTATGGAACAAACAAGAGAAGAATGATTACCAAGATACCTATATTCAGGTGGTTCCGCGTAAGAGGGTTATATATTGCTCGAGTTTCCTTGTGTGCTTCTATTAGACGGAAAACACACCTTTGGAGTCTGAATAATCCAGACCAGCGGCACGGTCCGAGCTGCACTATCTGAGTGTCACCATTTGGACATTGCCATTAATGTAACCACTGTCGTAGACATGAAAACTAACTAGGCACACCAGACCTGCATGGAATATGCAACACAGACACAGCGAAAGCTGTGGGAGCGGCCTCTGTACAGCCCATTGTAAACTATCTTGAGGCGACTACTAAAAGTAAAGTTGAAAGGTGCCCATGATACCACAAATCCTAATTTTTCAAAGTAGGACAATATCCACTATCTCACTACTGCGTGGAAAAGCGATGTAAGTGCCGCGCATCTGTAAAGAATTACGTGCACATCGCTGATAATGTGGCTGATGACTTGTTGATACCGTGGAATGAGCGCTTTGTAATGGTCGGGAGGCTTTAAACCACCGACCCGTTACGCAATTCGCATTTTGTGAGGTCTGGTTCTAGTTTCACTTGTCTACCCCACTATATTACATCTTAAGTTATTCCTCCGCCGACATAACACCTGTATGAGGTCGTCTTGCGAAGGAGTTTTAATCACCACGTGGCTTCGTGGTGCGATAACCGACTGCCACACTGGGGGCCGGGGTTCAGATCCGTGCTCGATCCTGGGTATCTTTTTTTTTTTTCTCATTGCGCGCGATAGTGGTTACGTACACAGGCGGCGGCGGACAAAGATGCCGCCAAACTCGGCTGCTCTTGTGATCTTGTAACAGAGTTCGCTTAAAAGCCAAGCGTGGAAGAGAGAACTGCCGCCCCCACCCCTTCCACTCGTAGCTGTGTGTGCTGCTTCTCACCTCTCTGCCTAATTTTTTTTACTGTTTCCAATATTCAGGAATATGTACAAAGTTACCGAGATCAAAACACTTCTATACTGTCGCCTGCGATTGCCGTTAACGCAGGATACAACTGTGGAGCAACCCTCTGAGCGTGATCGCGGCCAGCATGCAGCAGAACCTGATCGACACCGTCCTCCTCCGACAGCAGACGGGTCAGCCCAACACTCGCATCCACGCAGGTGTCTCGATGTACACGCTCACCGAGGAGGAGATACGCGTATGATACCACACCTGTTGCGAGCGAGTTTTCTCTGCGCTAGCCCGTTTTAGCCTTTCTTGTAAGGTGCCACTTCAGTCAATCAGTAGACAGATATAGTATACCGGGCTTACCGTGATACCGGAATCGAAGTGCGCATGCGCAGATACGTACGTTACGGGTACCGCTTACTGTACGCGCGATATTTTTCCAATTTCACGTTACCGTAATAGCGTAGGTGAAGTACGTAAACAAGGAGGTGCTCTCTGACGCCCGCTTCGAAGGGATTTTGGCGTAGTTGTTGAAAGATTCACCTTGTTCACAGCAAACGACTGTTTAAAGTGGCTTCGCTTGCCTTCAGTTAGCTTCGACGACCGAGTATTACGGATAAGTTGGCGTAGTTTTTGAGATAGCTTCCCATTTTGAACGTGTCTAGGCCTAACTGGAAGATCTGTGTAAACAAATCTGCAGGGTATTTTTTTTTGCTTTTGGAGCGAGGTTCATATTTATTTACTTTTATTATTACTAAAATAAACTTTTAACAATGCTTCGCGCGGTGACACAGGCAGACATTCTCGTTTCTTTTCACTGTTCTTACTTCTCAAACCCCCGCTATATGGCGCCACCATCCCAGCTGGGGCACGTAAACTTCGTAAAGGCTATTCCGCTAAACCATATGACGCTGTCCGCAACGTACGTTTGCTGCATGGTAAAGTGATTTCTTTAACTTCCGCTATCACGCTAACACTAAACTATAACTATCTAGTAGCTGCTCTAGACGGCCACTTAATGTGAATAGTCGTCGTTAGCGTTGTTGATGTTGCTGCATACCAATCTTACATTATAACGCATCCAGTTAGTTGTGTCAGTTATATCATTTCTGATTTTTTTACTCAATCTTTCATGACACGAATATGCCTTATTACAGCCACGAAAATTGCAATTCAACGATATCATACAGCGACAATTTTCTCGTGTCCGAGCTGCGAAATCCTGCGTGTGATCGCCACGAAACGGAAGGCATTGGGGACACGTCACAGAGATCGGCTATTTTTGTGCAACTTCAGCATCAGACTTGGCGTGCACCAGTGTATAGTTGGCGACAAAATATTATAGGCCCGTAGGTGAGAGAAAACATTGTAGTTTCCAACAATTTATAGCTGTATTGGGTCGAACTGCACAGAACATGTTGTTAGCACGTTTTATCACAGGCCGGCAATCTAAAAGGATTCTGGCCGAAGCAACTGGGATATTCAGCTTTTACCAGCGGAGCTTTTCTCGGGCAAGGTCTGACGGCAGATGAGTGTCCATGTCGCATGTCACGCGTTCTAAGGCGTTCCCGGATACACTCATAGGTGGCGTAACTGGCACGGCAGGAGACGCAGTGAAACGGGGAAGGGTGGCCCGAGTGCGAAAGAGGGCTAAAGTAAATGCAGCAGAGGTTTCTGCACGCCCTTTCCCGTACATTCCCATTCCGTAAATAAAGTAATCAAAGACACTCGCACAAAATCACAAGGCATCACAGCGGAAACACATAGAGAACCGCAGCTCCACTGTTTCTGCAACACTGCACTCCAGTGGCCATTATTACATTTTTTTTTTGTCTCACGGTCTCTAAAATTCAATACTGACTGTTCTTTGATTAAACTCCTTTCCAGACCAACGTGATCGAGCGTGATCCGCTGAACGACCTGGCCGAGCTTTTGGAGCACACGTGGGCCTACTGGGGCGTCATGGGATCGGTGAGCTTCGGCCTGGTCATGTCGTCGTTCGTGGTGCTGCCCTCCATCGAGATCTGCAGCGAGGCCCGCCAGCTGCAACTCATGACGGGCGTCTCGGGCTACCTCTACCTGGCCGCTAACTTCATATTCGACCTGGTCTTCTACCTGGTGCCGATGGCGGTCATTTACGGCGGCTTCGCCGCGATTTTCGATCTGCACGGCGAGACGCTGGGTAACGAAGCATTTCTTTGGACCCCTTTAGGCTACCGAGAGTATACACAGTAGCAACACCAGCGCGCGAAAGAATCGCGCCGGAAGTGAGCGATCGCTTTTGAAGACGCGTCCTTGAGGTCATCACGCGCGCGCTGGCTGACGTAGCTGCTTTTCCCCGTGTCACCACTCCCTCTGTAGCTTACGGCGCGCTTGTCGGGACTAGAAATGGAGTGCTTGAAAGATTACTCACCAATGTCTGCTGATTTATCACTTCTTAACAATTTTTTAGACTCTGTAGTACATACTGCCATTTTCTGCACTTTTCCTTGAGCTACTCTAAAGAGGCAACCACATGGGGTAACTGTTAATTTTGCCTTTTTCAGAGTCGTTGCTCATCATTATGATCGCCTTCGCACCCTTGGGCATACTTCTACCGTATCTGATATCAGAGCACGCCCCCGATGGTAGCACGGCATACGCGATTGTCCTCGGACTCTTCGCGATCGCAGGTAAGTAGCTTTTATATAGTGTTATGGCTATAAATACATTGAGGCAGACAGAAATTTTATCTTGCCACGGAAAAAAATGCAGGCGAAAAGAGAGTAAAAAAAAAAACGCCGCTGTGTTTCACGATCCCAACATACGGCGATACTATTACCCGTATGAGAAATCGCGTAAGTCATATGTAGATCTTTCGTGATCAATAAGGGTTGCTGGACGTCATGATCACACGAGCTTCGCTTCCCGTGATATGTCATCCTTTACCTTTTTATTGTTTATTGGCAATCTAATGCGCGTCTACGGACACCTGCAAGCCGATTGTCCATCGACATAGAACATCAAATAGTGGACACTGGGTACCGTGGCACACTAAGTCACGTTGAACATGTCTCGATTTTCATGAAGCTTTCTAACTACTCGGTTCCGTTGGACTCTCATGCTCTCGGATTGTCTGTGGACGCTATAGCACCCGCATCTCGCTGTTTTTGCAGTCATTTTCGCACCATATCTGTGCGTAGTGCTCACACGGACAGTAAACGCTTTTAACACAACACCCAAAACCGTCAGAACTTTCGCTTGTAGTGTATCTTTCGCTTGGCTCGCAGAATGGACGCGAACACTGGGGTTACGTTGACTGGTCATTCATGTTTGGCTAATCGGGTTTCATTGTTCCAGGTCCAGGCACAATAATCGGCTTTCTCTACGCGTCCGACGCTTTCGAGGGCCAGAGCCTACGGGTGCCGTTCATGTTCTTCCCGCCGTTCGCACTCTCGGCTTCCACAGTGCGCGCCGTGAATCTCAAGTACGAAGTGGCGATATGCGATTACCTGCGGGGCCGGAAGAGGCTGCTGGACAAGCACTTCGATTTCTGCAACACGGTGAAGGCGTTCGGCGCGGCCATACGGTTTTGCTGCGACGGTGAGTATCAGAGCGACAGAATTAAGGTTGATTGATTAATTGATTGATTTGTGGGGTTTAACGTCCCAAAACCACCATATGATTATGAGAGACGCCGTAGTGGAGGGCTCCGGAAATTTAGACCACCTGGGGTTCTTTAACGTGCACCCAAATCTGAGCACACGGGCCTACAACATTTCCGCCTCCATCGGAAATGCAGCCGCCACAGCCGGGATTTGATCCCGCGACCTGCGGGTCAGCAGCCGAGTACCTTAGCCACTATACCACCGTGGCGGGGCCAGAATTAAGGTTGAGCTATTTGGTGCGGATTCGTTATAAAAGAATTGCCGACAACAGGACGGAAAGGCAGGCTATGATTGGTCTTGACTCGTAACGTTTGGAATTGTACAGCGCTGAACATATTGTACGACAGACATACTAGCACACACGGACAGCACTTACTCTCAACTGGCGGTTTATAGCATATGATACAGGCGTGAATGTGTACCCGCATGCGCTAAAGAAAACAATGGAAGATGCCCAAATGTTGCACCAGAGGAAGAGTGAAAATAATGCCCGCTTATCAAAATCTTATCAAACTTGGTTGCTCATTGCACAAAGTATCAATGCTAGCCACAGTTTCAACACAGAAGTGCTAGGTAGGCACAGTGACATGAAGAAAAACCTGATCCTAGAGACGTACCTTATTAACAAAGATGGAGCGAGATGCATCGGCGAGCCTTCCATCTCTTTAAAAAATAAAAAAATGAATTTCTGTAAGTCCCGCACAGAAAATATATTGTCGTACTTCTTGTATTTTTTCTGTTGTTCATAATTATTTTTATTTGTGCATGTCGGCACGCGTTCACGCATGTATTTTACGCAATAAACCTTCAATTTAGTCAGGGCTGTCCATGTCTGTTTCTTAGTCTATCTTTTCTCCGCTTTACAATTCCACCCGCTATGGTAAAATAAGTTGGCGCACAGACAAGCCGGCATTTGTTCTTCTGATCTCTTTTCTTCTGCCCTACAGGAACATTTCACTTATGTTATCATGCGTGTCTCAAGTTGTGGTATATTATAATCAATGATATTGTTTGGTGAAAACCATGGTGACGACAGCCTAGACGACCATGGGCAGTTGATGACAAGAGCTGAATAGAAGTGCTTGATGACGCAGCTGAATAGGCAGCTAGCACTTAGACCATACACTCGATCCGCAGTGGTTTAGATCGCGTGCTTGGTTGGGTTATGGGGTTTACCGGCCTAAATCGATTCCGCCTGATTGATATCTTGTCTCTTTGCATGTGCCAACACATTCCTAATAACTCTTCCCAAGTTGTCCCTTCTGTCAGCTCTGTGCATGTTCCACAGTGCATTTAAACCGTTTAAACTCCAGAACTTATACGCGTGTGTGTGCGTGAGTGCGTATGCGCTGGTACAGCAGCCCTGCTTCACTGCTTAGAAATGCTATACTTGCTCGTCATTCCGTTCCAGTGCTGACGAACAGAACTGACAGCGAATGGCAGGAATTCCACGCCCTGTCAACTTCGCCCCACGGGATTCTCCAGGACGTCCTCACCATGATTCTCCTGGGCTTCCTTGTGTTCCTCTACCTGCTCTACCGGGCGCTGGGCCTGCCTCCGCTGCTGAGACAGAAGACGGAGCCGCCGGCGATGAGGCCCGGTCACAAGGAGGACGAGGACGTTGCGGCCGAGAGGGCGGCCGTCGAGCTCATCTGCCGACAGCAGCGCTTCGCTGAGCACACGCTCGTGGCGCGGTGCCTGCACAAGATGTACGGGCAGCTGCACGCCGTGCGGGGACTGTCGTTCGCCCTGAAGCCCGGCGAGTGCTTCGGTCTGCTTGGCGTCAACGGCGCCGGCAAGACGACCACCTTCCGAATGCTCGCCGGTCTCATACCGGCGACGTACGGCAACGCCTTCATGAAGGATGCCGTTCTGTCGGACGACATTCGGAAGGTGAGATGATAATAATAATTTCAGGAGTTTAACATATCCCAAAATTGGATATGATTACAGGAGACGCCGTAGTGGGGGGCTACGAAATTTCGACCACCTGCGGTTCTTTAACGTGCACTTAAATCTATGCACACGGGCCTGAAGCATTTTCGCTTCTATGAAAAAAAAAGCTGTTGCGTGTACAAATAGCACTGATGAGCGAAGCTCTTTAGAAGTGGGAGACAAACAATTAGGCGCCTGATCTCGCTGCTGGTTTTCATGAAGGCGGTCGGGTGGGGAAAGCGTTTGCTGGAAGTGGATGGGGAGAGCCTCTGCTGCACTCGGTGGCGGGAATGACTGAGCGAGCGAGCGTGCAGCGCGAGCCACCTGCCAGGAGCACGCCCCTGTTGTTTTGCTCGGCGCGCTTGTCCGGCGCAGGGAGCTTCGACGGCGGAGTGCGAGCCTAAAGGAGCTTCGCTCCTAAAAATGCGGCCGCCGTGGCAGGAATTCGACCCCGCGACCGGCGGGTCAGCAGTCGAGCCCCATAACCACTAGACCACCGGGAAGGTGAGCGGAAGAAGCGGAGGAGAGAGTAAATAATTACTAAGTGTTGGAGTTCTGGCGTCTCGGAACCACGATGTCACGCGAGAAGACGCATTGTGCAGGACTGCGGGTTAAATTCGACCACCTAAGGCTCTTTACCGAGATCCCATATCTAAGCACACAAGCCTCTTGCATTGTCTTCATTTTGCGTCACGGCCGGGATTTGATCCCGCAACTTTCGGGTCAGCAGACATAAGGGCTAAATCACCACGGTTGGTCAAACAGAGGAGGATGGGAGTTTCGAAGAAAGGTATTTTCTACCACCCTGATTGGGAGCAGGCCTCAACGTCTCTGGGTAGATGGGAAGGGACAGAGAAGAGAGCAAATGAAGAGAAGACAAAGCTTTTCTACGAACGTTCTTACGTGAAGCTTGACCACGAACTTTGCTTGTGGATGAAAACTATATACCACGTTTTTATAGCCACGGGCCAGCAATGTAGGCGGAGTTTTCAACTGGCTTAGACTGAGGCTCACCAGATTAATATTCGGTTTTCCTGGCACCACGTTTTCTTAGCTTCTACACGTCAACAGGAAAATCAATGCCATTGGCAGCCAACGGACAGAAATGCAAGCAGGTTTCATGGACAGGAATGACGTAACTTCGGACAGCGCCTCCTCAGATAGACTGACCGACGTCTACACAGGTGGACCGATACCTTCTCTTCATATCGAAAGCACGTTAGTTAAAGGGGCCCTGAAACATTTTTTTGTGTAATCATGGAATGAATTCACTGGACGAGCTTATTGCCCCGCGAATCCAACGCCGCCAAATTTTTAAGAATCTGTCCAGGGCGAGTGGAGTTGCAAAGATTTGTCGCATGCTGCAATCGCATTCTTCCTTCTCTCGTCCCGACAAAAGCGCTGGAAGCTAAGCAGGGAGGGATGGCAGTGCCACAGAAAAACGTCACGCGCGCTTCGTGACCTTGAGCACCTTTTTTTTCTAAAGCGCGACTTTTTCAGTGTGATCGCGCGCGCAGGTCTTCCCGCGGCGATATCTGTAACGAGCGAGCGCGCCATGTTCAAATCAGCTAATGGCTGATACATGGGTCGTTGACGTGTTGTTTTTTTTTTTTGGGGGGGGGGGGGGCATATAACGTAATTTGTCGAGAGAAGAAAAAGCGATTTTCAACTGACTTTGATAATTTATTGTGAATTGCAGGCCGCGTGCTGTGCTATAATATTTGGCTCGCGTGTTGTGGGAGCCTCTACTACCGATCGGCAGCGTTTTCTGACCACGCTCAAAAAGTGTTGCAGGGCCCCTTTAAACAGAAACGGCAATGCAGGCTTGCAGTTGTTGCATGTCTGAGATGCTTACTGCGCAAAATGGGCACGCGTACAGAATAACGAGAGATGCAAGCACACACGCCATTGTGTGTGTCTCTTTGTCCATTAATTGTTATTTTTGTCCGTTTGTTGTTTCAGCACTACAACTAGTAACTTCCTTATGAAATCAATCAGGAACACCTGCACTACATGGAGAAACTTGTCCACGGCGGCAAACTACATGGCCTCGTAATTGCGATTCGATTCTCACACCCTCAACGGCAAGTGACGAGCAGTGGAAAGGTTGGCTAAGGAACGTCTGGAGTGTTACGGAGCGCTCAGCGGTCATGCCCGACGAGACGCGGACACCAGTGGGGCCTTGAACTTTAGAACCCAACAGTCACTCAATGTCTTTTACCATGGTCCAATTTCGTCGGTTCTTTAATATTCTAGGAAAGAAAGATTGCTGAAACGTATTCGTGTACTACTTCCTGAAGATACAATAGACATTATCTTTAGCGTGATAGCGGGCTTAAGGGAATAGCGTTACTGTGCCGCAAATGTTCGTTAGAAACCGCGATAGCGTTTACGTGTATTACGTGCGCCAGTTACCTAGCGGATGATGAATAGAATAAATAACAGTGGAAAGGAAAAGAAAACAAGAATGCTTGCCTGTGTCACCACGCCAAGCAATGTTACAAGCTTTTTTTTTTAGTAATAATAAAGGTAAATAAATATGAACCTCGCACCAAACGCGAAAATATTTGTTGCCGATTTGTTTACGTAGACCTTTTAGTTAGGCCTAGACGTTCGAAATTGGAAGCTATCTCAAGAACTACGCTAACTTATCCTTAGTACTTGGCCATCGAAGCTAACCGAAGGCAAGCGAGGCCTCTTTGCAGGCCTTTGCTGCGAACGAAGTGAATCTTTTAACTAGGCCAAAATCACCTCGAAGCGGGCGTCTGAAACCACCACCATGTTCTACGTACACTACGTAAACCACGCTAACGTTAAATACGGTGAGCGTACGGGTCACGTATATACGTTATATACAGCGCATGCTCACTTTGATATCGCTATGCAGGTAAGCCCGCTATTCCGCGAAGTTCGGTAAATTATCATTGTATAACATGTGGTTATAGCGGTAATGAAGTTGCTCACGAAGACGATGATGCAAAACAATGCTGACCGCGAATGACTTGCGCGATTCTTTTTTTGTCTGACACAGTGGCAATCGAGGCTGGGCTACTGCCCTCAGGGCGGTGCTCTGTTGAACAAGCTGAACGCGTACGAGACGCTGTATTTGTACGGTCGTCTTCGCGGTGTGCCCGAGCACGTCCTTCCCGGAGCGGTGGATTACGTCCTCTATGTAACAGACCTCAGCGATCAGGCGGGAAAGAAGTGCATGCACTACAGGTAAGTCAACCTCGCATACTGCTTATACGCATGATTGCGCGCATAGTTTAAATCGCCATGATCATCATCATCGGCGGCAGCGGCGGCAGCTTATGCCCACCGCAACAACGTTGCACGGCAAGGCAACGGCCACTGTGACGTTTTTCTAGTTAAATAGGCACTCTGCTAGCTGTGCTTGGCCACATTACTCCCGGGAACATCTTAATATTATCCGCTTACCTAGCTTCCTGTCTCCACCTCGCGCGTTTGCCTTCTGTTGAAATCAGTGCTGTAAATCCAGAAATATCACAAGGGGAGACCCAAATCAAACCATGGCGGTCATTTTGTTTTTATTTAACATAGTTTGTATTTTTACTTACGCAATAATTAGATCATGCTTTGAAATGAAGTTCAGAAAACGAGCATGTGGTCCGAGCTCGAGTATGGCACTGTTTTAGCCGGTCTTTTCCGAACCGACCGAGCGATTTCCATAGTCCCACACAGCTAATGGGTATTGAACACAAGTACACACTAAATAAAAAAATAATCAACATTCAAAAAAGTTTAACGTTATATGTTTAGCTGTCAATTAACTCAAACATATAATGTGATAAAGCTAAATCTCAAGGGGGGGGGGGGCACCGGCAAGGAGTGTCCTCTCCAAGCCCTGGACCCCCCTGAGACCCGCCCATGATTTACGGCAATGGTTCGTGCCGCTTGATTTCGACTAAGACGTACTCAACGTTGTATCTTCACCCACTTTGCCTTTTTTGTATCCCTTAAGGTTGCACATATAATTTCTGACAGGATTAAATAGGGCGTGGATAACGAGAGGTGAGACATACTCATGTGACTCGCATTGTTACAAAAGGTACAGGATTAGGCGAAGGGTTTCTTCTTTTGATGCTCGTACTAGTCACTGCAATGGTTCGTGACATTAGCACATGCTTCTCAAACGGCTGATTGATTGATTGATTGATTTGTCAGTGGAGGCAATCGGCGCAAGCTGTCCATGGCCGTGGCCCTGATCGGCCTCCCTGGCCTAGTGCTCCTGGACGAACCGTACGCCGGCGTCGATGTGCTGGCCAGGACGCGAATTCACGAAGCCCTCAATCCACTGAGGAACAAGACCGAGACCACGATAGTGCTCACCTCACAGAGGTATGCATATGAGGACACACTACTCAAAGAACGGCATCGTTATTCGCTGATGTCGATGGCTTCGCGCTGCACATTGCTTCTTGTGATATTAGGCCGACGAACGACTCATCTCCGTCAGGCCCTAGCGTGATTTGTCGGACACATCAAGACAGCTTTGTAAATCAGCATAGTCGGCTACACTCCGAGAAGAATGTGTTACTCGTAGTGTCGAGTCCTGATCTGCTACATATAAGTTCTCTTTAATGTGCACATAAACTCTCTCTTGGAGAGTAGCACCTCCAGGGAAATCTCCGAAGATAATATTGTTACAGGATAATAATAATATTGTCTCACCCCCGTGACAATATAATGATCTCTAAAAGAGACGTCACTTTTACTATTCAAGACAGTTTTAGACTGCACACAGGGCACCAGGGAACGAGAGGAGCTGCATCAGAGGAGGCTGGCTAGCCGAGGCTAGCGGAATCAAGCGACGCTATATTGTGCATACGTCTTAGTTCTTTTTTTATTCCTCTATGGTGACCCTTCACCCTGAACAAAGCGCACAAAAAAAAATGAAGACCGAAGAGAAAAGGACACAGTCCAAGCTCTATGAGCATCACATGCGTTTGTGATGTCTGTGGCTCTTCGTTCAGTCCTATAGTCTGTGCGCTGTGATAGGTTTGCACAGAAGTGCCCATAAATGTGCGCACAGAGGAGGCCGAAGGGGATAGGGGATGAGGTGTTCTCCCTAAAATCAGTGAAGACGGAAACTAAGTGTTCCCCGTACGTTTACTTAGGGGACCTGTATCACCACTATTTAAGGTGCAGAGTTATGGCCATGGCTGTCTTTAACGACAATTTCGACCGAGAACGTGCTGTTAGATACCAACAGCCATTCTCATCTTTACCCAGAAAAGCATAGGACCGAGGGCGGGCTCATAAGAAGCGCTTCATCCCTTCCACTTTCATTTTAGCACCTATGCAGACATGTCCAACAAAATTGTGGGGAGGGGCGGAGGGCATTGCTGAGCTGAAAAATGGCTCTCTCCGCGCGACAGAGAACTCGGCGCGTGCCTATGAATTTGACTGTATAATGAGAGCTTTGTACAATATACAGCAGGCACACTATTATAACCGGCTTACATTTACCAACCAACGTAAGTGCACAGTAAAACAAGACATCCAGAACAAATGAACCAAAGACAAGCTAACACGCGAAATTTCGGAAGCCGTGACCATCAACGATAGTGGGCAATCATGCATAAGCACAGCTTCTGAAAAAAAATTTTTCTGTCACAGCTACTGACAGAAAAATTAAAAAAAAGATTAATGTGCACGAACAATTAATCTGGGAATTAGTGAGCGTTGCATTCACAATCAAATGCAATAAAAATTCAAGGCAAGTTTCGATAAATGTGCAGTTCCTAGTTGTAGCGTTGTGTCGTCTCCTCTTTTGTTCTCACCCAAGCCTCATGTGCTGTTCTGCGCGTATGTATTGCATCGCATGTGTGTTCCATTTATGTATGTTATGTATAACTTCGAGTTGCTGGTCACAATAGTACCGAGAAATTATCTCGAGACCTGTACGGTACTTCTTTTTTGCAAATAATTGTTTGTACTTCCACCCTGTAACGGCCCACTTCTGGGCTAACAGTATAAATAAATGAAATGAATGAAATGAAATGAAAGTATAGTTGGCTGAAACCTCTCGCTATGTGCAACCAACAAGCTCAGGCAAGCATAATTCTAAATTATCGACTATTCTTTATCGTTATGTGCAGCATGGAGGAGTGCGAGCTCTCCTGCGACCGCATATGCATCATGGTCGACGGGGAGATGGTATGCCTTGGAACGCTGCAGCACATCAAGGACAGGTTCGGCAAAGGGTACAAGCTGCTCTTCACACTCGAGGAAGACACGTGGCCCGCCGTCGAGCAGCTCGCAAGAGGCGTGCGTCATTCCCTCCCGGGAGTCACAGTTGTCGACGTGCGCCGTGTGAGTGGTCGCCTCCTTTAACTATGAAATATATACGGAATGGCAAGCGTAAGAATGTAGAGACACCATGAGTGTTTGTTCTTAAGCGTCGTTCTCTGGTTTGTTTCTTTTTCGTCAGTTTGTTGCACAGCAATTCTTCAATGTCTTGATTCATTCACGTGATGCTGCGCAAAGCAGGACGAGACACATCCACGACGAACATGAACGCTTCTAGAAGTTGTTTGTGTATATTGATCTGATTCGCGCCACACCGCCAAAACAGAAGATCTGGTTCATAGATCTGGAGCACGAATCCTCGCTAATGATCTCCTGGCGAAATCGGTCTAGACCCGATCATCTTTGAAACACTAAACCCCATGTCATTTTGAGTACGCACTCTCGTATCGCCGGCACCGACAAAAAGTAATAATAAAGGCAGAAACATAATACAGTGCTTGAATGAATATGATGCTATTGCAACGAGCGAATACCATGTCGCTAATAAAATGTTTACTTAGCCAACTAGCTAACAGTCGTTCAGTAATGTCTACAGCACAAAGCAACGCTGGCTGGGATGGTATAGAGCGCAGAGCATTTAGAAGGCGCGCGAGAGACTTGTGTCTTTAAACTCGTAGATATTGAAGGGAAGCTTCAATTTTCAAAGCTAGTAGCATTTGGATGCTAAGATGCCGTCGAATGTCGTGATGTGGACATCTTGTAAGTAGTATACACATTGACATTGGCGAGGTACGGTCATAATGTTCAAGAGGGCTCTGTTTAGAGTGAAGAAAATCGGGATTGCTTGGGCGTTGCACACACATGCAAAGAGGAAACAAGCATCGAAAAAGGATATAAAAACGGCCCTGGGGTCTATCTCGAAAAACAGCGTCCTGTGTACGTAAAAAACGTACTCGGCAAACCTGCCATCCCATCAGGACACTATTACCACTAGCGTAACCAAGAGCGCTTCTCCAAAGGTCCAAACTCCCGACCCTCAAAATTCTTCAGTTTTGCGTGCATGTATATACCACACACACAAAAATACACGAGTGAAAATGCATGATGAATGGTCAACGCTCCCCCCTTATTTGAAATGAAGTTTTGGCTATGCTTAGACTTCATGCGGCGTGTGCGCGAGCTACTAATTCGTTATTCGAATTCATACGCCACAGTAATATCGGAGTCGCACTTCTCTGCCCATTTTTATACCATATAGTACACTGCTGGAGCTTTTAAGATAAATTTGGTGTTTTCTCGTAGTGATATTCAGCTGAATCTGTGTGCTGCTTTTCGAACATGGTGTCTCGCTTAACTAGCTGTAGGAGTAATTGCTCCGACGTAAAGCTATAAGTTCCTATCGCCAGGGTTGTAATTACCGCAAGCCTCTGAGCCCACATGTATTTTTTTTTTTTATTGTAGGTGTCTGTGTTTACAAACACGCAGACCCATAAAATAATGTCTGAATAATAGTGTGTATGTGCATCAGGTGGTAAATAAACTCGGATGTAAAGCCTCACATACGAAGTTATGACCTCCCTAGAATCGGCTTGTGACATACAACAAATAACGTACCAGCATATGACGAAATGTGCAAGAATAGCCACTATTTGCCATGACCTGACATTTCATTGGCAGTGTAGTGCAGCGCCTTTAACTTGTAGGTCGGTCTAGAAGGTCATAAAAAACGACCTTAGCGAAAAAAACACTGAAGAAGCAATCTTCAGTGTCCCTTACTTCGTAACACAGTGGAACAGATGTGTATTTTTGCCTAGACACAATTGCATCATACCAGTATAAAGTTGAGACCTGCATTAAAGAGGAAGACAACTGTAAGCTTCACACGAGCCCTTTTGCACTCACGCTGAGACAGCTAAAAAATGAAAGCAGTCCTCTTTTCCTTTTTAGTCGATTGTATTGATTCTACCCAGCCCCCTTTTACACTCTTCGTTGTTTTTCACTGCCTCCGTGACCAGCACAGCGTGGACCGAGCAACGAAGTCATCTGATCACGTCATCTGCCAAAATAATGGCGTCAACAAAAATGACGTCACCATACGATTTTTTAGCATCACTCATGCTGACACCATATGGTCACATATCACATTTGAGAAGGCATCTGAAGCTTTCGCCTTAAATGGCCAGTCAACAGGCTCTGAAATGCACAGGAAAAGCTGGCGCATTTTTCATGTGCAGTGACGTCAACACGGCGATCGGCGACGAGTTGCAGCATGCAGCTCGTCAATTGGTCTAAACCAGGCCTTAACAAAGAGTAATGAAGTCAACGTCGCCGAGTTGATGTCCCTGCGCATGGAAGGAGGTTGGTCAGGCTTACGAAAGATGCATGAACTTGTTTCGAGGGTGTAAAAAAAAGTCCGAGCCTGTTGTGACCCTTTAACCCTTTCAGACCCAAATGAATCAATTTCAATGTAAGCAACTGGTCTTCACCTTTCAAGCTGCGCATAATCATGATAGTCCAAAAAAGTGAAAAAAATTGCTAATGCAATGCAGTTAAGGCTAACTAATGTCCAATTTAATTCAATATAATTTGAATATTACTTAATTACATTTTCATTATTCCTACTTCTTATGTGTACAGTTATTTACGGGAATGCATAACGCCCAATAGGCAAAATTCGAATTTGCTACGCAGGGCTCAAACAAATGCCTTATTTCTGCACGGTCAAAGAAGCCGCCTCAGCTAAACGTACAAGCAGCATGACCACTTCAGCAACGATTTCTTCGTTCCCATGCGACCTCGCTTTATTTGTGTGTACTAGGTTTTAGCCATAGATTCCCAGCGTGAGCCCTTGAGGAAGAGCAATCCTTTACCAATCGCTTTCTAACTAACCTACAAAATCGGTTATTCCAATTGATGACATGAAAAGGTTAATAACTACAGTAAAGAATTTCGCAAGCAGTGAGAACGAAAATACATTGAAGTAGCGCTTTGTATCTTTTGCATTCCTCTTTCTCATCGTCGCAGAAAGTGGTCGAGTTTCGCATGGAGGGCAAGCTGCCCTGGAGCACGCTGTTCCAGAAGCTGGCCGTCCTGGAGAAGGAATTCCCCTTCGAGCACGTGCTCGTGTCGGACAACACCCTGGAACAAATTTTCATCGAGTTCGCTCGCAAGGCACACGCCGAGAAACCCAGGCACGCCCTTGTTCCCGGAACCACTACTACGGCCACTATGTCCACTTCTGCTACCCCTGCTAGCACTGCTACTACGGCTACAATATGAACATTACCAATGTGTAGCCCCGCATTGTTCATGCAATAGAAATGTATAGACCGTGTGGTCACCCTGCTCATATGCTGTGTTCGTCGACCGGGTGCATGCACAGTACGATATCTCATTGGTATCTGTTCTTGTGTTCTTGAAGCGAGTGGGACACCGCTGAACAGGCCTGCTAGGCAAATGTCCGACTCGAAAGCCTGCATTATCATTCTTTTTTTCGTTTCTGTTGCTTGTAGCGTATACTGCTATTGCCTACGTGGAGCGAGTTCATGAGTTCTTGCCTCGCGTTGTCCATCGTTTGTTTCAACAAATTGTCAATCACTTATATTATGCGGAGCATTGGCGTAGCCAGGGGGTGGGTGGCTCACCAGACACATGCTCCCAGAATTTTTTATTTATTTTTTTGCAATGAAACACACAGCACAAAATGAAACTTGACTAGAACTGCCTGACCAGACCCCACTCAGATCAGAGATGTGCCCTCAACGAAACAAATGTCTGCCTGCACCGCTGATGTGGAATTCGATAATTAAAGAGCACCAGGCTTTGATAGTGAGAACAAACATAGCATAAATAACAGTAACTTGAGGGGATTTACGTGCCAAAACAAACTGCTACAATCGGCCACAGTGAGTGCATTTCTATGGATACTAAATGCTACACGACAGCGTACTTGATTTCCCGAGCCCATCCACTACGGTGTGCCTCAATAATGTTGTGACCTACAATACTCCAGAAAATATTACTGATTTAATGGTGAGGCACACCATAGTGGAGAACCCGGATTAGTTTTGGCCCCTTGAGGTCCTCCAAGCCCACTGGTGTTCGTGAATTATCGCCGCAATTGAAATTTGGCTGTCGTGGGCTAGATTCAAACCTGTTCTCGCCAGCGCGATCCTGCTATGTTACCAGAGCGGTCTCACGGAAAATCGCCACTCAATCACTCCGTACGGATGGCTCACCAGAGAAGATGAAACGTGGCACGCCAGACCGACCATCGAATTCTCTCTCAATTATTAACACGACAGCGTTAAACTGATTTTGCAGAAATTCTGGTGCCGGTGTCTATGTCGGCATCGCTGATTGTGAGCGAAAAACTGGCGTTGCCCGTACGCAAAAATTCGAAACAAATCCAAATTAATATTAAAAATTTTGGGTACAGCTGAAAGTTGAAGCCATTGCTTCTGCATGGCGAGCAACATGACGGAGCTACGACAGCACTTGAAGCTGCGCTCCGTGAAAAAATGCCATCCCTGCGTGAAATGTGCAGCACAGTCGCAGCGAAAGCTAGAAGAGTGGCCTTTCAGAGCCTTTTCTAAAGCACTCTACGGGTAACTGCTACAAGCACACTGCTGGGTAACTGTTATATCATAAATAATTTTTGTGCAATAAGGCCAGCATTCACTATGCTATCGTTCCACATTCTTTGGAGAAGCGTGGAATCCGCTGCACACTTGTTAGGAACTTTGTGCAATTTTTTCGGCAGTGGCTGACGACAATAGAGAATTATGCCTGAATTGGGCATGCGTCACAGTTAATAGGTGATCAAGAACAAGTTTTATAGTGTGTTGGAGCATTGTATGACCCACTCGTTATGCAATTCGAATTGTGAGATGCCTGGCTGTTCCTTTGATGTTGTAAAACGCTTTATTACTGATATTATTGCGATTTTGTTTCCCGACATCCAGCTTGCCTTAGGCCAGTTTAGAAACGAGTTCCAAGCACTGGCGTCGCTCAATGGTACAATACTGGGCTGGCACGCAGCAGACCCAGGTTCGAGCCCCACTGTCTCCTGTGTATTCTTTTATTTATCGAGTTTTTTTCTTATTTAATGGTATAGTGGTTATGGACACCCTATTCGCGGACGACTACGGTGCCACATGTGAACCATGTTGAGCTCTCATAACAGCTTAGCGCGCTGTTATCAGCACATTATGCGTCCTGTTTCCATTTCCTTGTCCACGTCCTCAAGCGATAAATTTTAAGGTGATATGAGACGGTGTTTGGATGTCACATTGTCATCACGTGAGTCTTTTTATCACTTCATGTTGGCCTTAGATGACACGTTAGACGCGAAAAGTGACCATCGATGTCAACACTAAATGAATAAAAATCATGTGATGACGTCATCCTGATGTCACAGATCACCAGAAGTGGTGGTGTTGCACGATAACACTGTCACATGCCACTGTCGGTTAGTCATTTCTGGGCTGCTGCTGTAGGCACTATGAAACCACGTAAGGTGTCTGAAGCACTTGGAGGGGGGAGGGGACAATAAAATCAGAGGTGTGTGTACCGGTAACCATGAGGCTTTTATTTCTTTTTTACCTGAAATCTTTTCTAGTAAAAATTGTCGTAGGGCTCGGCTCATTATACACTTTCAGTCTCTACCTTCCAGGATTTTACTTCAGTTAGACTTCATCAATAATAAATTGCAATCACTATAATTTTGGATTGGTCTGATAATCGCCCTGGGTGCAACAGTCCCATCATAGAAAGCATGATGTAACGATCATGTACAATTCTTTTATTTTGAACCGTGATTATTGATTCGTCTTGGAGACGCTCCAACGGTAGCTTTCGCACTGCCAAGCTTGCAGTTGCAAATTCTATACCAGCCTGGTGGCTTACAGTTATTTAAGAGTTGAGAATCACCGAGGCACACTTCAGAACAATGCGGCCCATAATGACATTACCGTTTTCACAAGTGAAACCATGGATTAAACAACCACATCAAGTGCTCACAATTAAGGGTGTGCAAATATTGAAAGTTTCAAATATTTTTCTAATATTGTTGGCTATTCGATTCGAGTCGCTCTAGAATTTGACTATTCGGAGTATTCGAACTTCCCAAAGACAAATACAGTCAAATGTTCAATGAAAAATGACCCCTTCAAATTTTTTTTTTTAATCTTCACCTCATTGCACTTTCGCATTGCGGCGAAGCTGCATTCATAACTTTGCTATGGTCGCAAATGCATTGACTCAAGATTACAGTCTAAATAGCAATGGCCTCTTTAGATTTTCAATATGCTTCACCCCATCACACTCTCATATTGTGACGAAACTGCCAGTCCAACTCTGCTACGGTCGCAAATGTATTTACTGAAGAATACGCTGGTTGTAACATGAAGATAATACAAGCGGCAGAGTAGGGGGTTCAACTGATGTCATTTCAGACCTGAAATTTGGGCAGCAGGTCTAAAGAATCACACACTACATGACATAAGCATCCGAAATATTATCGTATGTTCTAGTACAGTAGGCTCTCGATAATTCAAACTTTCGGTTAATTCAAACAAAATTAAATATCTTGGTTGGCCCTCTATTCTTTAAATGTATATAAAAGCCTGGTAAATCAAACTCCATAATTCGGTTAATTCATACTTTTTGCAGTTTCATACCAGAAAATATCTGCTCCTTTCCCACCACTATTTAAAAATTTACATGCTTATATATAATCTTAAATGCCTAAAAATGAAAAATAAGCACCTCAGGCCTTCAAGAAAAAAGGCTTCGCTAGTAAACAAGTGTTTGAATCAAAGTGCACGCATGGTAAACCATGATGCTTCTCCACTGGTATGGAGAGCTTTGTGCCGAAGGCAAATACTTATAGTAAAGAAGCAGTTGGCAATTCCTTAAATGGTTGGATCAGACGTAAATGGCCAATAAACTTGTGGACCTTACTCCTCTTTCTGTTCATTGCCTGCAGTTAGAGCTTAAAAACATTCAGGAATTTTTTTAATGTGATAAAATCAATGCCTAATCATAATGTGTGGTGTTGCCTCGCCCAATGTCATCTACCTGGGAGCTTCTGATAACTCAAGCTTCTTAATAACTCAAAGTTCAGAGGTCTCTTCGAGTTTGAACTAACGAGAGTCGACTTACACTGAGGTAGATTACATCTATGAGGGAGATTGTGAACTCCTGTCTTGAAGAAAGCACGTCCTTGCCCACCACATCAGTTGTACTTTCAAAGCAATTGAAGAAGAAAAGGCTGAAGAAATAGCATCTTTGGCTTACATGGTGTTGTGCCACCATGTTCGTTGTACCAAATCATGTCAATAAATACTATTCGGTCTCTGCATTGCCTCATCCTCAATAAAACGACTAGGAAACACCATCCCTTCAGCATTTCACCAACCTAGCCAAAAGAAACACTTACATGTTCCTATTTTATAAAAATTGACTGAGAGATCCTTTGCAACCTTCTTTCTGTAATTTCACTTGGAAGTATCAGAAAAATATCCAGTAATATTCTACAACTACACGAAATATATTCTATTTGATTGGCACTCAAAACTTTAGAGGCCAATACGCAGGCTCTGACTTTTTTTTTTTTTTTGCACGCCCCAAACAAGTTCACCAAGGCGTACAGTAGACTGCGGCGATTACATTTGCCAAATATTACAGCAGTGCATACCACGCTGTAATTTTCGTACCATTTATAAAAACTATCCCTCCCCTGTTTCTCTTGCCCGACCAATCCTCCTCGCAATTTCAGCTGTGCAGTTTGCATTTTCATTTTTCTGCATTGCCCTCTGCTGTTTTGTAGAGCCCGAGACTCTGAGAGAAGCGGTACTGCCAGAACGAAAGCGTAAAAAGAAAAAGGCGTCTCGCTACCCTAGAGCGAGGGGAAAAGTACTCCTCGCAGCGGCACGCTTCCTGCCCTCGCTGCTATGACATGTGCTCATGTGAAACGAACCACAGCTCGGTCATTGGTTGCATGCCGATGACGTATCACAGACATCATGTCACGTTACCGAAATGGGCCGAGTCGAGATGACGAGATACTCACTCTTTCCCCTCTTTATGGCAGAGAAGGGTGGTGGGCGGCCACGTGAAAATTTGAAACGGGCTGAAATGGATGTTCTAACCACTGTTACTTCCTTGTTAGAGCACATATTCGCAAAATTCTTGTGGCAGCATGTCCTCTGGTCCCCCTCATAATCATATATTTTTGTTTTAGACATTATGACACGTGGTTTATTTAGTAGCATAAAATCAGAATTCCTTAAAAAGAACCTTTTTTTCTAGTTGATGCTACAATATTTATTAGGATACAAAAATTGTGTAAGACTATATGATCTGCCCGACCATTGGCTGCTCCCCCTGAGTGGGTAAGTGCCAGTCATCCCAAAGGCATCATCATCATCATTTTTTATTTAAGTCGTATGTCTTGTTGTGTCTCATCTTGCACAACACAACAAATGTAACTTAGATCTGTTTAATACACGAGTGAGCTCATCAACAATTCATAAAACCTAGCAGGGGCATTAACTGCCCAGCAAGTCGTCAACCACGTACGTTAGATTCTGCAGGGACAGTCCATTGTCTTCCAAGAAAATCGAGAAACGCCTCTGTGATTCCTCCATCATTATGGCAGTGTTTAGTGGTGGACATTTTCTCGAAAGCCTGTAAAGTCGAAAGTGAGAAAGGCAGTTAGACCACAAAATGGTATTTTTCTAAAGCTTAGATTAAAGGGGGCATGAAAGTAACTGCTAACTGCCCTTTAAAAACACCAAAAACACCACAACTGTCAAGAAAAGATGTTTCGTAAGCCAGAAAAGTGGTAAAAAAAAAAAAACAAGTGACCAAGCAACCTAGAAATTCTCGCACCAATGTGCCCCATGACATCTGCTGGAGCCTACCTATTTTTTATACAGTAAAACCCCGTTAATTCGGACTTCACGGGACCGGAGAGAATGTTCGAATTAACTGAAGATACGAATTATCGCGAGTACTAACAAAACACTTTAAAAATGTCTCCTACACTATCAGACTTCTATTTCTTAAAAAAGACTGTGATCGCGGTTTGCTCCACGGACGCAATATGCGACGAAGTCACAATTTTGTGAAGTGCTTGCAGATGGCTTAGTCCACGCACATTGTCCGAGGAAAGCATGCATATGTCCTCCAAAATGGCCAACGCATGCGCAGCCTCTGTCATAGTGTGGTGTGGACGCTCAACAGCATCACTTACGTCCTCGTGAGCCGATTCCCCTTCGCCGTCCAAGACTTCGGCGACGATATCGCTATCGGTCACTGTGCCGGCCATGGCAACATCGTTGTCAATTGCAAATTAATCGCCCAAGGGCACATCAGCTGGCATGATAATCACATAGCGGCCGTCTTGCTCTTCGCTGGTTCCCTCATCGGCTACCACCCCCGGATCAGCAGCGTCGTGCACGAAGCCGCGATGCCTAAAGCAGCTTGCGACTACTGCAGGCAATGTGTTGTTCCACACGTATGTCAGTATGTGGATTGTGCTTAGCAGGCTTACTTCGTACTGCTTGCCTGACTCTATGCAGGGCAACATCCGCTCGAGTACCTGCCGTCGATAGCGGCTTTTCACTAACTGTATGATTCCCTGGTACATCGGCTGCAGGGACGCCACTGTGTTCGGAGGCAGCAATAACAGTTCCATGTCCTCCAGCCCGGACACCTTCGTGTGCGCACTACAATTGTCTAGCACGAACAACACCTTTTGAGACTTGGCCGCAAAGCGGCAGTCGAGCTGACGCAGCCAGGCTTGAAAGAGTTCGGCAGTCATCCAAGCCTCTCTGTTGAACCGGTAGTCGACAAGCAGCTGCTTAATATTCTTAAAGGAGCACTGCCATCAAATTTACTCATGTCAAGATTTTTGCGTCAACGAGTAGCTATCGACCCCCTAGTAGCGATTCGCGACCTAAAACGCATCTGAGTGACGAATGAGTATCTGTAATATTGATTAATATATTCGCTATTAGATGCGGTTCAAAATGGCTGGAAAGCCCTCCAAATTGTAGTGGTAAAGCGCTACCTCGCGGCCACGTCGAGGCCGCTGCACAGCTGATGCCGCTTTCACCAAAAATGGTGACGTCACACTGGCATTTCATCTGCTAGGAGTGCACGTACAGTCAGTCCAGCTGTGTCTCTGAAGGCGTAGACATGCCTCTGTCGCCAACATTGTCGACATCTCCGTCGCGGACAACATCGGCAAGTGATGATGACAGCGACCCGGAACTGGGTATTGCCGTGATTCGCGACGATCCTTGCTTGGCAAGCTACGCGTTAAATGCAATGTATTTATCAGTCCTGGCCATACTGTTGGAGCTCAGAACACCAACTACGCACCTCACGTCACGGACGTTTGGCGAGTGAATCGCTGCTTTCAACTGCAGCAGGGCACACGGTAGGAATAGTCCCGGCCTCGAGAAGAGGCCTCGTGCTGACAGTGAAATCATACTGGTTCGCCAACACAGGATTTACCTTTTAGCAGCTTGCCGCAAAGTGAAGGGAGCAAATGCGGCTGTTCTTAACAGGCGTCCAGTCCCTCTGTTCAATGGCGCATACGAAGTCAACCCACTGGCTGCGTTGAGGTTCGTGGCTTAGAAAGGCATGAAACGCCACACACTTTCCGCTTTTTCCACGCCTTGACGTGCAGGTTCTCACTATGCAGTGGCTGCTCGACATTCGGGCACGTATATTGTCGCTCTGAATGATCGTACTCACACCCAGTAGAGCACAGCACAAATGAGTCAATGCAACACGATGAATCGCACGCTAGCTTCAACACAGCAAGGAGAGCTCTTAGTGAGAGCATGGCTGGGAGTCGGCTCCAAACACGCTCGGACATATTCGACGTCATCGTTACTAGCGCATTGCCACTCAGGATGGTATTTGTGGAATGTATCACACCGAACACGTAGCACTAGTGTCGATGTCGCAGGGCAGTCTATTTTTCGTTTTTTCTCCTTAGCTTTTCTACGCTGTTTGACGTCCAAATAAAATAACTTCCAGGCGACGGACGCCATTCAAATTTGGCTAAGAAGACCAATGCATACCAAGTGAACGAATGATGGGCACATCTCGATCTTGAAATTTGATGTCAGTGCTCCTTCAAAACATCTTGGCTTTGCAGCCTTCCAGATCACTAGCAGCGGCAGCAGCTCTGTGCCGGTCATGTTAGCAGCCAGAAGAACTGTCACGCGTTTTTCATTGATGCACACGTCCCCCTGAAACGCGATTATCTTGTCAGGCAGAGCCTTATAGAACAGCACTGTCTCATCAGCGTTGAAAATGTTGCACGGCTCGTACGTAGAAAGGCGCGCGGATAGTCCAGACCGCCAGTCCTGCACAACACTTTCGTCAACCGCACCTTTTTGACCACACAAGTTGCGGAACACCAGCCTGTGTTGCTTCTTGAAGCGGTCGAACCAGCCTTCCGACGCATTGAAGGAGTCAATCTTCATAGTCACCGCGAACTTCTCTGCTTGTGCGCAGGTAAGGGGGCTGCTCAAGAGCAAACGCGCATTGCGCGAAACGGCAATCCAGCGCAACAGCGCTTCTTCTAGCTTGGGATGCGCTGCTGTTCGAAGCGTCTTCCTTTGGCCGTCAGACATGTCCCCATCATACACTTGCATAATCTGCTCTTCATTCTTTAGGTAAGTGCTCAGCGTGCTTTTCTTCACATCAAACTTTTCCATCACTTCTTTTCGAGGTGCTCCCGCTTGCAATGCCTTCAATATTTTCACCTTTGCAGCCAAATCCTTTGCTTCGTACTTCGCCCTCTTCGCTGCAGGAGTTGAGGCAGTTGGGGCCGCAGGAGACGGAGGGGAAGCCATTCTCGCGCGATGGCCACGCGCACGCGCAAAGTAGAGAACACAAACACACATACAAAAAAACGCATGGTGATAAAAACGAAATAAAAACCGGCAAACTTTTCAAAAAACAGCAAACAGTAAGACTGCAGATGGCACTGATCACATAAAGATAAACTATTTAAAGCAATAGAGGTGAGCAATCCAACTCAACCGTCACACAAACGTGTTCGACGCGCAAGAAAAAAAGGAGAGGCAAATTCGTAGTTTGCCCGTTGCTGATGACAATAGCAATGCACTGCCTTCCATTTTGGTTGTTTACACCACCGTGTGACTGTTTTTTTTGGGGGGGGGGGGGGGGGCGCGCCTAAGACATGTACTACCCATAGACGAAGTTTTGAATCTTAGAGGCCACAATCCGATCCCAAAGCTGTTTAGGTGCACCGTTGATTTGGCCGGCAGAATCCACTGCTGCTTCCCCGTCCTGACTTGACCACGGTCGGGCGTTCGAATGAACCGAAGCGCAGCTGAATTCGTCCGAATTAATGAGAGCTTTCAGTCATAGAACATGTACATTTTGGACTTTTGGACAGGACCAGGCACCGTGGTTGAATTAACCAAAATTTTGAATTAACGGGGTCAAATTAACAAGATTTTACTGTATTTAAGTATTGGCTATACCACATTCTAGGGAAGCCACAGATCTAGCATAGCAAGTGTGTAACATGACAACACAGTTTACTACAATTTTATGGCGAGGAAAATTCGTGACCCAGTATCATTTCTTAAATTTCATGTATTGAAACCATGATATGACTACTATAGTTACGCCTGGAAACTCCAGAAATTTTGATCACCTAGAACGTGCACTTTAGTCTAAGTGGCTGAGGGTGTGCGAATGTTGAGATTTTTTTTAAGAAAGAATGAGACAGTGTTCTATTCGATTCGCTGCTTCAATCGCATTCGAAATACCAAATATTTCTTGAATATTTCTCAAATAGAAAGCACTGATGTAAAGAAACCTCAAATGAACCAAATGCTGGTACAGAGAGGGATAACATTTCTTTTTTAATTATCAAACTACCAGGATGTGTGCCGCCCAAGGTTTTGTAAGACTATATACTGAGACTATATCGATTACAGGATGAAGGCGTAATGGCTTAAAATGTCAGTGCCGCCGAAGCGACAAAGTTGTCATTCTACTATCTTCATCATGGCATACATGATGATATAACTGTCAGTTCAAGCTCACGAATAAACAGAAAGGAAGAGAAGACAAGCGTTTATTCGTGCACTTGAACTGACAGTTATACCATGCATATCGAACTAGCCCAACTTTCGATTCTGTTGTAATACATGATGACGTTGACTCACAGAAATGGCGTTTCATGCTTATGTATCAATTTTAATTAAGAAAGGTTCAAGAATGTGGTACGCTGTACACGAAATTAGAGACGCCTCCCACACCAGAGCACCAACAGAAGAAACAGAATCAGTGCCTTTAATCTACCACAAACTGCTGCAACACAATCTTTGACCATATAGATAATACTCCTGAGTTTCCATTTTAGTAACTATATGCAGATTACTGAAAACATATTTAAAGCTACTCCATTCTATTCTGTTCAGAGCTAAGCTGATGTACTCTGCTGCAGTAGTTGGCTGTGGCCTCTATTGTGGAGGTTACTTTTCACCACTTTCTAAGACTTCGTTTGCCGTTGCACTCTTGCATGAAGAAAAACACATCCTGTGACACAAAAGTGGTCATCAGCTGACAGCCATGAGTTATTTCTCCGTGCAAAAAAGTAAGAACTGCACCAAGTTCTTCGGCACACATGTAGTTGGGACGTGTTGCTGAAGACTCCAATGCGCACTTTCACCCAACTTAAAAACCAGGGTACGGCTACAAACGCTTTTTGAAGTGACTAAAAAGTCTTCCTGCGATGTCTCTGGCTCTTAGTTATAAGGTGCCACAAATTTAAACACGATTTATAATTATCTCTCATTTGAGGTATTGTGATCAGAGAGCCAATTATTCCACGAATATTACATATCATCATTCCAATACCTTGTGACAGCAAAGCACTTCAATGTGCGTTAATAACGTCATTAAATTCACCAATCCATCTAGCTCACTTAGGAAAATCTGACCCTCCCCTTTAGAGGCGAATCAGCTCCTCAGGGCATTTCATTAATAATGTTTGTTGACTGATTGACTGATGTATCTAAATAACTGGGTCACTGAATTACTCTGTATTGATTTGACAATTCAGCACTGGCACTTTTGTTTATGCAAATATTACTACTCTGTTTTATTCCCTGCTGTGCTACGATTTTCAGCTTTTCTTATCAGACCTTCAGGTAGCCTTCACCACTTTTGGCTGCAGGTGTGACAAGTGTTTGTTACCTGCGCATATAATATGAAATAAACACCGGACTTCATTTGTTGACTATCTGTTCATTTTCTGAGCTTTTTCACAGAAACTTAGCCCTTTGTCTAACATCATGTATATAGCAATCATGAAAGTTTCACGCTATGGAGGCGGAAATGTTGTAGGCCCGTGTGCTCAGATTTGGGTGCACGTTAAAGAACCCCAGGTGGTCTAAATTTCCGGAGCCCTCCACTACGGCGTCTCTCATAATCATATAGTGGTTTTGGGACGTTAAACCCCACATATCAATCAATCAAAGTTTCACGCTACATGAAGGCAGTAATGAATACAAGTGATGGCTTCCTTCACATTTCAATGCTACCATCCAAGCACATCCATCCATGCACAAAACGAAAGTGCATGCTATCCTCATGTCTTCTCTTTCCCCTTTCATTTCCACCCCTTCCGCAATCAAAATGCCTATCAACTTGAAGCACAACGTTCCTTGGTGACAATTCGGCTTAGATAACACGTGACAAGATTATGCTCAAAATGGTCATTGCATTTCAACTGAACATTTCAACATCAGGTGTTCAAATGAAGTCATGGCTTGGCTTGGCAGGCAGGAAGTCTGAAAGATTGGATGCCGAAGATCTTTGACGCCCGAAACTTCCCATGTTCTTATATGTTGACGTCTACAATGCAGATTTAGAACACTAGACATGAAGGGAGAACACCCTTGTCTGCCACCTAGTCAGTTGGGCTTCCAGAGAAGTTGAAAGAGAAGGAGAAGCTGAGAAAATAGCACCTTTGCCATTCATGGGTGAAGCGTTGTCAGCAACACTTTCGTTGCATCGAGTCATGTACATAAATAAAGTTTCGCCTCTGCATGTCCTCGTTCTTGATAAAATAGCTATGAAACACCAACCCACCAGCACATCATATACCTACAGCCAAAAGAAACACTTTCATGTTGCTATCTCATAAGATGATGCCTAGGAATCCTCTCCGACTTTTTTTTTCTACAATTTTACTTTGCAGTATTCGAAAAATATTCTAGAAGAATGTGTCTAGGAATCCTCTCCAATAATTTCACTTCGTAGTATTCAAAAAATATTCTAGAAATATTCAAAAATATTCTCTTTAATTCGCACTCACATTTCAACATTCCAATTCACTTCACACCCAAAATATTGCTATTTGCACAGCTCTATTCAGATTATAAGTGACAGCCTTCAAGACATTAGCCACTGTACCATAACTACCTGATCTTTGAGCCTATTTTCACCTAGCATTACAATGGTTCTATTCTATTCTCAGCAACCAGTAGTGGCCGATCTTTTGTGAATATGTAAAGCTACAAGCTACCGCTTTCGTGAGCTTTTTTTTTATAACAAGACCATTAGCGTAAATCAGACAGGATTAGCCATGCACGCCAGTCTAAGTGTACAGTACTGCCTGAAGTGATGTTTTCACACACACCAGTTCATTATTGCCCTATGATGCCAAAAACTTCAGAATAGAGCGTGTGCAACTCACATGACCAGCATGCCAGCAGCTATGTGTGCCCAGGTTTCCAACCTGAAGGTGATATTTTCAGCTGAGAGCCTGAAGAGTACAAACAGTTTTAGTAAAAAAAAAAGAAGTGCCAGGAAAGCCACACACATCAGTACAGTAGTTCTTTTCCCCGTCACCGATCCCTCCTTCTCCAAAGTGCATGCATTACACGCTGCTACACAACCACAGAATAACACAGCGGTCACACAGCACTTCACGGGTGGAGTACGACTGCCAGCCGTGGAGACCATATTTCAACCTGGGCAAAGAGCAGGAATGCCTCATTACACTAATATAGGCGTAAGTTAAACAAGTGTGAATTCCACATTCCACCACCACAGTGTGGCTCATAATCATGTTGCAGTTTTGGGACGTAATACCGCATCATAACTTTAGCTCTTCATGCTTTCTAAGCAGTCTACTTGCTTACGCTTTTAAATTTCCAGAAAGACGCCAATGCAAACTAGTGTTTTGCAATGTGCATAACAACGTAATACACACAACTCATCATACGTATTTTCAATTCGTGAGCTAAGATATATAATCTAGCATCACCTATGGTGTACCAGAGGACAGGATTCTTGTTCACCAAGAGCATGACAGCACTGTAAGAAACTACTTGACTTTTCAACTACAAGTATTAATTGTAGACTATAACTTTAAGCAAAGCATTCTAGCCACACTAATTGATATCCATGCTTTCGTGCACATATTATAGCTAGTTTGCTGGTTTGCATCATTGCACGCTCGAACACAATTACCAAAATTGAACAAACAAAATCAGCCCTATAACTAAAACTGCTTATGCGCAATACACCCCGAACAACATAAATATAAGTGTCCTTATATGAATGCCGTAAAAATAGATCATGGTACAGTCGCATGTATTGGTGTAATCAGCTCAAACTCTTACCTAAATGTTAAAATTAGTTCCGTCAAATAAGATGAAACCTCCGACAGATCCATGTACAATATGTCCAAGATATCAGGAAGACTGAAAAAAAAGAACCTTTATTGCTCTCATGCATCAGCAATATCACAAAGAGTCTCTAGTTAAATCAGTATATACTACTCGCAAACTTCTCTAAAGGGGCCCTGCAACATTACTGAAGTTTACTGCCTCATATACCACCCCAAAAAGGTTTGTGAATTAAGCTAAAATGAGAGGAGTTACAGGAGCTTTTCGTACATTTTAAGCACTTTTATTTTCTTCCATACGGACACATGTGCTGCAAGCTACACAGGTACAGACGATAAGGGGCAAGAAGCTGCGCGAGCACGCATTGTGAACTTGAAAAATTTCTTTTGTAGCGTTAGCTACACTGACCTCACTGAGCCAATTTCGCGTGGCACTGGCCTGCGCATGTGCAATGATACTCCGCACGCCACCGGTGTGCGCGCAATTCTATGCGCTGCGCAGACGATCAGTGGTGTCACGCACCGGAGCCGGCACCTCCCTCGCACTCGGTGGCGGCCCCGCGCGACTCGCCGCCGCCGGTGGGCGCTTTCCAGAGGAGTGCCGTCATAGCCTTGGTAGACATATGGACGCCGACGCGCGCGCCTTCCCTGTGCAGTCGCCATCTGACACTGCGCTGGAGCCGTTGTAGCGCCCCTAACTGGTGTTTGCCACTGTGGTGTAGCCATGGAGAAGGAGAGTGCAAATGCTGCTCAACGGTGCAGTAGAGCGGAGAAGCTTAACTCATCGGATCCCGAAGTAGTTGCCCGGCAAAATAAATATACATGTGCCACATAGCACGTGTACCGTGTGTGTGTCATTGGAACAGCTGTAAGCATGATATCTGGAAAGCTAAGAATAATCAGCTGAACTTTTGCTAACACTACGTATATCCTGGCATAGCTGAGCTAAGCCACTGCCATTTTTTTTGTTCTTAACATGCGTTTGCTAACTTCCAGTGTGATTCATGTGAGCACTGGTGTTGCTACTATGCAATTAAGCACACTACGAAGTGTGCCAGCTGCAATAACTTTGTAACTGCAGTAACATTGTACTAGACTGCTCAACTATGCGAAATTTCGACAAAGCTCTGCAAGTACCTGGCATGCCCTGGCATTGTCCAGTGTCAATTTTAACGAGGTATAGTAGCCATACCCAGTGCAACGTCAAGCGAGTTCAATTAGCTAAACACCAAGCACTGTCTGGCAAGGCGTCTTGCTTGTAAGGCATGCGAAAGAAACTAAGTGTACAATGGCAAGCATACCATCGGTTTTTGAAAAACGATGATATGCATCACTGAGCACTGCAGCTGCTGGTGTAAGTAAAAGACACGTGACCGACTTAGGCACAAAGCGTTTGAAACAGCATGGTTCAGCCGACACAAGATCTAATTTTCTCTCAGCCCTCCTTATCAACCCCCATGTTCGTTGTCCTCCAAAGCACTACGTGCTTCACAATGAACAGAAAAAGCAATGAAATTGAGGTGACGACGAGCTTCTCACGATAGCCTGCCTAGGGTCCCCCTCTTTTCATGAATGACGATAGATGGTACACATTAACAGAGTGCTTAAACAAATGCGGATTCCACATTCTACCACCACAGTGTGGCGCACTTTACTACCACTCTGCAGCGCTCTGTTGTCGTCTCTTCTACTTCCTCCTGATGCTTGCGCTGTTAAGCAATTTTTTCATTTACCAGGTAGTAAATAGTTCTTGCAATTCAACACGAGGGTCCTTCGTTCCCAATTATTGTAAAAAACCTCAGAGGCCTTAACTCTACTTTTTTCGAATACGAAGTAAAAGGTCTGACTGAGAAACGATACGGGTGAATATGTGTCTCCCCCTCCCCCTCGTGATTAACGGCGGCCCCTCTGCCTTCTACGTGCGCAAGCCTAAGGACGTCTCCCCCCCTAAAAAAAGAGAAATACAACGGCCATGCTATGCTAGACCAATCAGCCGTGCACACCACCGGCTTGTACTGGCTGACTGGTCTAACATAGCAAGGCCGTTGTGTTTCTCTATTGTTTTCATACCATCGGTTTCCATGCCTGCAAATCGATGATATGCAGGCTGATTTGCATGTCTAGGATACAGCAGGAAAGATGCCTTGCATGGTACTCATTTAGGTACTATGCAAAGGATCGCACATGCAATTTTTTACTTACACTTTTCTCAACCAGTTGAACACTATCCTGCGGCGGTGAACATTCTGTGCATGGCTGTCTACAAGCGGAAGGATGGGTTCCCGTTCACTCGAGTCGATCGTGTTTGGGTCCTGAAACAACGAATCTGTCAGGTCAAATTAAAGTGGCCAAGGAACTTGCGTCACAAACACAAGATGACATAGCTCCATCACAGTGAGGGACCAGACAAAAACACACAAGTACTGTGAATACCAGATGTTGGCCTCACTTTACTACCACTCTGCAATCGCATGTAATTCTTCTAATGCACATAGCAGGAGTAACGAGGGCAATCCTCGACACTACACTTACCAAAACTAAAAAGTAAAAACAATGCCATCATGAAGCAGCAAGTAGCACCTAAAAAAAGCCAATGAATACCTCACAAAGGCTATGACAATCAAAGGCAAAAAGCTTTGATTTTACTCAAGCTCAAAAGGGCTCTCTCCAGCTCTCATCTGACATGGCTGTATATTTCCCAATGAAGTGATTGTGGTTGCCACAATCAGTTTCCTATGAGCACGAGGAGGTTCAGTAAACATAAAAAGAAACTCATCACAATGTTTGGAGTTCAAATCAAACTTTTTTTTTCTTTTTCATAATTTAGATTTCAACAACTTGCGCAGCACTGGAACTTTCACCATACTTCATCACTTACAATGCTCAAATTTCTTATCTCAAATGACACGCATTAGAGTTGTGTATCAAATCATAATTTCCAATAGCAGCAGTAAATTGCTGCCACAAGCATTAAGGATGGTATGATTCGATACACATGTCCACTTCACCTCCAAGAAAATAATTGAGGAGCTACTTCAAAGTTATGCATTAACCTTCAATAACTCTGAGCTGATACAGCAAGTAAAACAAGCTCAGCTGACCTGGCAATTTCACTGAGTCATTTTTACTGCATCATCTGCATCCCTTCACAACTTGTCTACTTTTGCTGGCAACGTTCTCTCTTCTTGAAAACCAAAGCAGTGACATTGAAAACTCACTCCAAGTGCACTCCAGAGATAGGTATGGCATTACAACATCCTATATGAACACGAATAGATTACCAGCAAAATATCTCATATCAGTCAAGAATGAGCTAAGTGCAAAGCAGCAAATGGCCTTTTTCTGCCTTCCATGAACATCCACCTTAGATGAACCCTTGGCATCCAACATTTTGGTTATTCTTGTGAAGCTCGCTTCTCCACCTTGTGTAAAGTCTTGTGAACTCATTTGCTGCGGCTCGAAATGTGCTCCAAGTAAAGTAAATAAATAGCTGAAGTGGCCATTGTTATCATGCAAAACAGCGCCAGTTCAACCAATCACACAACACCTAGTGATATGTCAGCATAAGAAAATACACAAAGTGACGCGATTCCCATGTCTTCACATGCACAACTAGCAAAGCTGCTCGTGGCACGAACCACTGGCTTTCTACTGCAATCTTTGCAAAATTCATGTGCTTGAGCTGCGTTGCCTGTTATAGCTCACAATCACAAATAAAACTAGTTTCAAGTTATAGTTCCCTAATGAAAAATCAATTTATTTACAATGTGTCTTAGCAAGTAGACATGTAATCAATTAATAAATAAAGCGATTCAATTACAATGTGCTCCAGCAAGTAGATGTCATCAATTGATTAAACACAGCCCAAAAATTACATTGATCCCCAGTAATTATTTGCATGTAACTTGTCACATACACGCCTGCTCTTAATTCTACTGACAAGAACCTGTAAGTCAGCACATCCAGAAGTAAGTTAAGAAAGTTTAAGTGCTGTATATAATTTTTGCCAAATGCAGCTTTAACTATAGCTTTGAATTTTCCTCATGACTGGTAACTAAACAGCTAGTGTGAAATGAGAAAACAAACCAGCATTTTTTTTAAGCAGCAACAGATCTCAACAATGCACAGTACCTATACACCAGAACACAGCAACCTCAGAGCATGCTGCCGTATCGGAAAGCGCGTCGCGCCATCTGTTGCAAGCACAGCGAAGCAACACCCAGGCACTGCCACACGAGCAGACGCTCCGCAAATCAAATGCGAAACTGAACAACCAGAGTCCGGCTGTAAGCATGTTTTGCGCTCTTCCTCTCCTGGAATTTTGTGCCAATATCGTGTGAAACGTCTAGGAGACCTTCCTCGACAGTCCAGAATGTCTACTGCATGTGCATTGCAGACTACGGAAGCAACTTCATCAGATATGTACCATTGCGATTGAAAGAAACGCGAACAGCGGAAAGCGTTGTTTTCGACTCGATCACCCTGTGGCGTGCCTTGGCTGTCGCAAGGCAGAATTGCTGCTGTAAGTCACGTAGCGCTGCAATCTCGCTCCATTTTGCGCTCATTCACTGCATGTGTTTATCATTTGCCACTCATAATGGGCACTGGGGACACAGACGCGGTGCGAAGGTGCCAACCAAAATGAGATTTTAAAACACGATGACGCCGAACGAAAGCACAGATTCGCCTAGTGAGTCAAGGCATGGCGCAGTTCAACTGAGACGAAAGCTATGCTTTTCGCGTTGTTCATGTCTCAGTGCATCACTATAGTACGCCCTCACAATTGTATACGTGCGCGGTGCTTGCACCACGAGTGAGTCATAATATATCCTATTACCATCTATTACTGGCATGCAGCCGGCAAAAGAGTACAGCAATGATTTGGTGCCATACAGGCATACTGCATGCCAATGGCTGCTGTAAAGCGGAACAGCTGGCATTGCGCTAAAACGCAATAATTATATTTTTTTGTACACTTTTGCTAGACTCGTAGTACTTCCTGCCGATTGTGATTATATCCACTGGCGGTGGAGCTCAGCGTTTTTGTTGAGGATGGAAATCTGTGCAATCGGAAAACACCGCACCGGCACAGTTGCCGCATCGTGTTGGGATCTTCACGGACAGTTCTGAGTAATATCTTACTCTTTCGCTGGTTGTTTTTGCATCCGAAGACGGCGCTGTGGTACCCAGAAGGCTTTTCATAAGCTGGCACAGCGTAAACAGGCCCTTTATTACATTTTAAAGTGCCAGAGCCACTGCTTGACATGCTAGCGAGGCACGCCTTGGCAGTTCCAAACAAATTACGGCGTCTCTGGGAGCGAGGGTATACCGCCAAAGACGCCTGGGTGCGAGATAGGCGTGCTCTCATCTATACAGTCAAATATCATTAATTCGAACTTGCAATTCATTCAAAGTGATAGACTGATCTCGGTGCAACCCTGTTTCCATGGAGAAAAACTCCTGACAATTCGAACGCATTGTTATCCACAACAATTATTTAAAACTGGGGTTTTCTAACAAGGCTGCGACAAGGGCTAGCCAATACGTCTCCATGTCATACTTGACAGTGCGTCATGATGACTCCTGGTTTTCATTGCTCCTCACAGAAGTCAGCCCACAGTGATCACAATGTGTTGCAAAACCAAACCAAACAAAACTTACTAGAGTTGCAAAACAACAAAACAGCCGCATTTCTCAGTAGATGTTGATAGGTACACGGTACAGATGGTCTTGTGCAAGCTGCAAACATTGCTCATGGAGTTGTGACAAAAGAAACACAAGAAAATGCAGAATAGTGATTTCTTCTCATTTTGATTGTGTTTACTCTTCCATGTAAATAAACTTGTTTTGGAGCATAAAAAGCGCAATATATTTTGACATTAACGCTAACTGTCCACATAAATGCATGTCGGTGCTTGTTTCCGAAATATCACTGACAGATTAATTATTTTTGTTTGCTGTGAGAGCACGGCAAACTTAATTTATGAAATCACCTGCCGCAAACGTATAGTAGCACTCAATTCGCGACAATGAGATCAGAGGTGGCTCCTTTGGTTCTGCTGTGCAGCGTGGTGCTATGTTCGTTCATCAAAGCGCCCACCCGCTAATTTGAACACCGCTTAATTCGACCAATTTCGTAGTCCACTTCGAGCCTGAATTAATGAGCTTTAACAGCATATGTATAGCCGGCAGATGAGCCCTACTAATTTAGTGCAATTTATTCATTAGTAGTAACAAATGAAGTCAGCATCACACACCTTGGATATGTATACTACTGATGATTATGCATCAGAAAACACACTAGGATAAACAATCCCAGTACTCTTACATACCTCCGCCTGCTTTTCTTTTTTTAACTTGCTGCCACCTTTCTTTGATGCTGACGTAGTAGCACCTTCTTTAGTCCTTGCACACACATCTTTTTTTTCAAACCTATCCTGGTGCCGTTCGCGAATCTCGAGTTTTTTCTTTTCCGAATCTCGTTTGAGCTGCTCCATGGTAGGCACGGGAGCCGTTGGCTTCGTCGAAACGGGTGCATCTTCGTCATCATCCGAGTCCAAAGGAACCGCCCCAAGCCTTTCTTCGGCCCTCTCCTGTTCGTCTAGACGTTTGCAGAGCTTCGAGTACTGGGCGTGATAGCGCTCCACCTTCATGGCTTCCTCCTGCCTCCTGTTGTTAATCCGAAATCTCCTGGCAGCTCCGTCACCGACGAGGAAGGCCACCGTCTCTGCCGTGATCCACTGCTTCAAGGCATCTCGGACTCTCTGTATCGGGGAACCGGTGGTGTCACTTTTTGCGTTCGACGCTTTCCCCGCCCTTGCTTGCTCGCTCGCCAAGGCATGCTGCCATGATTTGTCAGTGCGACTGGGGACGCTTCTCCTCGCTGGACTGTTGACCTTTTTGGTGGCTGCTGGTTCATCGCTGCATGGACTTGAAGCTTCTGCGGGCACCCTTGCAATTGTGCTGTGAATTTCATGATAGACTTCCGGTCCATCCTCTGTAAATGTACAATAGGCAGTTTAGAAGGCAGTATAAAATGCTGTGCATCTTAAAACAGTTTTTCTTTTTTTCCCTTTAAGATACATTAAACTTGTAATATCTTTCATATCCTCTCTATTTCTAAATTGCTTTTCTGCCAGCCATGCTCCCTTTAGGGACAGCAGATGATAATCATCATCATCTGTCTGACTAGAGACGCTGCAGAGCAAAGTCCTCTCTCTCACATTGAACCTATTAAGCCAATCCTCTGCTTGCTCTGGCCCCATTATCCCAACAAACTTCTTAATCTCATCTGCCCATCTAGCTCCCTGCCTGCCCTCATACACGTACCCTCTCCAGGAATCCAGCCTATTACTCTTAACGAGCATCACTTCGTATCTTAATGTCCAGCAGAAGATGCTTGTACCTTTTTCTAACAGTAAATTAACACTTCTGATTATACTAGCCGGTATGCAGGAGGAAATTAAGTGGTCCACAACACACTACAAGAACCACCCCCAGCCGACTTCAATGCGAGGGTGTACTTGCCAACCCTTTCACATAGCTACTTGCCTCTGACCACCAACTGCCACCCTGTAGCCCAAGTAACGCTCCTCTACCTGCCTATTTCCACAACCACCTTTTCCTGTACATGCCAAGCTAGCAGATGTAGGAATTATCCAGAAACGCTGCTCAAATAACCAAGGGCTACAGTTAAAGTTGGCTAACTTGAGCTAGAACTTAGTTTTACCGCGATAGTAATTATTTTAAACAATTTCACAGCCCCTTCATATTTAGCTTAGCCAGGTTTCACAGCATATAAAAACATGAGCACTATTTTTTTAAGGCAGAAACCTTAGCTTCAAAACAAAAAGTGACCATCAGCACACGAGTGAACATGAGTGATGCAAAAAAAAAAGATAATCTTCGTGTGATGATGTCATCACTTGACATGCCACTTGGTGAAAGGTGAGCCATTCTCAGAGGTACTGCAAAGCCACACGAGGTGCAGACAGTTTTCGGTTGGGGGGGGGGGGGGGGGGGTTAATACAGTTGAATCAGAGGAAGAAGAAGGCAGATTTCATTTTCAAATCGTCTTAGGCAGATGCATGGGGGACTATGCATCTTTTTTTCCAGGAACTTGGAAATCTTTCTCAATACCGCATACACTCGTGTGATGGCCGCACACAGAAGTGTTGAAAATTTCCTAAAAAAATTCATTGAAAAACTACTCGCATATTAGCCACACCCTTAATTGTTCGACCAGGTTAACAGCGTTATCTGTTGAGTGAATTCCGTAGCTTTTTTTTTTTTTTTTCCAGACACCCGACCAGCTGGTCGGAAGTTTGAAACAAATACAGTATGTGTGCAACAATGGTGCTTTCAAAAAGGTACACTCAGAAAAAAACTCAGATGGTGCACGAAGGTGCATTGTCTGAGGTGAGCACAGCATGCTCCCGAACACAGAAGGCTCGCTTAAGCCCTATGCAACAAAAATAAGGAGCGACAACTAAGCTATTCCGAAAAAAAATGCTGCACGTGAAACCACTTGATGTTGCACCAGACAAAAGCATGCTGATTAGAGCACCCAAAGCAACCAATGAATGGATCCAGCGCTGAATAAACTGGAAGTTTTCTCTCCATTGACACACAACTACATTTCAACACCTCTCTCGGCAAGAAAACAGTGCCTTGCTTATTTATTATTTGTTTTTGTTTTTCTCTTCCCCCAGTACAGAGAAGTACTACAGTTAAATAAAGGCAAGTAGTACTGCCGGCTGCCGGAAACATTTCCGAAAAATAAATGTGTTTATTTCTTCATGTAAAAGCTGCTACCATAAATTTCTTGCCAAATCTATGAAAAAGCTGGCAGGTATTATGTGTACATATACAGCAGTAAGCCACCAAATGAAGCCCACAACCTAGTTCTAGAACCTGGGTTAGCTATAAACTGTCTTCATAGTTCTGAACAGCAGATACAGCAGATGCAGCAGACTTACCCCCATATTCAGGAACGCTGCTTGACTTAAGCTTGACTTGCCACCGACTTCAATGCAGCACAAGCGCGTTTTGAACCTGCTGTCTTTAGGCAGCACCAAGGCAGCACAAATGGACAGACGCATTTCAAACACGTCGCATTGAAGGCGGTTTAAAGTTAAGTTCAAGTCAAGTAGCATTTCTGAATATGGGGGTTAAGCCGTCCAGCCTGGCATCTCCACATGGTTTGCTAATGAACATTCAGTCAACCCACGAGTCACATGAGAATCACCAAGGTTACAACGTTTTCAAAAAGCGGGAAACGTATATTCACCTAGTTCACGATCTTCAGTGCCAGACTCCTCAATGTTCCTAGGAAAAACAGGAAGTGGATAGAAATTTTTTAAAGTATTTGGACACATATAACACAAACACATTAAAAAACATTCCAAATAGTAAAATAACAATGCACTATTACATCACACAGCTAGTGTTCACAAGGGGACCTGAACAGAAATCCCACAAAATATGAGGAAAACGAAATTTTTTTTGCATTGAGCAAATGAAAAGCCAACTCAAATTCGCACATTGTTCATCACAAATAAATAAAGCAATAGAGTGCGGTGTAACTCCCACACTGCCTGTGCCATTCCCAAGTGCAGTGACACCAGCTTCAGATCTCTGGTTTATCTGCCCATTTTTCCATTACCTTTCTCACTCTCTCTACAATGTGGTACAGTGTAAGAGAAATGTAATGGTCTTACCGCCTTCAACCACTCACTTTCTCGCTACTCTTTTACACCAATAACTCCAGCTCTAACGCACACCTTAAGGCAATACTGATCTCGCATTTCACTGCCAGGTTGTAGTTCCTTAGTGAAATACGAAATACGTGTAACCCCCAAGCGAGGACCTGAGACACAAAAGATAAGGGTGTCGTGCGAAACTAACTTTATTATCAGAAAAGCAAAGATATGTATACCCACAGTAGCCTTGTGCAAAGCACATCGCCTCACACTCTCGCCAAAATACACTGGGTAAGGAAAACAACGAAAAGCTTTTTAACCCAGGAAAGAATGATAGTACAAATCAAACTCGTGTCCATGCAGAACAACAAATGTGTGACTTTACACATTTCTTTTTCCATTTTAGTGTAACGTGCTTTCATCATTACATGCTGTGCTCTGCACCTGGTTACTCAAATACATTTACCGCTGATTTTCCGAGAATTTTAGTGTAACGTGCTTTCATCATTACATGCTGTGCTCTGCACCTGGTTACTCAAATACATTTACCGCTGATTTTTCGAGAATAAGATTACTTAGGAGTGTCACCCTTTTCTGTTATGTCTCGAGACCTTTATGAGGTTACAAATCTTTCTGCATCTGGGAAAACATATACACGTATAAACTAGCCCAACAACAAGTATTACTGAGTTGCAGCTCTTTATCCTTCTTTCCTTGCACAACAAAATTGATTTTTCTTTATTTTTCTATTTGTCTACAGTGCTGCTTTTGTTGCCATAGCAATTATATGTACACTCTCAGTGGATTTTTGCCATTGCTGTTGCCATGATGTCCTATATATGCATATACGTGTATATACAATTGAGCCCCTTTATAAGAAACATCCACCGGGGAGCAATTTTTGTCTTTTTTATATGAGAGGTCTCTTATAAGCAGGGTACCACATGTGCATTTTCTTATTAATATACCCCATTTCAGTGCAGGCACACTGGTGTCCTTTATACCCATTTGTCTCTTACATGAATGTCTCTCATTAAAGGGGCACGACTGTATAACGAAAAGGCACAAACAAAAATAAGCCGGAAGGAAAAACTCCAAAGCACCCGATCGGGCAATCAAATCAGCGACCACTCGCTCGTCAGCACGTTACAGTAGACAACTCTACCATGCAGCATGCATCCACCGGCATAATAACAGCGGGCTATCTGCATACAACATTTACGGCTGGCAGGGCGCAGATCTAGGAGAAGCTTCAACGTGTGCTCCATCGCACAACGCTCCTACATTTTTTTGCAATTTAAAAGCTGCCCTAGAGACGTGCATGAAAAGACAGCCTGTTTTCCCACCCACTCACGATGTGGAATGGAGAAAAAGAGCACCGCGCACGTCAAATGCTACCAAGTGGCAGGAGACGTGGAGGGCTCACTCCACGCACCACCGTTAACAAAAAATAAGTAAATAAATATCTAAGAGTGCCGAGTTCTGCATCATCGACACTTTCAGCAGGCTGCTCGAACATCAAAATGCAACAACTGTGGCAGTTGTTTGCTCACTCTTGTCTTTTGTATACATGTGCACTGTTCTTGAGCATCTTTCTTTGTGCTTCAGCAGCCCGGTGCAAGTTTCGAACTGCTCGTTGTTCGTCCTGTTCCCATTTTTTTGCTATCGCTTTCATTGATTTGCCCTTACAGCAAAACTGCCACTTTTTCTCAAGTTATACAGCATTTGATTAGATTCTCATCAAGAAGCACCTTGGCTCAACAGTATCCCACCGTCCTACACGATTTTGTCTACCAATACCCCCTCGTTGTGATTTAGATGATTCATTTTTGTGGATGGCTCTCCTGTTTCTGTAACCAGCTACTACCCCTATACCGTCTGCTCTGGCTATATCGTAATTACGCAGCTCGGACACTGTCCTGAAATTCACAGGTTTGTAAACGGCCTAGGCAGTAACATTTCGATGGAGGCGATTGCTGAAGTTCCCTGTACTATGAAATGTTAGCGAAAAAAAAACACCAGTTCGTTATGATATTCAGAGCCCACAACTACAACACAATTTGTAATCAACTGTATCATTGTATTGGCATATACAGCCCACATACTATTATTCTTAGCTACCATCCTTTTACACTGCTGCACCACTTCAGGCTATCTACAACAGGCAACTATACAAATATTGAAGGAGCTTCGGATGTTCTGCAATTCGATCATAACAAAAGCAGTATTGAGAAAAAGAATGCAGCTGAAAACACAAAGACAATACTAACTATTGCAACTTCCAGAATGGTTGTCTGCTAATTGCATTCTCAAGAACAGTCACCTTGCCTGGGCTGGAGATTTCGGACTGTCCACACTCATTTTGTCGATGCTCTCGGCCAACTTCTTCAAAGCATCAGGGGTCACATAAGGCGAGATCTCCTTAGCAGGTCTCAGGATGTCCGCAGGTTTGCTCTCTTGGGGACCTTCAACATCTTTCTCAGCCAGACGGCTATGACCCAGGTCTACTTCCTCGCCACGGCCACCTTTCTTCGTGCTGGGGGGGGGAAAATGAGATTAATTTTGCCCAGTCATGTATTTAATGTAGCAAGAACACGAGTGCACACCTAATCTCCCTAAATGTGCAAGCCCAAACAGCGAAGTATGACTTAAGCAAGCGACCCTTCCAGCCCACTCCAACATCACAAGTGCACCTCACCTTCTCGAGAGGTTGATTGATTGATATATGGGGTTTAACTTTCCAAAACCACCAGAAGAATGATAGAGGACACATTAGAAAGGTACAGGTTCAGTTCCCACCGGCAACAAGCTTTCAGCCGCTTTATTTTCTTTAAATTCATGTCATGATTATCACACTGCAGTTAAACAACAACAATAGCATTCTCTGTAACTTCCTCAGCTTTGCTGTCTGTTGTTTCATTAGGCTGCACCAGAACACTGTCTCCCACTAACGGTACCAAATGACAAGCAATGTAAATACAAGTTTATTAATCCTATAAATTCTGTTCTCTGCATTCTTGAGAGTACGTAAATCTCCAGATATATTATTTCCCTTTCTTTTTCACTTATGCAACACCATTTCTAGAGAGGACTGCGTCATCTCTGAAGCACAACGATCTCTCGCCATTAGGATACCGTACCACAGCAGCCACAGCTACTAGAAGTGGCTTGTTTCCCCTGAACGTTCCCCTTATCACTAGAGCAATGAAAGTAGCCAGGTGATCAACCCCCTCGCCAGATCTTCCTCATTCTACCACTTCTGAGCAGAACGAATTATGCTCGCAGCAGGCAAATATGCACTCAGAACTTTGAATTTAGACCCGTCAAATGCAAATAATGTCTGCCGCAGTGGAGCAGTGGTTACGGTGCTCGGCTGCTTATGCGAAGGTTGTGGGTTCGATCCCGGCTGCGGCAGTTGCGTTTCAATGAAGGCAGAATGCTCGAAGCCTGTGAACTTAGAATCGGGTTCACGTTAAAAAAAAAAAAAGATGGTCAAAATTTTCCACAACCCTGCCTTTTCGACAATGTCTTTCATAATCATATTTTGGTGTTGGGACGTAAAGCCCCAGATATTATTATTGAATGCAAATTGTACCACAAAAGTACAGGAAGGAACCCAACTTTCTAACTTATAATAGAGAAATAGGCATGGGAAGAATCTGAGAGAGCATATTTGCAAATGAGTATGCCAATTTATATATACTTGCTACACAGTTGTAAATTACACCACCACTTTTAAAGTCAGACTGGGTAATGTGGGAATTAGGAGAGTGTTCAAAAAGAAAGCAATAATAAATAAGCTCTTGCTACCTTTGGGAAAGATGTTCCTCTTCGCGATAGATGTTGTACTTTGAAGACGTGTCTGCTTCATCTCGAAGCCAAAGCGGCCCATCCCAAAGCTGACCCTTCAGAAATGTTGATGCACGATAGCACGTGTTGCTGCAGTATTGCTAGAAGCAGGCAGAGTAAAAAGTGTAAAGGGATGCATCAATTATGTGTACATGACACACATGTAGGACAAATGCACAACTGCTAAATGAACTGACGTTACAGCTAAAAGGAGCTCCACTTGAGCGAACAACCACAAGACGTTTCTTTTATTGTATTTTTATATACCTGTCGGTGCCTATTGTTATCGTTTGCCACACTGTTATAGCAGATTATTATTAGAGAACAATGTAGATAATACTTTAGGCATTTGTATCTGCTATGCAAGATCTCACGTAGTATTTGTTACAAAAGCGGTTCGTAGCAGCATCAATTACAGTAAAGGCAATTCAATGCGTCGTAGGTAAAGTGGGTTCATTCTTGGCTCCATTTTTAGTAATATTTCGTGGACATACCATGCTAGTTTGTGACATTGATAGCGTTTACATTTCACAACGATCAAGCAACATTTTAGTACAAGAGATAAAAACAGTCATCTACTTTATACTTAGTCACAACATAATAAAAACCTAACCCCCCCCCCTGAAAACTGCAGCACACCTACATTTCACCTGTAGAGGACACTGTGCTAGCTGCTTCCCGTTTGAACCATAAATACAATTTCTTGGCTACGTTAAACACCACGCATATTGCAGTCAAATGCTCATCACAACTGCACAAAAGGTAACGTTTGGCTGAGCTGCGATGTCAGAATTTGCGATGAAGTTTACCAGAACGTTCTAGTTTCTGACACAAAACCAGCGATGCAAACATGTGTGGGTAATGAGAAAGTCAACCATCTGAAGCGCTAGGAAAGTGCCTGACCACCCGAAAATGAGTAAGCGCTATTGAAAGGAACACTTGTACAAACTTTCTGAGGAAGAGTAATGGCTGTGGGCAAGGCTGACATTTTGCTTGTGTTGTAATCAAGTTTAGCGGCATAAAGCTACAGAGTAAACACAATACAAGTTTTACAGCTCAGGAAATATTCACCTTGTCGGGAAAATGAACTTTACACTTACAGGGTGATTGCCGTATTACGGCAATGTCACTCCGATATACAACTCGAAGCAGAAGACAGTGAAAATTATAAATCTATTTGTTAGGTCAAGGAAGATTTGGTAGGATAAGGTTAGCTATATTGTCAAGGTAGAACAAGAGTCACAAAAGATAAACAATGTCATTCCCACACTATACCACCAGTTCCAGAGTCTCAAACACAATACAAGTTGCAAACACAAATAAACTGTGTGTAATATAACCTGGTAACCACTTCAATCACCAAACAATAGAAAGTGATCTTCCTCCAGGCCAATTCCTACATTGAGCTATGGCTTTCAGTCGCAGGTTGCTCACCTTGCGATGTGTGATGTCGTAAACTTTCTTCGTTTTCATACAAATGTGGTATTGTTGCTTTGGTACCTAGAGGCATGAAAAAGAAATTATAACAACTTGATTATGCATATCAACAACAGAAGCTATCAAGAACATGGTTTGGCAAGATTAGCAAGCAAGATTACAGCACATACAATGCATACATACAATGCAAGTATATGGCCCACCTGAGAAATGCCCCTGTTGCAAAGTGGATAGCCGCAAAGCCGTTCAATAGCTCTTTCCTCAACGGCATCCTGGTAATCTTGCTGAGAGAGTTCGTGCAACTGAAAAACAAATAGAAAAGCCTAGTTGCGTTTATTCGAAGCAACCTTAAAAATCTCTCCCTGGAAGTTGAGCTTCAAAGCGATGCTCAAAATGTGAGACTGCTGAGAACTGCACAAAGTTCCCAAAATAACTTTCCTGGTGTTCCATACATTATCCTTGTTACAGCCATATAAAGGAACTGCAGCGGAAGCCATGGTGAATGTTTAACAGCCATTAAGGCATATTTGAAAAACATGTATGTCTCAACAGTTGCCAATCATGGGATACCCACAAAGCATACACACCATAAGCATCAACAAGCTTCGAGTCAGAAGTGGCCATGCGGCCTAATAAGCTATAAGCCTTCAACCAAAGCAAACTTTGATTAGTACATAATCAATACTGTAGGAACGACTGGTTGGTCATGTTTTTTAACCGTACAAATTTTTGCGAGTTGCCTTCCTGTTTTGTTTAACTATCTCGCCAACGTTCTCGGTCTTGTTGCAGAATACAGCATGTCCTAAGAGAAAAATGGGTAACTTGGATTATAACTGGTTTCAAGAGGTCACAGCTAGAAATCAACCAGTCCTAGCTGTAGCTGCATTTCCTTCCCAGCAATGGAAGGAAATGGTTCCAGTTACAAGATAATTGGGAGCCATACAGTGACATGACCAGTTGTACTAGAACATTTTGTGATTATTTTCCTATTATATATTTTCTCTTTAGTACTGTAGTGATCCTTTGTTTTTGTTTTGTTATGAGTACTGCCGTAACTACTTTGTATTCCACTGCTCTTTATGTCGTTTTGTACATGAATGCTGTTCCCGCATGCTGTATTTTGAGAACGACACTGAAATGCACTTTTTGTACTGCCCCCTTTACACTATGCCTCAGTAAAGGCCTGTAAGGTGTTTTAAATAAATAAGTAAATAAATAAATATATAAATAAATGAAACTCAGTTGTTTGCCAACGAAGGCAAGAGTGGAGACACCACAACGCTGTGCTGTTTCCCACGGCTTAATTGCGACACATACTGAGTACTTAAGAGATTGTTTTTCCTTGACAGGATGCTGCGACAGGCCGATTGTGACACTAAGCATATAGCATACATCACACTTGTCAGACCGATCTTAGAGCATGACGGCATAATCTGGTTCCTCTTCACGGGCAGCAGTATCAGCATGCTTGAAAACGTATAGCGTAAAGCGATTAAATTTATTTTCAACCAGTATCGCCGCCTTGACTCCCCAACTGAATTACTGCTGGTTTGTGCGCACTCTTAAGTCGAGCAAAAATTCATTGCTGAAGTTTCTATATCAGTTATTGCACAATTGTTTTAAGATAGGCCACGCCAGATACGTGAAAACCAAGGCAACAAGAGAAACACATCACACACATGATCACACACTCCAAGAATACTCATGCAACAAGAACACATTCTATTATTCTTTTTTTCCTAGACGCATACGAGAATGGAATGCTCTTTTCCGACTTGTAGCCGAACAGCGTACAGTTGATGACTTTATATAAATGTTGCAAAATACACAAAGCATTTAATAATAAGCCTGATAACATAGTATGCACTGTATTTTCATTTTACCATTGCCCCCTTGTATTGGGTTGATTGCCAATATTTGTATTTACACCAACTGTTACAAGAGTGTTAACTTTTCTCTACCCATTTTTAGGATTGTCTAAGACTAACAATGCATCCGCGGTCACCTTACTCATGCATGTAGCTTCCTTCTTCTTAACTTGTACTTGTTCATCAACGCTGCTCTGACTAAATTGTATTGTATTGTTACTTTTGATGTGGCTGCCTTTTGTACTTTTGTTTTTTGCTCCCACTCCTGTAAAAACCCTCCAAAGGGTATGTGGAAAATAAAATAAATACACTGTCTCCAGAACTTAGCACGAGATATTTTGGGGACATCCCCTTACCCACTCTTTTGTTCCTACACTTTCCACGTTTCAGCGGCGGGTAATCGATCAAGTGAACTTCACACTTGTCGGGATCTAAATGCGAAAACAAGCAAACGACATCGTATCGTGATCCCTTCAGTCCATCCGGGCTAAGGTAAGGATACATTCAGTTTCACTTTCATGCGTTACTCACAACTCCAAGGAGCCACTCCTCGGACAGCGAGCTCTCCAGCATTTCCTCCACGATCTGCGCAGCTCTTTTCTTGCAGCTGTCTCGTCTCTCGATTGTCTTCAGTATTGCTTGCCTCCTGCAACGTAGTACAGCGCTCAATCCGCGTGACAATCGCGAGCCCATAAGGTCATTCATTAGATATCTAAACGTCTCGTAACGTGACTTTTCCAACAAAAGCTTTCGATGACATGTCCAGTCGTCTCAATCGTAAGCACTTTATTCGATGTTTAATGAAGCAAATGCGGGCGTACATACATTATTTCGCGATGTGCCTCAAAGCGATGCCCAGTGCTCAGCTGCGCTTCCTTTTTTCAAGAATTAAATAGCGCGAACTTTACAGAAAACTGGCTCCAACCGTTGAACACTAGCCTTTATCAGACTGTTTTACATGGAGGTTGCCTGAATGAAGCCAGAAGTTTACGCACGATCGCGTAAAGAAGTGCTAGACAGCAACCGATTACCTTTCCGACGTAGGCACCGATTTTGTTTCCGGCTTTTCCATTGCGGCAGAGCGCGTCCAGAGATGATATGACAAAGTGTGTTTAGCAATGTGTTAGTCTGTATTTTGAACTGCCTGACCAAGTGAGATGTGAAACTTCTTGAAAGACAAATCGCATAAACTTCTTGAACTAAGTTCCTAAACATTAGTTTCCAAGCGAAGCAAGGCTCGCACTACGCGGCCGTCGCGTTGTTTTGGTTGTGTTGCCAACTCGCTCCAGTACGTCACGTTTTACCGCTAAACTTCGCTATTTCAGAATGGGTGGCGCACAGGATGACGTCAAGCGTGAAACTTGACGGCATCAAAGAACTCGAAAGCATGGATGCTAGATTAATAGTGATGTGGCGCGGCTATGCCTTAACAATAATGTATATTTTACGTATAGTGCAAGCACGCAAGAGGCGCAGTCACAGAAATCAGTGATGTTTGAACGAATGGCTCGTTGCTGTTTCGGCTTTCGTTAGTGTTATGATGTCATTTTTAACTTTCCAGAATGTTAACCTTAATTTATAACGGCACAGCATTGTTTTGATGTATAAGCTGTGAAACTTTGACTATTCTATCTGATTAGCTTTTAAAAGCTGATTAACAAATGCACACAGCACTGACCTCACGACCTGGAAACAGTACGATAACAATAAAATGTAGAAAAGGTCAAGTTCGTTCTACCAGAGGTCATCTGTACTGGCCTCAGCCGGTCTAGACGTTATCAAGCTCACATCATATCCGTAAATACGGGTGTTCGGTTACACGTCTGATTACCCGCGCCGGCACGCAAGAACGCTGGATGCTGGAGTATGCGCTCGCTGTAACGCGCACCCGTTTTCTGCACTCATGAATTTTGTCACTGGTGACCGTGTACTCGTTCGAGAAGGTTACATCCCGTTCGACAATGAGAGGCGATGTGCTCACCTTGCCCGCGTTGGCATCGTGGACATTTCTTCTACTTAGGTAAGGAGTTCTTACGACTTTCGGGTTCAAGAAAAGATCCCGCAAACAAAGGCTGTTTTGCGCGACATCCAGGCTACGGTACGTGTTAGCGGAACTGGATCACAGGCGTCAAACTTCGAAGGATGATTCTCGCAGTCAATTGTGTACGTCGAGACCGACTACATGATCGAAACGTGAATGATCTCAGCGGTTGCCCGCTCTTTTCGCAGAACGTACCACCGGCCTATTGCCATTGATCGGATGGAGCGGTGTGCCGAACTTTCTCATTTGTTTAGCCTGATGCGACGGGTGTCGTTTAAGGTGGGCGAGTGGGTGCTCCCGAAGGTTGCAGGTTCGATACTGACCGTGGCTGTCACATTTATGTGGAAGCGAAATAGGCCCGTGTACTGTGTACATCGCGGACGTGAGACTGTTATGGGTGTGGGGCATGTACAAAATTTAACGTACACGCAATGCTGCTACGTGCTCCGCAAGATGTCGTTATTGACGCTGCAGAAATTAGAAGAAAAAAGAAAGATAACCGTGTCCTAAAAAGCAAGTCGTTCAGCGTTGGCAATGTCCGGTAATTGATAATGGACAGCATTCAAATCGACAGTAAATTTATATATCGCGTACATCGGGAAACTAGTACGTATCTCGTCCTCTATCCCCAACTAAAAATTGTGACGCACGTTTTAGATATGTTGTATAGCATTCTACAAGCACATCGCAATCAAACATTCCATATCGAATGATAGCGAAAGATTTCGTTGCGCATGGTACTGACAGCAGCGCGGGGCACCGGCACAAACAGTGCGGGCATCAATGGGCGCCAGCTGACACCAGTGATTATTCCAGTTGTTCCCAGTGCATGCCGGCGTCACAGCAGCGAAGCCACTGCCCTCACTAGCGCGACCCAGCTCTTCCCAGTGTGTTCATGTTACAGTGATTACATTTAAAGAACGCCACATATCCGAATTTTCCGGAGTCTTTCACATATACGACAATTATGCGATTTTAGGATGTAATAGTCCAGATATTAATAATGATGTGGCGGTAATATCAACGACACAACATTTTACTCGGTTGTTTGGACCAAGCGTGCGGCCACGCACTTTCTACTTCTTCCTGTCATGAGCGTAGCAGAAAGGGGGGGGGGGGGGTCATACCATCCAAATCTTTTTAATTTTGCTGCTTGCGTACACATACAAAAGTACACATACGCGCACACATACAAACGCACGCATTAACATATATAAAGTATCGTTGACCCCCACCACCCCCTCTGAAAAAAAAAAAATCTGGCTATGCCTCCGCTTCCGGTGAAGTGAGCTGTTGTTGACTAGAGTACGCACTATGATATAAGTAAAATATATGACACAAGTAAAACGTGGTCACTTTAATATTTAATGATGTATCTGAATGCGTGGTACATAGTATATATACGCCCGCTCTGCACATTGGCTAATTCAACCGCCTATGACCTTGGTCTCTATTATATTATTCCCCTGATTCCATTCCTGAGACGTGCTTGATCACAGACTGTTGAGCGTGTAGGTTGACGGGAGGCTTTAGAGTGATTACAGTTGGAAATATTCTTTATTTTCCTTGCAACATTACCGCCTCCCCTCTATTTTCTGTCTTTAGTGTGGAGTATACTAACGGCGCGCAAGCGCAAATGCGCGCTTCGAATGGGAGCGCACACGAACCAAAAGAGCAGACGACATTCGGCTTTTACATAATGCAGAAGTAACTATGCTCGCGTGGTTTCGCCAAACTTGAAAATAAGTAGCAGATGCATCTTTTTTTTTTACACTGATTAATTTTAAAATACTTCTTTACGCTGATCAAGCTGATTCGGTTTCCCGTCGGTGTCGTCTGCTACCTAACACGTTTGTTGCTCACAACGTCTGGCCGTCCGCAAGAAGGCAACACCGGGGCTAAAGATGTTTCAGTTTCCGCGATTTAGGCCGCTTCCGCTGCCCACCCCGGCCGCCACCAACGTTCCCGACAGGATTTCCATCGTCCTCAAGATCGAGGCGATCGTCCTGTCGCTGATAGAAAAGATCGCGAAGGACGAGGCGCCGTGCTTCGTGTACGACCGCCGCCACGACTGGGAGAACGTCGTGTTCTGCCAGCACCGAGGGCTCGTCCGCAGGGACAATCCCTCGAAGACGGTCACCTCTTTCGGCACGGCCGCGTCGATTCGAAAGTTCACGCTCATGCTCAAGATCCTCTCCAAGGTCCACTTCCTCCTGCTGACCAACACCAAGAGCACCAAGCGCCAGATTTTTTACGAGGACGTAGCCCTGTACGGCTCCCAGGCCACCGTGGACTCCATTGTGGAAGACATCGCCTGCCTGCTACAGGTAAGGGTGTTGGACAAATGTTTGAATTGGCTCAAAATCTGCATAGCTGTTCAAAATTGTGAATGAAATCGGCGATAATTGATTGATATATGGGGTTTAACGTCCCAAAACCACCATATGATTATGAGAGACTGCGTAGTGGAGGGCTCCGGAAATTTCGATCACCTGGGGTTCTTTAACGTGCACCAAAATCTGAGCACACGGGCCTAATGAAATCGGCGAGTCACTTTAATTATTGCAAGAAAAGGCATTCATGTTAGGCTTGCACGGCTGCGAAATTCGCTTCAATAGGCTTCGTAAAGATTGCACTGCGCAGCGTCACTAGTCTTCTACGATAATTTGAATGTTAATTCAATTATTTTCAAGCATCATAGCACATTGGGCGTTGTTTGTTCAATGTTATTGGTGTCAGTGGCTTTTTTTTTTCTTACCATTTATTGAGAACTCCATAGTACTTTAGTGTGGCCCCATGACACTCTTGGTCATTTACCTCGCTGCGTGTGTTACAACATTTCAGGTCTTTTACACCATTAAAGACAGCGAAAGAAAAAACGGAGGCAGCTAAGAAGCAGGCAGACGCACACTTGTGCGTTTGATATAGTGTAACCTGGCTATACATTAGTCATGCTTAGACTCGCGGAATGCTATTGTAAGAACGGCGTTTACTATTTTTAACTGATATTACATTGCCTATTACACTAACCGATATTACATTATTTTTAACTGATATTAGCTTGACATTATCTCCCTTAGGATTGCGTAACTGGTTTTGTGAGGCTGAACGTCAGAGCTATGCAAACTTGATGCTATGCCTTTCACCATATGCACTCAGGGGGGCGAGCGTCCCTCGCGGTGCCCCCCTCCCTACTGAGCAAATGTTTAGGGCCGAATTTGTGCCCCCTCGCATGTGAATGGGGGCGCCTCCTCCCCCCTCATACGTTTGCCTATGCCTATCACCATATGCGTGAGTACTGAAAAGAGGGGGGGGGGGAAGGTGCGGGGGGGACGTCCTTTTACAAAAGGATTGACACCGTTCTGTGTTTCAGTGATGATGATGATGATGATGATGCTGATGATGAGACCTCTAACATGGCCGATCCACAGTCAAGGGGATCGGCCGAAAATTGCTTATATAAGTTAGTGAGACTTTTTCAGTATCGAAGCTTCCCCCCACCCCAAAAAAGAAAGACAACGCACGTAAGACGGAAAGAGTGCAATAGCTACTTTTCACCCGTTCAGATCAGTATAGTCATTCCCTTGGACAATGTCATAGACTTCAACTGAGTCTGCTTATAGTGTGATCATGTGTCAGTATACATTGATTAAATTTTATTTCAGGGGAGTCACAAGCTTAAGATAGTATACCTTTGACGAAATTTCATTTAGACAAGAAACACGAAATAATGATATATACTTTTATATGGGTCACAACGACGTTCATGTGCAGAGGCTCCGGAGCGAAATCAAAATGCGAAACTTCAACCTTCACTTCGTCATTATTGAGGATGGTGGCAAAACTATAGACCCGATGGAGCTCTGCAAGGCTCATTTTTCAATGCGAACTTTCGAGGGTTGTAAGAAAAATCGCCTGACCCATGCGAAGGCTTGACATGAAGCTGCTCCTCGCCCTTTATCCCCCTCACCCGATATAATATGTGGCCAGCTGAACAGTTGACTCGAGAACTTAAGACAGGCGTTTACTAAAGCTTCCGTTTACGACATCAAAATGTAGCTTCTCGTCTTCTTCGAACAAGCTCATGCATTCTGTGGCATGCTGGCGTAACGCCTAGAGAGAAAAAGAGAGAAAGAGAGAGGGAATAAACATTTATTTGAGCAAACACATAGTGCGCAAGGAGGGTGACCTCCGTATTCCAGAGGCCACGAGCCTTCGCCATCTCCCGCACCCGTTCAACCACTCTGCACTCATTCTTCAGGCCTGGGTGTGATAGCTTGGCCTCCTTCTGCTCTTCGGTTAGTGTAGCAGCTCCAGGGCTTTGTCTGCATCCCCATATCAGGGTTTCCGGGACATTCAGGCTGAGCGCGGGAAATTATAGAACCATTCCCCACTTCATAACGGCAGGAGCGTCCTTTCCTTTAATAAAGGCTACACATTCACTCATTGTGAACTGATTTAGCGCGTCACTAATTAATAGCGTGGAACAAAGATGCGCGACAACAACATCAGAGCAACCAAGAAAATCTCGCCCAGGTCCCGTTGACATTCACAATAGATGCTGGGCCGCTGGCCCTGCCCACCGTGACAGCGAAAAGCGCTAAATTACTTGTTCGAATTCATTGAAGGTTTTCTGAGCAAACTTTGGATCGTTCAATCAAGGAAGCGTGGGTTTAACCCGAAGGTGTTACTTTATTTTCTTTTCTTTTATTTAATTATTTTTACATGTTTTACATTAGCTGCCGAGATTGTCCGCCCGGTATATATTACAAAACCTGCATATCAATTATTTACATATATTTCTGCCCACGCTCTTCTAGAGCGTTTTCCCCCCTCTTCTCCTCTCCCTGCTGGATTGCAAAAAGCAGGTTATGCGCTAGCTGATTCTTCTGCTTAAAAAAAAAAAAAAACTCATGGCGTTTCTTACGCATTCGCCGAACACGACCAGAGCGCGAACTTCTCAATCGAAATCGATTTGC